GAAATCTACAAACTAACAAATTCAACACTAAAACTTCTAACCAACATATATACATCAACTTTACATTTTATATTTTTAAAATACGAGCTATATACCACCAGTAACTGAAGCCAGACCATCTAATTGGGGACCATGGGGACTTACAGTACTTCAGCTACCTGCATGAATCCCCAACAGGATTTAAGTCCTAACTCTCGTTACTGGTAGTTGTAGACAATACTAGCCATACAGTAAGAAACAATCCAATTTTGAAATGTATTAAAATTCTAGTTCTCTGCAATGTACTTAGATATTATGAGGATTTATGTGTCACATTCAGGGGACAATATTTTTACTGTACTTCAACCCCATGAAATGTGACAACCAGAATAATATAAGTTATTAATTGCATCTAACTAATTTAAAACACATTTATTCAAAAGCTATTGATCAGTCCTATTCCTTTTAAAAAGTTTATAATTAAGTGAGAATTGACTTTAATAAAAATATCCCTTAAATTCGAAACTTGATAAAAAGTATCCCTTGTGAGAAAAAACTCTACAGTCAAGTAAAATGTGCTTGACAGTGATTCTCTCATCACAAGTGATGCAAAAGGGAGGATCCTCGCCTTTCAATAAATACTCGTGAGTATAACGACTGTGGCAAATGCGACATCGTTGTAGAATAACTTCATCATGTCTTGACTGGCAACCCAAGAAAGTATAGCCTATAGTTGGTTTTATCTGGTGAAGTTTGTTTGCACCTAACTGGGTATTCCACCTTGTCTGCATTAACCGCCTGATATAATGTCTGATATAAGGTTTATAATCAGAGTACGGGATCAGAAGGTGGCTGACAGATTTATCCAGAGCTGCTTTAGCTGCAGCATCAGCCCTTGTGTTTCCGGATATGCCGACATGACTCGGCAACCAACAAAAAACGATGTCGTATTGGCCAGTAGAAAGATCATTATACAACTCTAAAATGTCAAGAATATGCGGGGGCACGGGTGGCCCAGTCGTCTAAGGCGCCGCGATTCGCTGTGCAGAGATGCGTCCCTTAGGCACGCCAGAAACCTATGATTGTGGGTTCGAATCCCGATTCGCCCCGATTATGTTTCTAGGTTTGTCAGCACCATACCCGTGCTCGTGGATTTCACCGAAGTGGTAAACGTCTGAGACCTGCATCACTTCGGGCTTTCCTCCCACATTAAGCTGACACGCCGCTTTTAACAGTATTCCAGTTAAACCCAACTCACTCACTCAAGAATATGCGGATGAGAGGAAGAGACATTCAGTGCCTGGAGGCATGACAGGGAATCTGAAAAGATGGCAAATTGTTGACATTTTGATTGATGTTGAACATATTCCAAAGCAGCCAGAATAGCCTTTGCCTCAGCAGTGAAAACTGAGCTACAGTTTGGTATTCGGAAAGATATACTTTTTGATCCAATGGCAGTGGCACTTCCTACCCTGTCACCGTCCTCTGATTCATCTGTAAATATTGAGCGATGGGTGTCATATTTTGCTCTCATTTGTAGATATTCCTGTTGTAAAACCAATTGATTTGTGTCAGATTTTTTAAATTGAGTAAGAGTAAGATCTACTTCCGGACGGACTGTTTGCCAAGGAGGAGAAGACAAAAGCCGGGAAGGAGAAAACAGGTCTAAATTAATATTAGCAGCTTTAATGTGGGGTTTAATCCGAATTCCCAGTGGTGGAACCAGCTTAGATTTACTTTGAAACAACTCTTCATAAGGAGGTTTGAAAACTGAAAGTGTTCAGAAATTAAATTCAACTACTTATTTCACATATGCGTATACCATGCTTAACTTTAATAATCAGTCATTAATTTGCAAAATATGATGAATGTAAAATGTATGTGAAAACAAAATCTATTTTTCCTATCGGTTACATGCTGTGTGGTAACTTACAGCTTTGTCACTAATTAGTTGCAGGATTGTTTATTCTCGATACCATCTTTGAACCGTTCTTTGGCTTTTTACTTCTATCAAACAATATCGGGAAAACTATTCTAAAATTGCTTTCATTGTCGAATAATTATTGGTTGATGCTTGTCATCGTATCCCAATTGCGAAGATCGATGTTCATGATGTCAATCACTGGATTGTCTGGTCCGGACTTGAATATTTACTGACTGCCGTCATATAGCTGGAATCATTCAATCATTTAATCATTCAAGGGAAGATTTTTTGGAACATTTCTATACTGATATTTTACGGGTGATTCGTGTTGTAGAAATTCATGTCACAAACTCAGATTGCAATCCAGCCATTTTAATATACATATGCCTGTAAACTAGAAAATGGTGTAACCTACCTTCCCTAATCGTGTCAAAGTATGTCTCCAGACAAGTATGTAGAAATAAATGGTCTTTTTTAAATCACTTGCTCAGTAATGTTAATGAGTGAGTGAGTGTGTATAGTTTTGCGCTGCTTTTAGCAATATTCCTGCAAATATCACGGCAGGGGGACACCAGAAATGGGCTTCACACTTTGAACTCATGTCGGGAATCGAACCTCGGTCTTTGGCATGACAATCGAACGCTGTCAATTACTTAACACGCAACGACGATCTAAATTCGATATTGAATAATGTTCAATTTATTATATATTTCTGGAAACATACAAGGACACCCCGTTAATCCAGACTATCAAATAAAAATTGTCCGGATTAACGAATCATTAACTTAGTAATGGTATCCGCATGATAAACTCCTTAATAACCAATTTACGGTTTAACGCAGCAATTTCCCAACAAAATTCGTATTAAGTGGGTTACAATATGGCCGAATTTTTTCCGTTCGACGCGATTTATTTTTTAATGCAAAAGCCGTTATTAACGGGGTTCGAACTAAGGAGGTTTCACTGTAGACATCCCCGACAATAATCTTTCGAAAGGCGCGGTTCCCGACTGTCGGGGTTTCAGTTTCAACGCTAAACACGTGGGATTACGAAAACAACATTTATCCCTTATAGGGCCCCAATTCAGGAAATATGCACACTTATAGGTTTGTATTAGGAACACGGCAACTTGTTCAGAAGCAGTTTCACCTAGACGTTGTACTATAGCATACCCCAATGAAAGCATGCTACATCACTGTATATATACATACAAGGTAACATTCGGCTTCAGACACATCGTGGAACATTCGTCACCACTCGCCCCTTTCCGTAACCTATTAGGCTTGTCCCGGAATAACACGAGTTGGTCACGAATGATCGTGGAATCCTCCTACTTGCCGGATGTATCTATAAGGGAGGTAACTCGTCACTACACATAAAATGTTGGTTTGCCATTGAAAACATATAGTTTCGAGTCTCAAGATTGCAGATACATTGTATAAAATCTTCTCATTGATAAACAGTTACTTTTTCCCACATGAAATACAGATATATACCAAGCATGTTTATTAAAAGCACATATAACACTAAACGGAACAGTTTACCAACCAATAGGAAAATAAACAATTTTGGATGACGGTAACCCATAATGATTTGAACTTGAATGTACAAACTGAATCCAATCTTTCTCCGTTTCCTTTGTTATTTAATTTAATATGTATTTGAAATAAACAATATTCTATTGATATATGCAATCGCTATCAATTTCACAGAGGATAAAACCTATTTGGTTCATAATAATTACAATTGAACACAAGTAACGGTCAAATTGCTGCACTTTTGTTTGCATCATTTTTGTAGTGGTCCTTCTGTAGAACTTGCTGATTTTTAAAAATATTTGCATACCCTCGTTGTCTTGAAAATAAAATTAAATAATTACAATAATATATTAAGTGGAGTGCTCGCTAACCGATCGTTATGTTTCAAGCTTTGCGCATCTGCACAGCCGTTTGAGCCTTGCAATGGACTCGTCACATAGACTGGGTCCCTGCCCTCCATGCGCTGCGTAATCGTGATCATACGCGTGTGGTCTTATATATAATGAGCAGATAATTAGCATTCCAATTTTTATATCCGATCAAGAGATATATGACGGTCTAAGTCACAAAAAATATGTATTCACCAGCATCCGACACCTGACATCCGACATACGACATACGACATCCGACATCCGATATACCAGCTTTTACCAACTTTCTACCTCGTGTCGAGCTTGTCAGTTTCATCTCAAGAACCACCTCCGTGGAGACGTAAATAGATCATCTTTCCGGAGAGCGGGAGGTCGGTGATTCAATCCCCTGGCCGCGTCACACCAAGAGACGTTAAAAGATGGTCATCAAATGAGTGAGCTGGTAAGATTGGGTGTAAGATTGGGTGTAAGATTGCTATATTCAGGTACATTCGTGTCCATGCATCTGGACGATTTGATTACCACTGATCATGAACATCGACTCTTACTCACCCCTTAATATTTATTTTGCATTGTGTACATTCTGATGAGGATAACATACAGGTAACTGGACATTCGTTATAGATAATGTACGAGCGTGCGTTATCTGACTTAAACAACAGCATCAATGTAACAAAATACTGGGTAATCAGATTAAAAATACAGCCTCAAAATTAAAATATTTTTTTTCGGGAGATTCGGGATATCTATCGCTAAAACAGAGTCCATGCCACCCGGTAAAACACAACATTATACCAGATACATACACATGTATGTACCCACCGCATTGCTTTATTATAAACGGTCATTACACAGGCCTGTTCACATGTTATTTCTAAAGAATGGTAATTTACATTAATCAGGAGTGTATGAACGTACAGCCACAATGAGCAAAGGAGATGGTTCAGCTGCAAACATGATTCTCTGTTAAATAAAGAAAATGAACAAACAATTCATGAAATAAAATTCCTAAAACCAAAACTTATAGTTATTATGCTAATTTATTATAAAAAACGACACAAGATGGTCCTGAAATGGCAATGCCTAGCATGTCCTGTCTGCTCTTATTATAGATAATTATTAATTTACTTATTGTACGGCAACAGGCAATACATATGGTCATGAAATAACAGCGACAACAAGCATCATACATAATCATTCATTGTATTGTCGTGGTAAAAGGGTTCGCTCGTCACGCCGAAGGCATGGGTTCGATTCCCTACATGGGTACAATGTGCGAAGCTCATTTCTGCCCCTGCCGTGATATTGCTGTTAGTAACCTCCATGGTATTAGCAACTGAATGTGCTACCAGTATCCCGAAGGCCACGTTGCCTGAACGTTGCGGACGTTAATCAAGTGTAAATCGAACTTTCACAGGACAATCTTTCATCTGTTCTGCATAGAATTGATCAAACCATTCGTTCTGTGCCAAAGTGAACCAGTTTTTCCAGTCACCCACTTCACCTGGAAAACAAGGAAAGAAATTTAATTAACGATATACCAGACTATCTACAAGATATTACGGTAGACAAATTTGAAAAATAGTTTATGTGTTACGGAAGACTTGGTATTAAGGAAAAACAGAAATTAAGTAGAGCTGCGATAAAAGCGACAAAATCGTCTCCACAATCATTATAAATCTCTACTAAAAGCGGAGACGATTGTACGATTCGGACTGTATCAGGTGTTTATGAATCACTGTCAGATAGTGATGATTCCAGATGCTCGCAATACAGCAGGGGGGGGGGGGGGGGGGTCGGGTAGCCTAGTGGTTAGAGCGTTCGCTCGTCACGCCACGTCACGGGCTCGATTCCCGACATGGGTACAACGTGTGAAGCCCTTTTCTGGTGTCCCCCGACTTGATATTGCTAGAATATTGCTAAAAGCGGCGTAAAATCATTCTCACTCACTCACTCACTACCTGTTGGGATATGATTTCTCTTTTCGCGAACAACTGGTGTCATTGCTGATTTTCAATGGTCCATTCACATCATTTTCACCATCTTTTTCGCCACTGGAACCGGTTTCGGCGGTTAATCGAAACTGGTTATACTTTGGCGTTGACGTTTTATATTTCATTCATGACTGAGCGAGTGAGTGAGTGAGTGAGTGAGTGAGCGAGTGAGCGAGTGAGTTGTGTTTAACGCTACTTTGAACAGTATTCAAGTTAAATCACGGCGTGTCAGTTTAATGTGGGAGGAGTGTCTCAATTGTTTACATGCATATGTTGCAGGCGTTTATCACTTTGGTGAAACCCACGGGCACGGATATGGTGCTGAGAAAACCTAACAACATAATCCTTGCGATTCTGCTTATGCAATGCTTGATGACCAAACTTGCACAGCGAATTGCAGCGTATATCGTACTCCCAGATAACTAGACTAGTGGAATCTGAACAAGAAGAATAAGAATCTGAATAAGAAATGTGATTTACGCCGGACATGGAAGTCTATAAAACTGTAGCAAACACACAAATCGTTCACATTGTACCATGTATTTGTATCTTCAGAAATAACTTCACCACTTTTGTTTCTTTGAGTTTTATTGATGTGATGTTTAACACACGTTACAACTATTCAGTATCAAACATACTTGCCCTTGCGATAAGCAATCTTGCCAGTCAGCTTTGCAGTAGCCTTGATCTTCTTCATTGAGTTAAACTCACACTGTTCACACACTTGTCTGATGAAGTCATCGCTTCTCTCTACGCCCAGGAAGTCACACAACTTCTTCGCCTCCCTGAAAGTGTCCTGTGAGCACAGTAAATATAAAATATACAACGTCAACGCCAGAGGATAAGGAGAAGAAAAGGCACATGTTCAATAGGAGGATGTTTCATTGGAAGCATTGGCTACATTTCAGGCACTTTTCAGGCGACCTATTCCTCCCTATCTAATTACCTAGGAATCATCATGTTTACTATGTTGTATTATGTTGTACTATGTTGTATTATGTTGTACTATGTTGTATTATGTTGTACTATACAGAGCATGGGTGACTATTGTGAAAATGAAATGTTCATATAAAGTCAATTATTGTGTCTATTCTAATGCTGTATTCAGCGAGTCGTTGTACACTCCGTCATTTTGTCATTAAAGTAACGTTGTCGTTAGGGAACGACCATTTGATATTGTGTTGAGGACATGTTGTTTCAGTAGTCAAGAGAGACATGTTTCACATGAAGTGGCTTGATATTTGACAAAACAGATTCCACTATGATGCAACAACCAACGCCATAAAGCATAGAGACAGTGAGTAGTTATTAAGGGGCTTTCAGCAACATCACTTCAAGTGATGTGATTGAAAGGGCATTGAACCTAATAAATGAAAGATTGGTTATGTCTTATGTCCTCGCCCTATGTTACATGGGCCTAACCTCTTTAAGGTCTTCATAGTGGAGTGTCAGGATCGGAATATCGGTAGTGTTCTTCACCTCTTCCCAGGACTTGAAATGGTCGAACCAGGAACCATATTCAACTGAAATATACAGACATACTGAAACACGTATTGCAGTAAGATACATATGAAAAAAACATCTATCAAACAATATATGAAGTTCCGGGGTAAAATAGGTCTTCAGCAATCCATGCTTGCCATAAAAGGTGACTATGCTTGTCGTAAGAGGCGACTAGCGGGATTGGGTGGTCAGGCTCGATGACTTGGTTGATGCATGTCATCGATCGCAATTGCTAGGAACGATGCTAATGATGTAAATCACTGGATTTTCTGGTCCAGATTCGATTATTTTACAGACCGCTGAGTGCGGCGTTAAACAACAAACAAATCAAGACCAATTTCTAACACGGATCCTCACAGGGCAGTTTGGAAAGAACAGGGATTGAGAGTTCATTAAAAAATGTGGCTTCCTATCCAATACTACTTCTAAGATATATTTATAGTATAAACGTATGCAGATGGTTTTGATGAAATAAAAATACGACTTCAATTGGAAAGGTCTTATTTATTTGGAAATAATGTTATTCCAGTTTCCAACATGTTCGGATATTTTCGAATCCAACTTTTAGTGCGGACACACCATTTCCACATACAAATCACTAGCAGTGACATCAGGACAACACACAGACGTGTGTGAGGTTTTGATCATCAGCATTGTCTAACTGTGTGATAAACATGAGGGAGTGACAAACTCTTACGCCGCCATCTTTCAGCCAAATGCGCGACCTGTTTCCGAGATCTCGGTAACATTGATAATATGACATATGGAGGCGTCTGTCACACGTTATGCAACAGGTGTGCTAAGCAATGGCTTATGCCTAAGCTGTAGGAAAGGCACAATTTCAACAAGCAGCAATAATCCTGCAACCACTTTCAAAGCTTTACCAAAACTTATGAGAGTTGTTTTCAAATGAATACAATCCTATCGCCTTTCAGAGGACATGTGCTGATACACATAAAAAGACACTCTCAGAGAAGCGATACTTTACAAAATACAAAGAAATACAATGCAAAGAAATACGAATTTGGAAATATGGAAATAAGGTCACTCGCGAAAGTTTTCGCTCTATGTTCCTTTCAAAAAGGCAAAGATTGCTTTTTCGTCTAGTGTGGTTCGTTCTGCATGCAACATCACCTGTGTGCGAAATACTGATGAATAGTGTGTGCTTACATCTCCCCTCTGTCGCAGGACGAAGATAATTCTCCCACTTGCCACTATAATCACTGAAGCCGATCTTTTTCATAAACACGAAATAGGATACTATAGCGTCTTTGGGATTACGAATGACGTGAACAATTTTAGGTTTCTTGACCTTGACCTCATCAGGTAGATGTTGGAACGGTGCGTGGGAGTTGAGAAGTCGGGGAGATGGCAGGTCCTTGTACACCTCCTCGTCAGATAGTTCCAGCATGGTCGAGGTCTTGTCGATGTCACTTGTGTCCAGCTTGCCCGCCTGGAGTAGTCGTGACATCTCCCATACCCAGTGTGTGCCTGGATTAAAAGGGTGGAGTGGTACAGTAAATCAGGTAGGTTTAACGCCGATTTGAACAGTGTTTTAGTTTTTATGGCGTTTCAACTTATTGTTCGGAGACCAGATTAACAGCATACAGTTTAGGCTCGTACCAGTCCCAGCCCTTCAGAAATGAAGTGTTTTAGTTTTTAATTGCGTTTCAACATTGGAGACCAGCTTAACGTCATACAGCAGTGGACGTCTGTCACCTCAGTTGGTGTTGTTCATACATTTTTTTAACATCCAAACTTTTTTATCACAGTGTACTTACTCTGCAGCTTTATTCCTAATAGCTGGGAGTACACACACACACACACACACACACACACACACACACACACACACACACACACACACACACACACACACACACACACACATACTCGCCATTCACAGACTGCACAGGTACACTGATGATGCCTATTGTGGCTAGTGTTCCATGGTGTGATCCTTTTACAAACATCGAAAAGTTGGAAGGTTTTGTACTCTTTCATATAAATAACACAATGCTATTCACATCCATAACCCATTCCACTCTCAACAAAATACATGAGAAAACATAACATAACCGGATTCGAGGAATTCTTGAAGTAAAATGACGACATCTTTTGAGAACTGTTTTCAAAATGTTCCTGAGTTACCAATTAAAGAACTGACTTACTCAAATTACTTTGAATCAATGAGAAAATATATATGGCTTTCACCTTCGTTGATGTCCCACGATAGGGCAGGACATGATCAACTGTTTCGTGAACACCTGGTGTCACCAGAGCATCCTGAGTGTGGTACTCGGAGTCTGTACAATATGGTCAACTGTTTCCTGAACACCTGGTGTCACCAGAGCATCCTGCGTGTGGTACTCGGAGACTGTACAATATGGTCAACTGTTTCGTGAACACCTGGTGTCACCAGAGCATCCTGAGTGTGGTACTCGGAGTCTGTACAATATGGTCAACTGTTTCCTGAACACCTGGTGTCACCAGAGAATCCTGAGTGGTACTCGGAGTCTGTACAATATGGTCAACTGTTTCATGAACACCTGGTGTCACCAGAGAATCCTGCGTGTGGTACTCGTAGACTGTACAATATGGTCAACTGTTTCGTGAACACCTGGTGTCACCAGAGAATGCTGAGTGTGGTACTCGGAGTCTGTACAATATGGTCAACTGTTTCGTGAACACCTGGTGTCACCAGAGCATCCTGAGTGTGGTACTCGGAGTCTGTACAATATGGTCAACTGTTTCCTGAACACCTGGTGTCACCAGAGAATCCTGAGTGTGGTACTCGGAGTCTGTACAATATGGTCAACTGTTTCATGAACACCTGGTGTCACCAGAGAATCCTGCGTGTGGTACTCGTAGACTGTACAATATGGTAAACTGTTTCGTGAACACCTGGTGTCACCAGAGAATCCTGCGTGTGGTACTCGTAGACTGTACAATATGGTCAACTGTTTCGTGAACACCTGGTGTCACCAGAGAATGCTGAGTGTGGTACTCGGAGTCTGCACAATATGGTAAACTGTTTCGTGAACACCTGGTGTCACCAGAGAATCCTGCGTGTGGTACTCGTAGACTGTACAATATGGTAAACTGTTTCGTGAACACCTGGTGTCACCAGAGAATCCTGAGTGTGGTACTCGGAGACTGTACAATATGGTCAACTGTTTCGTGAACACCTGGTGTCACCAGAGAATCCTGCGTGTGGTACTCGTAGACTGTACAATATGGTCAGCTCTTTCGTGAACACCTGGTGTCACCAGAGCATCCTGCGTGTGGTACTCGGAGTCTGTACAATATGGTCAACTGTTTCGTGAACACCTGGTGTCACCAGAGAATCCAGAGTATGGTACTCGGGGACTGTACAATGACATCACATAGTTTTTTATCCGATAGGTAAATAGTTGTAGGTTTAAAGAAACTTGACGACGTCGCTTTAATCTCATATGGGTTGTTGTTTTATCTTTGGACTGTTGCAGACATACCAATATCGTTGAAGTTACACAAGTTTTTTTCAAATATATTATCTCAAAGAAACATAAACTTATTTGCAAAAATAAAACGTCAACACCAGAGGATAATCAGTCTCGGCTATCTAACGAACCCATTGAGCCTAAATTGTCAAAAGGTGGTGAAAATTTTGTGAATTTTATTCCTGAAATCAGTGATGACACCAGGTGTTCGCGAAAAGGGGATGCATGCCTTGCTCTACCGGTAGCACCACCCCTTACACAGTTTACATAATTAAGTAAGTAATTGTTTCAGTATTCATACCTGATCTAGAATATGTACTCAAGATGACGTCATCCGATCTGATTTTCACGGAAGCCATATTCTCGATGGCTCGATTGTTAGGAAAGTTTGGGAAACGACAGCCGTTGTGAGAGATGACCAACAGCTCGTCCCCGCCGTCGTCTTTCAAGCTTATTGTCGTCATGGTGATGCTATTCTGATGCCAGCTGTACGGCCTAAACCTGAAATACCATAAACATACAGTACATATGTAGTGGGACAGCACGGAACAAAAACACCCAATAACATACAAGGGATTTTTTATGTTTAATTTGGATACTTGGGACTCCAAAATGAGTTCGAGACAACAGGGAATTCGACACATCAAGCTTGACATATCTGAGTATAAATGATGATAAATATGGAAGGAATTAGAAGGGACCGGAAGGCGAGTTCGAGACTACCGGGAATTCGACACATCCGCGTTCGACAAAACGAGGTTTGACTGTAATCGAATGGGAACCCAAAACCTCTCATTTTGGAAAATAGAACAGGAAAACGTGAACAATAGTGAGTGAGTGAGTGAGTGAGTGAGTGAGTGAGTGAGTCGGGTTTAACGCTGCTTTTAAAAGGATTACAGTTATATCACGGCGTGTCAGCTTAATGTGGAAGTGATGCAGGTCTCAGACGTTTACCACTTCGGTGAAACCAACGAGCATGGGTATGGTGCTGATAACCCTTGAAAAATAATCGGGGCGAACCGGTATGGAAAATAGACATTCAAGCAATGATATATTTCCCACCACTTTGATGCCAAACCGTGTATATGGTTATGTCTACATATACACGTACAGCCCGTTTGGCTCCAAATGAGAACGGTGAATTGCAAAATCACTCAAAATCGGGAATAGTCTATTAAATGTGAATACGGTACACGGCGACGAATACACGTACCTAACAATATCTGCTGTATGTTATTTGTATTCCCATAACTGGAAAACGTTGTTTAAAAAAACTATCACATCGTAATGTGTACAAGTTGACATCTTGAACGGAGGGGGAACAGCGCTTCTTGGGTGTATGTATGTCAAGATATCCTATCTCTAAGTCACATGCGTCTGATAGCATTTACAACAAGACCTTGCGGTGAGGAGTCCCATACAGGCAGGTCAAAGGCCGGGGTTGGCAAACACTATTGCTGTATTGTGTTGTTTGTGTTGACCAATGTATACGTGAGAGCGTGCTACCATTTAAACAGCCCCAATATTCCCGGTCCTTGTGTGTGTGGAGGGGTCGGGTGTGTGTGGGGGGATGTGGGGTGGGGTGGGGGGTAGTTAGAGTTTTGGTTGTTGTAAAAGGGGTACATTGCTGTAAAACGTACTCTCAGTATTGAGTATTAATTGTTCGCCTCGCCCTTCCAGAGAAACTAGATGGTATATTGAAGCAGATACTATCAATAAGGATAAAACTAGGCGGGTAGAGTTTTGGTTGTGGAAAGGTTTTATTGCTCCAGAACGTACTTGACCAGAATATTGTCTATTAATTGGCCGTTTCTCCCTTCCCGAGAAAATAATGACTATATTGTGTTTCATATCATGTTTATATTTATCCACATGGTCACAGCCATAGCAGCTTTATGCACAGGGTCACAGCAATAACAGCATTATCAACATGTTCACAGCAATAACAGCTTTATGCACATGGTCACAGCAATAACAGCTTTATGCACAGGGTTACAGCAATAACAGCATTATCCACATGGTCACAGCAATAACAGCATTATCCACATGGTCACAGCAATAACAGCATTATCCACATGGTCACAGCAATAACAGCATTATCCACATGGTCACAGCAATAACAGCATTATCCACATGGTCACAGTAATAACAGCTTTATGCACAGGGTTACAGCAATAACAGCATTATCCACATGGTCACAGCAATAACAGCATTATCCACATGGTCACAGCAATAACAGCATTATCCACATGGTCACAGCAATAACAGCATTATCCACATGGTCTCAGCAATAACAGCATTATCCACATGGTCACAGTAATAACAGCTTTATGCGAAGGGTCACAGCAATAACAGCATTTTGCACATGGTCACAGCAATAACAGCATTATCCACATGGTCACAGCAATAACAGCCTTATTCCTGCACATCAGTGGAAAGATACATACACGAATTGTTTAACAGAATTCAGTAAGACTCACAGCTAAATCATGTCCACTCACCGACATATCCCCGCGCTTGCTTTGTAACGTTGCCCTATGTCCTCACAACGGCGGTAAAGGTCACACGAGGCAGGTCAAGTCAAGTCATGTTTTTTTCTTATAAATCGCAACATGTGATACAGAGGACACACGTACATAGATATGTTCAGTGAGACTGCACAGATAATAATCATGCGTGAATAATAATAATAATAATAATAATAATGATAAAAATAAAAATAATATTAATAATAATTTTGCATCAAAAGGTAAATATGAAATGTAGATTATGTTATGAAATTAATGAGACTGTCCAACACAATGTCAGTGGATGCCCCGCTTTGGCACAAACACAGAATCTTAAACGATATGATGTGTAGCTCGATCATTTTATTACCGTCTTTACCATGCTTGTGGTTTTGACACAGAGGTCCACCCATGGTATGACCCGGAATATGTAGAGGGCGTCATGGAAAATGATTCTTTGGAATAGGCCAATTTACAGCCTCAGACGTATCCAGGCCAACAAACCTGATCTTGTCCTTTTTTATAAATCAAAGCCGCGTTTAACAGTATTCCAGTTATATCGCGGTTTGTCAGCTTAATGTGGGAGGAAAACCCGAAGTGATGCAGGTCTCAGACGTTTACCACACACACACACACACACACACACACACACACACACACACACACACGTGTAGCATGTCGCTATATAAGCGCAATAATCTTGTACGCGACGTTAAACCCCATTTCAACTCACCTCATGCCAGCTATAAGGGTATGTTAAATATCTGCCAACTGAAATACCAAAACTGGCGTTACGAGGCTGACATATTGTGAGATACTCATTGATACGATGCATGTAATATCGTCTATGATACCCGTATCAAATACACCACCATCAAATAACTCTTTCTTGTTCGTTTCATTTTAAACCCCATTGAACATGGGTGTATTCTTTCGCCGGCAGCATAGAACACACGTAAGCCATCTCGTAAATAGTGCAAGGTTCGAACACATTCTTATATACGGTTTACATACGGACTAGGCGTTTCTGTCTGAAGAAGCATTAATGTTCCCTTCAGATTGTAAAACATTTACAAACGTACTTACGGTGGCAAAGTAACTTTCCTTGTGCAATGTCCTCTACAGGTGCGTACATCGGGGCCTCCGTACCATCTCGCAGTGACGATAAACTTACGTTCACGCTTCACAAGGTGAGTGCTGCTGGCCTATCAAAGGGCTATACGTTTAAGGAAAGCACGCCCAGGTGGGCCCATCATAAGTAACTGAGACGCCTGGACATTGACACTGTCAGATGCGTGGAAAAAGGAATTGACACACAAGAACTGAGTGTTTCTTTGGGTTAAGGTTGAGTGTGTTGGGACGTTTGTGGAAATCTACTCCTCCACAGGAATTTAGGCAATCCATGTTTGACGTATCGGTTATGGCCTCGATTCACTCACTCACTCAACAGCGTTAAGACTTCCACATCATACAGGACATCGTTATTTTCTTTCTATACCACAGCATCATCATTAGTATGTCATACAAAAACAGTCAAATGCCGTTGTGTCGAACTTACGGTTATCTCGAAGTAAAAACTTGGTCCTTGCGTATTCCTCCTTTATTCAGCAATTTCGGTTGTGTCTTAACTCGAATAACTCGAATTATTTACGAAGGTCGACTTCGACACAACGATGTTTGACTGTATACGGTGCATGTTGCTTCGGTTAACAAAAACTCGTCGTAATTTGATAACAGAGACCGAAATTATAACTTCAAAGTAATTGTTAATGTGATAAGAGTAGAGCTGTGGGGGTCTATAACTCCTTGGGTGTTGGTCCTCAGCACACTTGCTTGAATAAACCCTAAGGACCTCACAGCTCTCTTCTCTCTTGTTTCAAGGTAAGAAACATTTAAATATTCCTATTTGATGACTAAACTTCTTATTTCATTGTTATTGTTGTCTAGAAATGTTATAGTTAAGTTGAATCATTACTGCCATATTGTAACTCTCAATCTACTGTGTGCAAGTTCTAAATGACTGCTCATTATATATTATTTACCGTCTAATACTCAGGCACTTTCCAGTGTTGTTTGAAGTGTAATGCGTCGTGGGCTCCTCCAGTTTATGTATCATTAATATGCGGCACCAATAGTTCTCCCCTATATTTCGACATCCATGTTTATATTCCCCTTCTATGTCTAACATCATCTGTTCAAAAGGCCAGATGCATATACAGTTTATATTTCCGTGCGGTAGCGTAGCGTACGTGTAGCTTAGTCACAAAACGGTTCCTAGAGTTAACACAAATGTTTCAAGCAAGATTTATTTAATACGTAGGTCGGTTATTCCATATTTTCCGACAGTCCACCGATCAAAGGTTATATGAGCAGCTTTACCTTCCGTGCGCTTACACAATAGGCTATAACAACACATTACATATTTCTTAGGTTTTATCCTCATTAAGGAAGTATTTGAATATATTGTAAAGAGTCCCGTCCATCATATAGTTGCTTACGCTACATCACCGCCTATACCACAATTTCATTACCGTAGTCATTTAAATACTGTTATAGTCATTCTTTATACTTCATAACAAGGACATTCAAACGCGCATCGTTTAAATATACAATTACCGTATTCACTCCATTAGCTGTTATCGTCTAGCTCCGTATATATCTAGAAAATGCGCGTAGTCAATAGCAACACAGCCGCGGTGATTCATTACCATAGTCACCAAAGTAATCACTACTAAAACTAATAATTACACTAACTCAAACCGAGCTATATCTTCTACCGCGTACATTCGTATCTTTATTTGGATCAAGTATTTACTTTCCGTATAAGCCGAAATCATTATGTTGTGGTAATTATTACTGAAATTACAAATATTAATGTTTACCGTCTTTTCATAAGTAAATGTCATGTTCCTCATCTAAGCAGTGTGCGCAGTCTACCGTACATGCTCTATTAAAATGTTACGACTACTCAATTTAGCTGTTAAGAAATGATATTTGGCATTACCGTTATTATTCTAGTAAATACTGCATCTGTTGTATAATGTTACCGTACATACTCCAATATTAAACACATTAACGTTATTATTATGCCTTTATTAGATGGACACTGTTTAGCATATCATTATCATTATTACCATTGTACGTCACTATCATATATTAATTGATGTAACTTGAATGATATGACACTTGAATAAACCATAAGGACCTCACAGCTCTCTCCTCTCTTGTTTCAAGGCGAGCTCCCAATAGCTAATTCCCCAAACCGAGGCCTGACAGTTATTTGTATCACCCCAACAAGGCTGTCTTATATTCATATGTTTTCGTTTCCTTTAAAAAGAATTACTTTTGAAAGAACGCACTGGGTATCTCAATTGTTACTGAGCGTAAAACACTTGAAAATATATCTTTGGTCAAACCATCATCTAAACGTTACTAGACCGCCTCCGTGGTCTTGTGGTAGAGCGTCCGCCCGGAGAGCGGAAGGTCCAGGGTTCGATCCCGGGCCGCGTCATACAAAAAGACGTTAAAAGATGGTACTTGTTGTTACCCTGTCTGGCGCTCGGCATTAAGGGGCTAAAACAAGGACTGGTCGGCTCGGAGTCAGTATACTGTGTCTGAGTGGGGTATTCATGTTAAACTGCGGCATGGTTTTCAGTGAGCTAGCACTATAAATCGGCATCAGTCCGGACTAGTACAAGCAGCCACACACACACATACACGTGCATGCACGTCGCTATATAAGTGCAATAATCTTGGACGCGACGTTAAACCCAATTTCACCTCACCTCACCTCTAAACGTTACTGGGCTGAAAACAGTCGCCAAAACACTGCAAATTTAAGGCCCAAAACACAACTATGATACCCGTATCAAATACATCACCATGGAATAACCATTTCTCGTTCCTGTTTAACCTACATCGAAAAAGGGTGTATACTTTCTTTTGCGTAACGTGTGCACAATCTATATATGTCTACGGAGGACATTCTGACCTCACTCATTGTTCGCATTCAGAATTATATTATAGCTGTATAACGGGGACATGTAAATAACGTGGGTGAGGTAAACCAGTGGTTAAGAGCATGAGCAACGCCCCATGCCGCCGGGGCAGGACGGCATCAGCCACGTCATGTCTAATCAGCAGTGTACCACGTCTTCGGTAACTGGAACTTACGACAAGCACGTGGTACTTGGGGCTTACTCTCCTGGAATCAGGGGGCACGGGTGGCCCAGTCGTCTAAAGCGCCGCGATTTGCAGAGTTGCGTTCCTTGGGCACGCCAGAAACCTATTATTGTGGGTTCGAATCCCGGTTCGCACCATACCCGTGCTCGTGGGTTTCACCGAAGGGGTATACGTCAGAGACCTGCATCACTTTGGGATTTCTTCCCACATTAAGCTGACACGCCGCGATATAACTCGAATACTGTTAAAAGCGGTGTTAAACCCAACTCACTCACTCACTCCTGGAATCCAGGCGGGTTAACAACACTAAGGATACTACCTATAGAGTCGCCGATGTCACTCGTGCAGACCCGACGTAGATTGACGTTACGGTCGTTGCCGATGCCATGATGGGCGTGTAAGTACATGTGCTCCTGTTTGCACTCTGGTCTTTCTGTCTTTCTCCCATGATCACCTTTTGTAGGGTAGGGTATTCGTGCCATGGTTCAAGGCCAGCGACACACGTGTATGTACTTTGTTCGTTTGTTTGTTGCTTAACGCCGCACTTAGCAAAATTCCAGCTATATGACAGCGGTCTGTAAATAATCGAGTCTTGACCGGACAATCCCGTCATTGACACAATGAGCATCGTCGATCTACGTAAATGGGATACGATGACATGCATCAAACAAGCCACCCGATCCCGTCGCCTCTTGGGTTAGCCTAGTGGTGAAAGCGTTCGCTCGTCAAAACCCGGGTTCGATTCCCGACATGGGCACAATGTGTGAAACCCATTTCTGGTGTCCCCCGCCCTGATATTGCTGGAATATTGCTAAAAGAGGCGTCAAACCATTCTCACTTAGTCTGTCTTACAGAACCTGATACAAATATATATCAAATACAGCCCATGCAAGTCTATAATGTTTGGCAAGTCTAGATTACTGCAGTATCTGAAAATGAAGAGAGTCACTGGGCTCCCTTTTATTATATTTTTATTAAGATAACTGAACAACTGTTTTTTTTCTGTACGATATGTTCATTTCAGAGACTAGATGTTAGTCAACATTCTCACTCACTCACTTATGACATGCCATGGGTTGCTGAAGACCAACTCCAACCCGGGCCTTCCCGTGGTACAAATACAAGGTACACATGTATCATCCTGCGACATGTTGGATGTGTCTGCACAACAACTGTTGGGGTGTTGGGGCTATGACACACCTGACCCGTGACCTCAACTGAACGGGGGCGGTCGGCTAGCCTTGTTGTTAAAGCGTTCGCTCGTCACGCCGAAGACCCGGGTTCGATTCCCGACATGGGTACAATATGTGAAGCCCATTTCTGGTGTCCGCCGCCGTGATATTGCTGGAATATTGCAAAAAGCGGCGTAAAACCATACTCACTCACTCACTCAACTGAACGAGAATGGTTTTCCGCCTCCCTTTTTTCAGTTATATCACATCGTGTCAGTTTATGTGGGATGAAAGTCTTGAAGTGATGCAGATCTTAAACGTTTACCACTTCCGTGAAACCCACGAGCACGGGGATGGTGCTGGCAAACCTAGAAACTTAAAGATCAAATGTGAGATTCGAACCCACAATCATAGTTTCAACTTTATGGATCTGGTGGTCAGCCTTATTGACTTGGCTGATTTGTTTGCTTCATCGTGATTTGTTCATAATATAAATCACTGGTTTGTCTGGTCCACTCTCGATTATTTACAGACCGTTCGAATATTGCTGAGTACATAATTATGCCCCAGTCCTCTTCGTGTTTTTTAAGTACAAGGAATGAGTGAGTTTTATTTGACGTCACTTTAAACAGCATTTCCTAGGCTTTATACGAGCCAGAAATGTATAGAATGGACGCAGACAAAAATGTATTGCATCCCCATGGACGCACTATAATATTCATTGTACAAATTATTGACAATAAATAAACAGGCCCTGTAATTAAAGTAATTATCAAATATTACAGTACAAAAAACTACACTAGTTAATTTAGAGGACCCTCATATTTCCTAAAAGGACCCTTAAAAATTATTCAGGTCACCAGTTTTGTAGGTCAAGGCAAAACACGGAATTTCAATATAGCGCTATACTGGGGTATTTGTCACAACGCGAACATGTTCTCGGTACTGAAGTGTTTCGACCAAACGCTCAGTTTGTGCGCATGGCCTGACCTCGGACTCCCAACCAGTGTCCAACGAGGAAGAGAGTTTCTGACTGACACAAGAATCAGATAAAGGTATGCCACTCAACATAACATGGGGTTACTGTGCTGCATGTACATATCTCGCTGGCACATATGCACGACGAATGTCGGACACGCTAAAATGATCAGTGTGGGTGTTGATGGCAGGGAAGGGAGGTAATCTGTGTGGGGCGTTATACAAGCTCCTTCCCAGCGCGTGACACCTTCGTTACACCCTCGGTAACATCGCGATGGTATAGAGAGCTCCGCGAACGGACTATCGCTGTGAGGAGCTTGGGCGTTATATAAGAAAGGGGCGTAACTCGGTCTATTAATGTCGTAAACGTACATACGGGAATACAGTGGGGTGGAGGGGGGCATATGAATAATGTTGACGTATAAAAAACATCATTTGTTTGCAAGTTTTCAACAAAAAACAATATATTGACTAGCTTCGGGCCAACCAAAGACGTATAGATGTATATACGTTTTTGACCAAACGCAATCGTTTTTAAGTGAAGATTTAGATTATTCGAGCAGCTAGTATTTTGTTAAAACGCTGGAATATTTAAGCTTGTTTGGTTGTTTGTTTAACGCCGTACTCAGCAATATTCCAGCTATCTTACGGCGGACCAGACAACACCGTAATTGACATCATGAGCATCAATCTACGCAATCAACTGATGCATCGGAATTACACAGAACCAAATACTAACTGCTAACACGTCTAGATGTCAGCAAGCCACCTACCAAATACTAACTGCTAATACGTCTAAATGTTGGCGACCCACCCACCAAATACTAACTGCTAACACTTCTAGATGTCAGCAAGCCACCCACCAAATACTAACTGCTAACACGTCTAAATGTTGGCGACCCACCCACCAAATACTAACTGCTAACACGTCTAGATGTCAGCAAGCCACCCACCAAATACTAACTGCTAATACGTCTAGATGTTAGCGACCCACCCACTAAATACTAACTGCTAACACGTCTAAATGTTGGCGACCCACCCACCAAATACTAACTGCTAACACGTCTAAATGTTGGCGACCCACCCACCAAATATTAACTGCTAACACGTCTAAATGTTGGCGACCCACCCACCAAATACTAACTGCTAACACGTCAAGATGTTAGCACCCCACCCACCAAATACTAACTGGTAACACGTCTAGATATTTGCGACCCACCCACCAAATACTAACTGCTAACACATCTAGATGTTAGCAAGCCACCCACCAAATACTAACTGCTAATACGTCTAGATGTTCGCGACCCACCCACCAAATACTAACTGCTAACACGTCTAAATGTTAGCAAGCCACCCACCAAATACTAACTGCTAATACGTCTAGATGTTGGCGACCCACCCACCAAATACTAACTGCTAACACGTCTAGATGTTAGCGACCCACCCACCAAATACTAACTGCTAACACATCTAGATGTTAGCGACCCACCCACCAAATACTAACTGCTAACACGTCTAAATGTTGGCGACCCACCCACCAAATACTAACTGCTAACACATCTAGATGTTAGCGACCCACCCACCAAATACTAACTGCTAACACGTCTAAATGTTGGCGACCCACCCACCAAATACTAACTGCTAACACATCTAGATGTTAGCGACCCACCCACCAAATACTAACTGCTAACACGTCTAAATGTTGGCGACCCACCCACCAAATACTAACTGCTAACACGTCTAGATGTTGGCGACCCACCCACCAAATACTAACTGCTAACACGTCTAGATGTTGGCGACCCACCCACCAAATACTAACTGCTAACACGTCTAAATGTTGGCGACCCACCCACCAAATATTAACTGCTAACACGTCTAAATGTTGGCGACCCACCCACCAAATACTAACTGCTAACACGTCTAGATGTTAGCACCCCACCCACCAAATACTCACTGCTAACGGTTTCCGTTTAGAGTTGGGATTCCTAATTCAATAGACCTAAAACCAGATCGCCAGCTCCAAACTGTGACAACATATTATTTAACTTTAGAGTGAGTGAGTGAGTGAGTTTGATTTTACGCCACTTTTAGCAATATTCCAGCAATATCACGGCGGGGGGACACCAGAAATGGGCTTCGAACATTGTACCCTTGTCAGGGTCTTCGGCGTGACGAGCGAACGCTTAAACCACTAGGCTACCTGACCACCCCTATTTTGCTTTTGAATAGAGTATATGAATGCTGGTTTAAGCCGCTTTAGTCAACTAATTCAGTCCCGCACCAATACGGCCATGTCGCCCTCTGGAAGAGTGCCACGTCCAAAAGTAAATGCCCCTAAATTAGGTTTCACGATACCGTCAATTACAGGAATTGCGATGTCACGTGTCACGGTAGAGGACGCCGGTGGCGACACCATCTGGCAAATCGAACACGACGGTAACAGCTACCCAAACTTCCCCCACATCGATTCCATCACCAACATCCACAACCTCCCCATCAGAGACGATGACATCTTCATCTGCGCTTACCCGAAATCCGGTAAGCCTTTAATACAGATGGATCGTTTTAGGTTTTCATCATTATTGATTCTATACAAGGGAAGGTATCATCAAAAGAGTTCGAATCCCATTTCGGTCTGATTCTTGGGTTGACGGTAGAACGATCCCTGGCCGCGTCATACGTTAAGACGTTTAAATATGGTACTTGTTGTTACCGTGTCTGGCGCTCGGTATTAAGGGGCTAAAACAAGGACTGGTCGGCTCGGAGTCAGTACACTGAATGAATTTCTTGGGGAGTACTTATCTCTAAAGTCAAAAACTTGATGACTGCTCGGTTCTTGTTTTTTTCCATTTCTGTGTCCATTTGGGCCCCTATCACGTTCAGTTGGCTGTCATTAATATACAAACGGCACCAATAGACCAAAATACACTTGCAATGAACTACTCAAACAATGTACTCCATGCATTGACTAGTTTACTTTGGCCAATAGTTAAAAGTAAGTCAGGCTTAGAACTTCTTGACCTGAAGGATTCATGTTAAACTGCGGCATGGTATCTCAGTGGGCGAGCACTATAAATCGGCATCAGTCCGGCCTAGTACGAACAGACACACACACGTGCATGCACGTCGCAATATAAGTGCAATAATCTTGGACGCGACGTTAAACCCAATTTCACCTCACCGCACTTTGGATTGACAGCTGCATCCTGTGGGGCACGGGTGGCCCAGTCGCCTAAGACGCCGCGATTCGCTGTGCAGAGTTGCGTCCCTTGGGCACACCAGAAACCTATGATTATGGGTTCGAATCCCAGTTCGCCCCGATTATGTTTCTAGGTTTGTCAGCACCATGCCCGTGCTCGTGGGTTTCACCTAAGTGGTAAACGTCTGAGACGTGAATCACTTCGGGCTTTCCTCCCACATTAATCTGACATGTCGCGCTATAACTGGAAGACTGTTAAAAGGGGCGTTAAACCCAACTCACTCACTCACTCGTGGGTTTCAAGCAAGTGGTAAACATGTATGCATCACTTCGGGCTTTCCTTCCCTATCAAGCTTACCCTACGCGAGATTACTGGAATACTGTTGAACACAGCGTTAAAAATAACTCACTATCGTATCAGATAAAGGTATGCCAGTCAACGTAAGATGGCGTTATAGTGATGTCTTTACACTGAGTGAGTGAGTGAGTCAGTCAGTCAGTCAGTCTGGTTTTACGCCGCTTTTAGCAATATTCCAGCAATATCACACGGGTTCGATTTCACCAGAAATGGGTTTTACACATTGTACCCATGTCAGGAATCGAGCCCGGGTCTTCGGCGTGAGCAGCGAACGCTTTAACCACTAGGCTACCCGACCGCCCCTGATGTCTTTACACATCTCACTGACACATACACACATGTCAACACTTACCGTGAAGATCCGGGTAGAATTGGTTTTCAGCAACCAATGTTTTTCGTAACAATGCTTGTTGTATGAGGCTGACTTGGTTGATGCATGTCATCGTATCCCAGTTGCGTGAATCGATGCTCATGATGTCCACCACTGGATTGTCTGGTCCACACTCGATTACAGACCGCCGTCATATAGCTGGCATATTGCTAGAGTGTGGCGTTAAACAACAAACAAACAAAGCATGTCAACTCTAACCAGAGGGACATTGGTATAACTTCATCATATAATCACCAGCTTTCGACCTAACCTGTGACTTTGGGGAAACGCTGCTTTAAACAGTATTCCAGTTATATCACTGCGTGTCAGCTTAATGTGGGAGGAAAGGCTAAAGTGATGCAGGTCTCGTCCGTTTACCACTTTTATGAAACTAGCACGGGTATGGTGCTGACAAACCTTATAGCAAAATCAGGGTGAACTGGGATTCGAATCCACAATTATAGTTTCCGGCGTGCCGAAGGGACGCAACTCTGCACAGAGAATGACAGCGCCTTAGAGGACCGGGCCAGTCGTGCCCCCAATCTGACTGAAAGGAAGGGGAGACGAACATTATTACAAAAACACAAGAACCATTCTCAGAGCCTCATTCCTGTAAGAGACGGATCACTTATGAGTCTGTGGAGAGGGACTGGGATATTTCTGAAACTTTCTCAAAAACATAAATTGTATTCAAAGGAATCAGTGACCCCAACAGCCTGTCTCTAACATTTATTTGTTTGTTTGTTGTTTAACGCACTCAGCCACATTCCAGCTATATGACGGCGGTCTGTAAATAACCGAGTCTGGAGCAGACAATCCAGTGATTGACATCCACGCAATTGGGATACGATGACATGCATCAACCAAGTCAGCGAGTCTGACCACCTGATCCTGTTAGTCGCCTCTAAGCATAGTGGCCTTTTACGGCAAGCATGGGTTGCTGAAGAACTATTCTACCCCGGATCTGTCTCTAACAAGAACAATCGTAAATCACCCAGGAAATATTTTTAGCTACATGTCCATCCTTCAACATTGTTTTAGGAACACACTGGATCTGGGAGGTGGCTCGACTCCTTGTCACTGGCCAGACAATTCAGGACAGTGTTGAGAAGGGCGTAGGCATGCTTGAATACCTGCCACAGGAGGATGTGACGTCACTTCCGTCCCCCAGAATTCTCAACAGCCATTTCAAACTGAAGCTGCTTCCGGTGGACATCCTCAAGAAGAGGTGTAAAATCCTGTATTTGATACGGAATCCCAAGGACGTGGTTGTGTCCTATTACAACTACATGCGAGGTCTGCCGCACTACAAGTACACGGGAAGATGGGAGAACTATATGCAATATTTCATGCTTGGTAAATGTAAGTATTTGATCTTTGAATATGCCACCTGTATCGATAAATGCTGATCTTTCCGGTTCGCGAATTCTATATCTCTTATATAGTAAATATCTGTAAATATCTCGATAACCTAGGGTGGAATGCTTCTTCATCATGATAAGAAGCCTAAAACCATATGATTGGTTCGTCTTGACAAAGGAACTGTTCTTGAATCCTAATAAAATCTTGCTTAAGAACCCATGGCGAAACGAACTAATTAAAGTGAGTTGAAGGTGAAGGTTGCATCCAAGATTATAGCGACGTGCATGCACCTATGTGTGTGTGTGTGTGGCTGATGGTACTAGTCCGGACTGATACCGATTTTATAGAACTCGCCCACTGAAATCCCAGTTTCACACGAAGACCCCACTCAGACACAGTATACTGACTCAGTAAATCAGTAATCAATTAAGTACCATCTTTTAACGTTTTTGGGTATGACTCGGACGCTCTATCACTTAACCACGGAGATGGTCAACTAATAAAAGCGATTTTAAATGCATGGAATAATGAATGAGATGCCAGACTAAAGGCTATGCCATTAGGACGTCCAACATTGGTTCTTGATTGCCACAGTTTCCTACGGGTCTTGGTTCGACTATGTCCTGGAGTTTGAGGACATGAAGAGGACTTATCCGGACCTGCCAGTCCTCACCCTCCATTACGAGGACTTGAAGGAGGTAAGACTTTCATATTTAAACCATCATCTGATGCAATGAAACTGGTCCATTGAAACCATTGGATACTGTGTACTATCATGGCTTTTGGGGATGCCATTATCTAATACAGGGACGGCGGGTAGCCTAGTGGTTAAAGCGTTCGCTCGGCACGCCGAAAGTCCAGGTTCGAAACCCATTTCTAGTATCCCCTGCCCAGATATTGCTGGGATATGGCTAAAAGCGGCGTAAAACTGTACTCACTCACCCATTATCTAAAACATAAAAGGCATTCGTGGTGTTTAGTTGTGTGAACGTCTAACGAGAAAGACACTGAACATGCACGCCAACATTAACCCTTCTAACTGCTAAGAGGGGCACGGGTGGCCCAGTCGTCTAAGGCATCTAAGGCGCCGCGATTCTCTGTGCAGAGTTGAGTCCCTTAGGCACGCCAGAAACCTATGATTGTGGGTTCGAATCCCGGTTCGCTCCGATTATGTTTCTAGGTTTGTCAGCACCATACCCGTGCTCGTGGTTTCACCGAAGTGGTAAACGTCTAAGACCTACGTCACTTCGGGCTTTCCTCCCACATTAAGATGACTCGCCCTGATATAACTGTAATAATGTTTAATGTGGCGTTAAACCCAACTCACTCCCTCTAACATCTTACACTTGTGATACAGTGTAATTGGTAGAAAACAAAAGTCATGGATCAATTAATATACAATACATTGTTTGAACATATATATCATCTTTGTGAATTGAGGCGGTTCAGTGAAGCACCCCGGACAAACAACGCATGCACGCACGCACGCACGCACGCACGTAAGTCGCTTTATAACTACAACAATCACGAACGCTATGTTAAACACCTTTTTTCACGACCCGTGAAGAACCGGGGTAGAATAGGTCTTCAGAAACCAATGCTTGCCGTAACAGGTGACTATGCTTGTCGTAAAAGGCGACTAACGGGATCGGGTGGTCAGACTCGCTGACTTGGTTGATGCATGTCATTTATCCCAATTGCGTTGATCGATGCTCATGATATCAACCACTGGTTTGTCTGGTCTGGAATGTGGCTGATTGCAGCGCTAAACAACATATTAACAATCGAAAACATATTTTCAATTAAAGTCACCAACGTTTCATATGAAGACAGGTGTCAGCTCTGGCAATACGGTGTTGATAATCGCCTTTAACTCACGCGTGTCTTGGTTTAACTCACGCGTGTCTTTGTTCAACATACGTGAGTCTTGGTTCAACTCACGTGAGTCTTGGTTCAACTCACGCGTGTCTTGGTTCAACTCACGTGTGTGTTGATTCACCTCACGTGAGTCTTGGTTCAACTCACGTGTCTTGGTTTAACTCACGTGTGTCTTGGTTCAACTCACGTGTGTCTTGGTTCAACTCACGTGTGTCTTGGTTCTACTCACGCGTGTCTTGGTTAAACTCACGTTAGTCTTGGTTCAACTCACGTGTGTCTTGGTTCAACTCACGCGTGTCTTGGTTCAACTCACGTTAGTCTTGGTTCAACTCACGTGTGTCTTGGTTTAACTCACGTTAGTCTTGGTTCAACTCACGTGTGTCTTGGTTCAACTCACGCGTGTCTTGGTTCAACTCACGTTAGTCTTGGTTCAACTCACGTTAGTCTTGGTTCAACTCACGCGTGTCTTGGTTCAACTCACGTTAGTCTTGGTTCAACTCACGTGTGTCTTGGTTTAACTCACGTTAGTCTTGGTTCAACTCACGTGTCTTGGTTTAACTCACGTTAGTCTTGGTTCAACTCACGTGTGTCTTGGTTCAACTCACGCACGTCTTGGTTCAACTCACGTGTGTCTTGGTTTAACTCACGTGTGTCTTGGTTCAACTCACGTGTCTTGGTTTAACTCACGTGTGTCTTGGTTCAACTCACGTGTGTCTTGGTTCAACTGACGCACGTCTTGGTTCAACTCACGTGTGTCTTGGTTTAACTCACGTTAGTCTTGATTCAACTCACGTGTCTTGGTTCAACTCACGCGTGTCTTGGTTCAACTCACGTTAGTCTTGGTTCAACTCACGTTAGTCTTGGTTCAACTCACGCGTGTCTTGGTTCAACTCACGTTAGTCTTGGTTCAACTCACGTGTGTCTTGGTTTAACTCACGTTAGTCTTGGTTCAACTCACGTGTCTTGGTTTAACTCACGTGTGTCTTGGTTCAATTCACGTGTGTCTTGGTTCAACTCACGCACGTCTTGGTTCAACTCACGTGTGTCTTGGTTTAACTCACGTTAGTCTTGGTTCAACTCACGTGTCTTGGTTTAACTCACGTGTGTCTTGGTTCAACTCACGTGTGTCTTGGTTCAACTCACGCACGTCTTGGTTCAACTCACGTGTGTCTTGGTTTAAGTCACGTTAGTCTTGGTTCAACTCACGTTAGTCTTGGTTCAACTCACGTGTCTTGGTTTAACTCACGTTAGTCTTGGTTCAACTCACGTTAGTCTTGGTTCAACTCACGTGTGTCTCGGTTCAACTCACGTTAGTCTTGGTTCAACTCACGTTAGTCTTGGTTCAACTCACGTGTGTCTTGGTTTAACTCACGTTAGTCTTGGTTCAACTCACGTTAGTCTTGGTTCAACTCACGTTAGTCTTGGTTCAACTCACGTTAGTCTTGGTTCAACTCACGTGTGTCTTGGTTCAACTCACGTGTCTTGGTTTAACTCACGTTAGTCTTGGTTCAACTCACGTGTCTTGGTTTAACTCACACGTGTCTTGGTTTAACTCACGTTAGTCTTGGTTCAACTCACGTTAGTCTTGGTTCAACTCACGTTAGTCTTGGTTCAACTCACGTGTGTCTTGGTTTAACTTACGTTAGTCTTGGTTCAACTCACGTGTCTTGGTTTAACTCACGTTAGTCTTGGTTCAACTCACGTGTGTCTTGGTTCAACTCACGTGTGTCTTGGTTTAAATCACGTGTGTCTTGGTTTAACTCACGTTAGTCTTGGTTCAACTCACGTGTGTCTTGGTTCAACTCACGTGTGTCTTGGTTCAACTCACGCACGTCTTGGTTCAGCTCACGTGTGTCTTGGTTTAACTCACGTTAGTCTTGGTTCAACTCACGTTAGTCTTGGTTCAACTCACGTTAGTCTTGGTTCAACTCACGTGTGTCTTGGTTCAACTCACGTGTGTCTTGGTTCAACTCACGCACGTCTTGGTTCAACTCACGTTAGTCTTGGTTCAACTCACGTGTCTTGGTTTTACTCACGCGTGTCTTGGTTCAACTCACGTGTGTCTTGGTTCAACTCACGTGTGTCTTGGTTCAACTCACGCACGTCTTGGTTCAACTCACGTTAGTCTTGGTTCAACTCACGTGTCTTGGTTTAACTCACGTTAGTCTTGGTTCAACTCACGTGTGTCTTGGTTCAACTCACGGCAAGCGAAGCCATCAAACAGGGACAAGGATATTGGAAATAGCCCATGATCCTGACACATATATCAATAATCGCATTTCTTTATATGCATAAGCCTCTATCACAGGATATGGACGAAAGGGACACTCTGCCCACTCCATTCACAGGTCCTCATTGTCTGACCTATTTATTAATTGTCAATGCAAGAGAATAACCATCCTAGATTTTCTGCCAAAACAGATTCCACTTGACCTAAAGGGCAAATAGCTGTGGACATTATATGAATGGACCTCTCAGAATCAGTGATGCATGTGCTACTCTACAGGTAGCACCCGCCATTCGTACAATGTGCATGAGAAAGTAAGTATGTTTTGCCTGACGCAGCACAGGAGTACTCCTGACGTGGAACATCAGCCTGTAAGCCAAACCCAGACAATCAAACTCTTACATATCAAGGATAAACTAACAAAGGGCCGGGGGATTATTGATTATCGAACATAGTCTGATTATGTCGAAGTCCGTTGTATTTATTTTTATTGTTATTGTTTCAAGGACCCACTGCGAGAGATACGGAAAGTAAACGAGTTCCTGGGAACAGGACGCAGCGCAGAGTTCCTGCTGGAGGCGATTGAGCTCGCCAGCTTCGACAACATGAAACAGAAGAAATCCCAGCGCGTAACCTACAGGAAAGGTAAGTCGCAGCTTGTAATATTTATGTGTTTGTTTGTTTGTTTGTTTGTTTGTTGTTTAACGCCGCACTCAGCAATATGCCAGTTATATGGCAGCGGTCTGTAAATAATCGAGTCTGGACCAGACAATCCAGTGACTGACAACATGAGCATCGATCCACGCAAATGGGATACGATGACATGCATCAAATCAGCGAGCCTGACCACCCGATCCCGTAAGTCGCCTCTTACGACAAGCATAGTCACCTTTTGTGGCAAGCATGGGTTACTGATTTTACCCCGGATCTTCACGGGTCTGCTTGTTTGTAATGGACTTGAGGTGACATGTTATATGGTTTTGAGGTGACATGTTATATGGTCAGATACATTTCATATAAATGACTAGATACTTAACAAACACGGATCCATCTTGAATATAACTAGATATTGGTGATGTGAGCTGAAAGCCGATTTCCGGAACTCAAAATATTTATAATACATGTTTCTGGAGCGACGAGACATTGTTACAAGATTCAAGAGAATGGTGACAGGGCTGTTTCCCCTTATACAAACATCTTTCTAGTTATGTTACATATTTCCAGGTGAAGTGGGCGACTGGAAGAACTGGTTCACTGTGGCCCAGAACGAGTGGTTCGACCAGCTCTACCAGGAGAAGATGGCTGATTCTGATATCAAAGTCAGATTTACGTTAACGTAGCTCTAGTTCCTGTACACTGGATGTCCATCGCTTAACACTAATCAGAAACACAGATCTCGCAGCATATTGGATGTATAGACATGGTATATCCAAGTGGTCATCTGCTCAGTGCCTGATCAACATATTATTAATCAACGTCACCATCCTCATGATGCTGCACAACATCTGTTTTGACTGCATTGATCAGTGTACTCTCCATGGAGACATGCCAATGGCGCACAATTGAACTACTAGCTGGCAAATTCAGGCAATCCACAACATCATTTTAAAAATTAATTTGATATTTTAATGAAACTATATTGGCAACATTAATTTTGTCCAATCATGATATAATTGTTGAGGGAATTGTTGTTTTTATTGGTGTTGAAAGGATGAGTATATGTGTTTTTGAGCACCTGTACTCTTCCATATAAATATCACCAAGTTATTCACATCAATATCGGGAGGAACGGGTGCCCCAATCGTCCTAGGCGCCGCAATTCGCTGTGCAGAGTTGCGTCCCTTTGGCACTCCAGAAACCTATGATCGGTTCCCGGTTTCTAGGTTTGTAAGCAACTCCATGAAGACATGACAATGGCGCACAATTGAACTGCTAGCTGCCAAAGCCAGACAATCCACAACATCATTTTTTAAACTAATTTGATATTTTAAATAAAGCTATTTTGGCAACATTAATTTTGTCAAATCATGATATAATTGTTGAGGGAATTTTTGTTTTTATTGGTGTTGAAAGGATGAGTATATGTGATGTTGAGCACCTGTGTTATCCAACTGGGATCGGAATTGTTTCCCAGCAGCATGAGTGCGTGAGTGCGTGAGTGCGTGAGTGCGTGAGTGATTTGTGTTTACGGTCGCTTTGAACAGTATTTGAGTTATATCAGGGAAAGACCAAAATAAAAGCAAAAAGGAAGGAGGTGGTGCAGACAAACGTAGAAACTTCATCTGAGTCAGTATACTGTGTCTGAGTGGGGTATCCACGTTAAACTGCAGCGTGGTATCTCAGCGGGATAGCACTATGAAACCAGCCTAAGTCCGGACTAGTACAAACAGCCTAACACTATGTAAGTGCTGTGATCTTGAACGCGAAGTTTAACCCCATTTCACCACCACCTCTCGAATGTTACGACTATGGCGCACGGTACGGTCACTGTCAAACTATTCTACCCTTGTGGCAATACCTGTTACATTGATTATAATGAGTTTGTCTTCACCCATGTAAACTTGATTAACAGCTGTTTCATACCTAATTAATATAGTGAGAGGATAACAGCAGGTGAATGTGGTAATTATGAAGAATGTACTGGTTTTCAATAAATAATCGTGACATGCAGTATCAGAAGGTCGAAACTGCGGGCTTGGTCGGGGAGCGAACGCTTGTACTATATCAGTTATATGTACCAGTAAAATATCACTTCTGGTAACTTTGGACGAGGTAGCACGGTGAGTCGGCGTAGATGTTACTATGGGATGTATGTCTCTCTCTTTCTCTCAGAATACGTTATGTCACAGAATGTTTGCTGTTTTTGATGGTACAGTAAACTACGGTTATAACGAACACGCTTATAACGAACTAACGGATATAACGAACTAACGTTTTAGTCCCGACTATATGCTGTAGGTATGCTGTATATATGCTTATAACGAATTACGGTTATAACGAACTAAAATTAGTAGCCCCTTTGAGTTCGTTATAACCGTAGTTTACTGTATAACATAATTCTACAATCGTTATGTGAAATAGATGCTGTTTGTGAACTGGTCTTATATACGTGAAGAGGATTTATAGATGTCAACTTCTTTATTATGAGGAACAATGTTTCGGAGCATCAGCTTCCTCCTTCATCAGGAGCATATACTCCGAAACGTTGTGTTCCTCATAATAAAGAAGCTGACGTCCATAAATTCTCTTCCTTGTATGCATCACTTTTAAATGCCATTTAAGGACTTGGTCTTGTATAATTTTATATTTGTTAGGTCGAGTTTTGATCTTAACTACCGGGCAAAAGGAAATACACACCTATGTTTGATGGTAGCTAAGAGTGTAACAAACGGTAATGGTCAATCGATGGTGATGCATTTAATACCGGTATTGGTTCTGGACCTTAAGCTTGCAGTGTTAACGCGACTGTTTTCAGCCATTGTTACGTATTGATAACGTTAACGTTTGTAATAATTCCATGATTCAAATGTATACCTTCTGTCATGCAGTTTCTATAACAGTTGCCCCAATAAAGCATGAAACACACACTCAAACCCCGTTAGACCTAGACTGGGACCAGTCCCCGTTTCCTATATTTGTTAAAAAAGTAATAAAAAATATCAGAGACAGATTTCTTTCCTCCTCTCTGGTGTGTTACGAATGAATGAAAACCCTCGTCATCCCACATCCTGTTAGGAAGATCCAACTTTCCGTTCTATCTTTATGAACGCCATACAAAGACATTATATTCGAGTCTTTTTCAAAACGTCAGAGCAAATGTCAATATTCATCATGGATCGAAGTAATCGCACATGTTCAAATGGCTGCCAACTACACACGACAGAAAAAGTCCGTTTCCTGACGTTTGGAATAGTATTGATATTAATATGAATGCACTCATTCCAAGTATTCCAAATTATTTGGTTATATTGCCATGTATGTCCAGATTGGAAATGTAGAAATGTACTTGGTGTCCATCCCCGTCCGGGAACACGGGTGTCCCAGTCGTCTAAGGCGCCGCGATTCGCTGTGCAGAGTTGCGTCCCTTAGGCACGCCAGAAACCTATGATTGTGGGTTCGAATCCCGGTTCGCCCCGATTATGTTTCTAGATTTGTCAGCACCATACCCGTGCTCTTGGGTTTCACCGATGTGGTAAACGTCTGAAACCTGCATCACTTCGTGCTTTCCTCCCACATTAAGCTGACACGCCGTGATATAACTGTAATACTGTTAAAAGCGGCTTTAAACCCAGCTCACTCACTCGCTCACCATACCCGTCCATTATCCCGACAGGTTTGTTATGTCATATATGCCAGGGGCTAGCGACACTAAACCAAATGTGTGTACATGCCAATTGTAAAGAGTTGAAGAGTTTGCAATTTCAAACTTCTAGCGTTAGAAATGAAACATTAACCTTCAATTTACAGGTACAGAAATTAGTAGGAATTTGTACAATTTCAAATGTTTTACGCACGCGTTTGGCATATATGAGATAAGATTGACACCTATGCGTTTGAAATACTTAGATAAATACAAGCCGAATAAATGATTAAGTGTCATTTTACTTCATTTCGTAATCATATACAGGCATCAATGTTCAATCATGTACAGGTTAAACTTTTGTAATTCTGGCTTGAAAATGTATAAATATGGACTATTTTCGTAACTTCAAATGAAAACCTAGTATGATCAAAACCGTGACCCATGATGAATTTGTACTATATATATATATATATATATGTATGTATGTACTGCTATGGTACATGAATTTCCTAAGAAAATCAGTTTGGGTCCAAGACTTGATGCACATTATTAATAGACGCTTTCTGAAACCTCTGAAATAGACCGTGAAGATCCGGATTAGAATAGGTCTTCAAAAACCCATGCTTATCGTAAGAGGCTACCAACGGGATCGGGTGGTCGAGCTCGCTGACTTGGTTGATACATGTCATCGTATCCAAATTGCGCAGGGCGATGCTCATGATGTAACTCATTGTATTACCTGGTCCAGACTCGATTATTTACAGGCAGCCGTCACACAGTTGGAATAGTGTGTCGTTAAACAGCAAGCAAACAAGCATTCCTCTAAAATCAGGCTTTTGACACAAGTTCCACATTTCTCAAAGTTTTCCTTATCTATGCATTTAGTGTTGTTATAACCCCCAAATATGCAATTGTTGAAATGAACAAGTTTGATTCTCATTCATATGAACACAACTGATATCTTTCACAATGATTTGTAAAGTTTTCCACATTTCTCAAAGTATATGCATATCACACGGTCCAAAAAGGGACGTCGTCATACCTCGTTCTTTGACAACCCGAACGTCACTAAGAACAAAACCAGATTAAAAAGGATTCACAGCCAAGAATTTCTGCAATTGAACCAGATCTGATCGAAAATTGAACATTTAGCTTTGCATCGCCAGCCATTTTGATCTCATATTTTGACAGGACGGTTGTTTGCCTGTTCACAAAGTGTCGCCATGTCGGTCATTAAGGAGGTCGACTGTGATGGACACTCCCTCAGGATGATGGAACACGATGGAGAACGTTATCCCCACTTTCCTGCTGATGTCCTCAGAAACGTTAAACACATAAAAATACGTCATGATGACGTCATCGTATCAGCGTTTCCCAAATCAGGTAATGAGTTATGATTGTTTTGGACTTACGGCTGTGTGCATACAGTGTGTCTTTAAGTTTACACAGATAGCACAAATAATGTTCGTTGGACATACTGGGTGTCCTTAAGAACTGTGTCCTTTAAAAGAATGTACGGCCCCTTTATCAGAGAAAACAATCTCATGTCTTGCAAACCGTGAAGATCCGGATGAGAATAGGTCTTCAGCAACCCATGCTTGCCGGAAGAGGCGACTAACGGGATCGGTGGTCAGGCTTGCTGATTTTACTGATGCACGTCATCGTATCCCACTTGCGTAGATTGATGCTCATGATATCAATCACTGGATTATCTGGTCATGTTCCCTCGGGGCTGTAATATTAACAGACCGCCGTCATATAGCTTGGATATTGCTGAGTGCGGCGTTACACAACAAACATGTAAAACACAAACTCATGTCTTGAGGCAGTGATCGAAAATCGAACGAAACTCCCAACCCATGTCTGTCCCCTTGAGGCAAATGCCTTGTATCACATCATACGTTCCAGTGCATGAAGCTGGCACGGGTGGCAATGTCGTCTAAGGCGACGCAATTTGTCACAGAACTGCGTCCCCTGGACACGCCTGAAACTTATGATCGTGGGTTCGAATCCCGGTTCGTCCTGATTATGTTTCTAGGTTTGTCAGCATCATACCAGGTCTTCGGGCCTCCCTCCCTCATTAAACTGACACACCGTGATATGACTGCAATAATATTCAAAGTGGTGTTAAACCCAACTCACTCACTCACTCACTCACTCACTCACTCACCCACCCACCCACCCACCCACCCACTCCTTGGCTTGTACGTCGTTATTAATATTTCACCAAATGTATTTTGTATATTAGTAATCAGCTTTGGCTGTCTGGAAGATTTTGGAATAAAAACGCTGTGTCCAGTGACACGTAAATGTGACTGCAAGTTCTGATTACCTACAGGTTCCCACTGGGTCCATGAGATAACTCGTCTCCTCAAGTTGGGCCGGTTGGACGAGACTAATTTTGAAAAGAACGATGTCCAGTTAGAATATGTACCAGAAGCAACATATGCGCAAAACCCGTCTCCCAGAATCCTCAGCTCACACGTCAACTTCCGGTCGCTTCCAACGCAGGTTCTGGAAAAGAAGTGCAAGCTTATCTATATCCTCAGGAACCCCAAGGACATTGCTGTGTCGTTCTACAACTTCTGTATCAAGATGAGGCATCTGACCGGCTACAAGGGAACATGGGCTAGCTTTCTTCCGATGCTGACACAGGGAAAATGTAAATGAATGTTTCATTTTATTTTTTCCGAAGGATATTTGAAAAAAGATCAGTTTTACGATAAACGACTTTTGATCATTTTTGTTACTATCCTCTCTAATTTTCTTTGATCATTCCTTGGTAATTGAATACGTTCCACAAAGGGGAATGTTTTGTTGCTTTGTTGTTTAACGCTGCAATATTCCAACTACATGACTGCGGTCTGTAAATCATCGAGTCCAGACCAGACAATCCTATGATTGCCTTCATGAGCATGGATCTACGCATTTGTTGCTCATGCTATCGACCTCTGGTTTGCTTGGGTCCGACTCGATTGTTTATTACCCGCCATGATAGAGCTAGGAATGTGTTACTGTTTCGTAAAACACAACTCGCTCACCATATTTCTGTTATCAGTGGCCTTCGGATCCTGGTTTGACTACGTGCTCAACTGGGAAAGAGGGAAAGCAATGTACCCGGATCTTCCCGTTCTCACTCTATTCTATGAAGATCTAAAGGAGGTACGATGTGTATCAGTTGTAGAGATGTTAAGGCTCACTGGTAACGGTTTTGTCTGGATAATACGATTTATCATTCAAAACTGGCTCCCACAGGAGATATCGCTTGGGTGAGATCAAGCGATATCTTCATTGTAGATATTGCTGTTATGAAATTGCATCACAATGCTTTGCAGACCATTGTAATGTCATGGTTACAATGACGTCACAATCAAATGACATCACTAATGGCTCTGCTACTGAACACTCGGAGATAAAAGTGGAAAAATTCCTCGGAAAGCCTCTGAGTTTTTTCACTTTCTGTCCACTCGTGTTGATATATTTGATATCAAAAGACACGAGGGTGAGATTCTCGATACATCCAGTTGATAGAATTTACATGATTAAAATGTCGTGAAAGTTCTACTCTCAGATTTGTACCTTTTTGGTTTGTCGTATTCATATTTATACTGTTTAGATGAATGGTAACGGTGCGTAATTTTCAACACATAAATGTATGCTCGTAATACCGTTATTCCAGGACACGCTGTGTGGAGTTAAGAAGATCAACGACTTTCTTGATCTCCATAGAGACGACAGATTTCTACAAAAAGTCAGCGACCACGTGACTTTTACAAATCTGAAACGAATCAAAGGCAGAAACCATTTGCATGACGGGCAGTCTGTAGTCTTCAGGAAAGGTATTTAGTGTCTCTCAAATATGCGGGTGACTGTTTACACATTTGAGGTGGAGTCGAACAATCTTGATTTTTTTATAACAGGTGAGGTGACGTGAAATTGGGTTTAACGTCGCGTCCAAGATTATTGCACTTATAAAGCGACGTGCATGTACGTGTGTGTGTGTTTGTGTGGCTGCTTGTACTAGTCCGGACTGATGCTGATTTATAGTGCTAGGCCACTGAGATACCATGCCGCAGTTTAACATGAATACCCCACTCAGACACAGTATACTGACTCCGAGCCGACGCAAGACAGGGTAACAACAAGTACAATCTTTTAACGTCTTTTGGAACCCCGGACTTCCGCTCTCCGGGCGGACGCTCTACCACCAGACCACGGAGGCGGTCCTTTTTTATAACAGATACGTTTCAGGACATTTAATATTTCATGTTTTTTTAGCATGTGTGAGTGAGTATGGTTTACACCGCCTTTAGCAGTATCAAAGCAATATCACTGCGGGGACACCAGAAATAGGCTTCACACATTATACCCAAATAGGAAATTGAACCCTGACCTTCTGCGTGACGAGCGAACGCTTTCACAACTAGGCTATTCAACCGCCTTCTTGTGTGTACAACCCGAGGTAATGGGTTTCACAGTATCTTCTGTAACCCATGGCGTCCCTTGGACACTCCAGAAAACTGTGATTCAGAATTCTGTGGTTGTGATTGTTGGTTCGAATCCCGGTTTGCATAGGTTGTGTCGGCACCCAACACGTGCTCCTGTATTTCGCATTTCTGGTAAACGTCTGAGACCTGCGTCACCTCGGGCTTTCCTCCCATAGTAAACTGGCACGCCCTGATACGAGTATAAGTGAAATACTGTTCAAAACGGCGTTTCGTCTTCATTGTAATATTCATCAGTACTTTCATTGCAGAATACATCATGGTAGCATCTGCACTTTCACCTTCACTTCAAGTGCATGTGTTACTTATCATATACATCCGTGAAAATCCGGGTTAGAATAAGTCTACAGCAACCCATGCTTGTCGTAAAAGGCGACTATGCTTTTGTAAGAGTCGACTTTCGGGATCGGGTGGCCAGGCTCGCTGACTACGTAGATCGATGTTGATATCAATTACTGGATTGTCTGGTCCAAGCTCGATTATTTACAGACCGCAGTCATATAGCTTGAATATTGCTGAGTGCGGCGTTAAACAATAAACAAACAAACAACTTATCATATTCTCGCTTTATGCCGGCGACCTGTTAATAATCGTGTCTGATCCAGAAAAAAAACAGTGGTTGATACTGTGAGTAACGTTCACACCGTTGGAGTACAGTGGCGCGCAATGATCCAGTTTACAGATCCACTGGACCCAGCGGATCCATTTTATCGCCTATTCGCCCCTAGAATCCCCAGGGACATTCACACAATTAGACATTCATAATGTGACATCAACATAATCAGTTAATATTACTTTCCAGGTGAAGTGGGCGATTGGAAGAACTGGTTCACTGTGGCCCAGAACGAGTGGTTCAACCAGCTCTACCAGGAGAAGATGGCGGACTGTCAACTGCGGTTTCGATATACACTTGATGACTGTAACTGATGCATTCAATGTTCATTTTCATGTTCAATGTACAAGTATAAAGGCATCACAATTGGCGTTCACCTTCTTCAACTGCCAGCTTGCTTTAACCGATATGAGCACGTGTCGGTAACGTTAATGTCTTTGGAGTGGGTTGTAATGTATTTGATTTTATAGATATAAAACGTCAATGCCAGAGACCAACCAGTCTGGGTCATCCGCGATCTTCCCGAGGCAAGGGTGTTACATGACCTTAAAAGTTTTGTTTCCACCCTTGCCGAACTAGGCTGGAATTCCGGAGGTACATTTTGGCTGGACTCACGTGTCTATGCCTAGTCCACTCAAAATCGCGCAACGAACTTGACTTCCGGTTCGTAAACAATATGAACTGCAAGGGGCACATTTCCGTCGACTGCCGGATTTGCAGGGTATATGTGCCGCCAACTGGGGGGCGTCGACAGTTATTTTGCAAATCCTTTCATGTTTTAATGAAGGTGCTCAAGTGGTTTGATCTTGATTATCGCCATTGTGTCAGAAGCAAATGCAAGTGATATGAGAGATGGAATCTGATTGGTCAATAGGAGAGACATAGAAGGGACATAAATCGTAATTGCCACTGGTGGCGCTACGATCGACGCTGGAAATTCTATCGTAGTTCGGCAACGGTGGAAACTGGACTTTTATAGTCAGTTAAAGCCCTTGCCTCAGGAAGATGTCATGAGCTTGGGTTAGCACTGCTTTAAACTGTATAATAGAGAATTTCAGTTATATCACGGCTTGATGGTGAAAACCCGGAGTGTTGAAGATCGCATTGGTTGACATTTTATTGCATAGTATTGTATTGTATTGTATTGTGTTGTGCTGTATTGTATTGTATTGTATTGTATTGTATTGTGTTGTGTTGTATTGTATTGTAATTTGTTAAATTGATTGTGATGTTTCAGGGAACATGTTACATGTCGGGTGAATGTCTTTTAACACCAATAAAAATATATTTTTGTTTTGAAATAAGGCCTTATATATTGTATTACTTTGTTTGCGGGTACTTTTGTCAAAAGGGACGGCGATCGAAATATAGATGAAAATGAAACTGCAAGCAATACTTATGCTAGGTACAATAAATTTACTAAAATTCTACCTGCGCGTTTCTTTTTTTGAAGAGTGTATGTATTGGTGTGAACATTAGTCAAAGTGCAATAATAAGGAGGCTTTATTGTCAACGCTAATTTGTTATTTTCATTAATTAAATATCATTCACATGATATCACATATGTTACACAGGAAACAGTCACAGCGTGACAGAATTTGATTAATATATGTGAACGTAGTACTATAAATTGAACTGACGAATACACACGTTATTCATAAATGAAACAGACAGATAGACGGCAAATACTCCAATAAATACTCCAATAAATACTACAACAAATACTACAATAAATACCACAATAAATACTACAACAAATACAACAACAAATACTCCAATAAATACTCCAATAAATACTACAACAAATACTACAATAAATACTGCAACAAATACTACAACAAATCTTACAACAAATACTACAACAAATACTACAATAAATACTACAACAAATACTACAACAAATACTACAACATATACTACAATCAATACTACAACAAATACAACAACAAATACTACAACAAATACTACAACAAATACTACAACAAATACAACAACAAATACTACAACAAATACTACAACAAATACTACAACAAATACTATAATAAATACCACAATAAATACCACAACAAATACAACAACAAATATTACAATAAGTACCACAACAAATACTACAACAAATACTACAATATATATCACAACAAATACTACAACAAATACTACAATAAATACTACAACAAATACAACAACACATACTACAATAAATACCACAATAAATACCACAACAAATACTACAACAAATACTACAATAAATACTACAACAAATACAACAACACATACTACAATAAATACTACAATAAATACTACAACAAATACTACAACAAATACGACAATATATACTACAATAAATACCACAACAAATACAACAACAAATACTACAATAAATACAACAAATACAACAACAAATACTACAATAAATACAACAAGAAATACAACAACAAATACTACAATAAATACCACAACAAATACAACAAATACCACAATGAATACCACAACAAATACTACAACAAATACTATAATAAATACCACAATAAATACCACAACAAATACTACAACAAATATTACAATAAATACCACAACAAATACTACAACAAATACTACAATAAATACCACAACAAATACTACAACAAATACTACAATAAATACTACAACAAATACAACAACACATACTACAATAAATACCACAATAAATACCACAACAAATACAACAACAGCATCAGTATACAAACACCTTCAAGGAAATCTATGAACGGGAGTTCGAATCCCGGTTCGCCCTGATTGTTTCTAGGTTTGTCAGATCCATGGCCGTGTTACTGCGATTAAAAAAGTAGTAAATGTCTTAGACATGCATAACTTCAATGCTTTAAACTCACATAAAGCGACATGCCGTGATATGACCGCAAAACTGTATAAAGCGACGTTAAACCTAAACTCATTCACTCACTCACGTCCAGTGCAGAGACAAGAAGTCTTCTACTGTATAGAGATCTCTGTCCAGTGTTCACGCCTTTATGTTCATAACTGTACATATATGTGTGTGCTCGAAGCATAAAAAATAACTTGTTGTGTGCGTGTGTATGTATATTCACATGCAAAAGAAACGCAAGTGGTTTTAAGCAAATAGGGAACAAAAACGGAACCATAAATTGATACGAGTTTTAGCATGTAGTGAAGCCTGATGGTGTTATCTATATTTTTTGTTGTTTTTTGGAAGCTCCGAGTAAAAACGCAACATAAAAACCGAATCGCCAAAACGCACCATTTCAATGAATCTGTGGGTATCATGCACCCATTTATCGCGAAATCGAAAATGCACGAACTGTCACGAACTGTAGTGGGTATAAAACTGTGGCCGATTCTTGGACCTACCACTCCTTGGTCAACAATATCACACCTAACTCAAATTCAGAGAAACCAGGCTATCGGACGTTTGGAAGCTGGAGAGTCTGTCCAAGATGTTGCCCGTCATTTCAACGTTTACATAACAACAAGTTACCATCTCCTGCATCGATACAATGCTACACAGACCACAGATGACCTTCCTCGGAGCGGTCGTCCTAGGGTCACCACACCTCGACAAGATCGGCAGATTACCCGTCAACACCAGCGACACCCGTTCCTAACTGCAAGTGAAAGTGCTCGACAGACCATAGGAACACATAATCGACACATTAGCCGGGACACTGTGATCCGACGTCTCCGTTCCAACAACCTCAGATGTCGCCGACCAGCACGTCGTCCTGTTCTCCAACCACGGCATCGACAAGCACGACCTTAGTAGGCGCAGGGTCATTACAATTGGCGTCATCGTGAGTGGAGGCGTGTCATCTTCTCTGATGAAAGTCGCTTTTGTGTCTCCCATGCAGACGGAAGAGTCAGAATTTGGCGGCGTCGAGGTGATCGTTTCACTGACAGAAACGTTGTGGAAAGGGATCCATGGGGTGGACCTAGCGTCATGATATGGGCAGGGATTGGACTTAATGCGAGACTTGGACCCATGTGCTTTCTGAATGATGGTCAAGGTCGGGGACACGGCGTCACTGCTCAGCGGTATATCGACCAAGTGATCAGAACCCACGTTGTTTCATTTTTTGCACAACATCAACAACACATTTTCCAGCAGGACAACGCTCGTCCCCATGTTGCCAGAACTACCATGGCCTTTCTGCAACAACACAACATCCGTGTTCTACCGTGGCCAGCCCTCAGCCCTGATCTGAACCCCATCGAACACTTGTGTTGTGCTCTGGATGTGTGCAGGAGGATCCCTAGGGCCTTCACAAATCTTCTGATCCACTCAATGTACAGGAGATGTGTGGCAGTGATCAATGCTAATGGTGGTCTCACCAGGTATTGACTGACATTTTGGGTATTGACCCGAAACTTTATAAGTCTTAACGTTTGAAAAAAACAATTATGTCATCTGCCTTTTAATCCATGAAACTGTCTTCAGTCAAATTTGTGTCAATCTTGCCCTATTAGTATTTCTTGTCTTTACTTTTGATATAAAAATATATAACATGTATACTGCATACTCGACTTGCGTTTCTCTTGCGTGTGAGTATATGTGTGTATGTATATATGTGTGTGTGTGTTTGTATGTATGTGTTTATGTGTGTGTGTGTGTGTGTGTGTGTGTGTGTGTGTGTTCGTTTGTTTGGGGTGCGGGTGTGGGTGGGTGTGTTGGTGTGTGGGTGTGGGTCATGGTTGCATATCATCGTACGCCGACGTCGTGGGGCGTGGCTCATAAAATCAATCACTGGATTGACTGGTCATTCAAACAAACTCCACACACACGCTGTTCCTTATCTCCCATGTTCGACCTCCACAGATAAGACAGATAAGACACCTCTGCCACTAAACTGTGTTCTAGGTCTGTGCGGCGTCATGCTGCTGGTTCTATATTATTTGGTGGTGGTGAATGTTTTACCTTCGGACTCTCAGTTTGATGGATGTTTACGGAAACAGTTCAACTGCATTGCCGCCAAGTTTAGGGGGGAGTTTACACAAGATGGAGTTCACCTGACGAACGTGAGTACATCATGTATAAAGTTGATCCTAGACTTGAAACAGTCTTCTACCAAATAGATTAATAATATCTGAAGGTCAAGGTAAGACTTCTTTGTCCTCAGCATTATGTTCCAAATCCACTGAAACAAAGTTCAAAGATATATTTCTGTTGTTTCTACCAGTTTGTTGCTCCCTGATCTGCCTTCCTTTACCTGATCATCATAACTAATAATAGTTGATGTAATCATTTTTATTATTTGTATTATCATCTGTATCTTGTCACTGTGTTTTTTCTATACAGAAATCCGAACTGGTATTTGTAACACAGATATCTTTTGCTGAGGTCATGTGTTCGTTTAGGTCTCCCAGTCTCTTGGTACCGCTTGATGACTCCCTTTAACCAGCCCAAACTGTCTCACTACTTTTTCGTTGCTTCAATGATCAAATAACGACTCGTTGTAGCGTGATGCACGGAACGCTATCTTACGCTTTATTTTTGTGTGGTAGAGCTCGGAGAAGGTGTTCTATGACGAGGATAGAAGAATGATAGCGAGAGAGGAGTATGGACAAACGGACGGACAACCATTCGTGACATTCCGCCTCTATGACTATCCCAACGTAAGTGAATATTGGTCTGCCTGTTACTAAGTTTATTTATTTTATATATTTAATCAGACCAGGACTAAAATTGCTCAAGATTATTAATTTGAAATTGCTGAATAAACTACTATAATACTTTTTCTGGGGTAAAGTATCAATACTAGAATGCGTTGTTCCTAAGTGCACCACATCACCATGACAACGGAACATTCCCAAGAATAGACTTTGTTGTGAATGAGTGAGTGAGTTAATATTTAAAGTCACATCGGCACTATTTCAGCCATATCGTGACTTGAACAAGTTAAACATTTATATTATATATAAAAACCTGTCGCCGAAGGACAGTACAACAATTAGCAATATATCACAGATTATAATTTTAAAAACTAATTTTAGAGCAATAAAACGATCAAATTAAATCAGACGACACAGTATAAAAACGGGCTGTAGATCGCCAGCAACCGAAGCTAGGCCACCATACTAGGGACCATGGGGACTTACGGTACTTCTGCTACCTACATGGTCCCCAGCAGGATTTACACCATCCCTCGGGCTACTGGCGATGATCAGAAAGATTAGCCAAACAGTTAAAATCAACAAAAATGCTACGAATAAAATCACAGCAAAATGAAAAGATACTTTGAATGATACCGGACTTACGTACCTTCCCAGGGGGACAATTGTTTTACGATACTTCAACTCCCTGTGAAGATACAGCCACTAACAATCCAAGTCATGAATTCAATTTACCAAATTAAAATCACTTTCTATATACTATACATATTATAATCAAAATTTATCCATTAATTCTATTTCTTTTAAAAAACCGATGAGTAAATGAGCACTGATACTAAAAAGATCCTTGATGGACGAAACTTTGTAATACTTATCCCTTGTAATGGAAAAATCAATACAGTCAAGCAGGACATGCTTGACTGTGATTCTCTCATCACAAGGGATACAAAACGGAGGATCCTCACCCTTTAATAGATATTCGTGTGTATATCTTGAATGGCCAATACGACACCGTCGTAAAATGACCTCTTCAAATCTGGACTGACACCCCAAGTAGGTGTAACCGAGAGTTGGCTTAATTTGATGTAATTTATTGATACCTACTTGGGTGTCCCACTTCATTTGCATAAGATCTCTGATGTAACATCTGATCACAGGTTTATAATCACTGTATGGAAGTAGAAGTGGTGTCACAGATTTGTTGAGGGCTGCTTTAGCAGCAGCATCAGCCATTGTGTTGCCTTTTATGCCCACATGACTGGGCAACCAACAAAAGACGATGTCGTATTGGCCAGTTGAAAGATCATTATAAAGTTCTAAAATGTTTAAAATGATTGGATGACTAGAAGAGACATTTTTTAGTGCCTGAAGACAAGATAAAGAATCAGAAAAGATTATAAATAGTTTATATACAGATTGTTTTTGAATGTATCCCAAGGCTGTAAGGATAGCATTGGCCTCAGCAGTGAATATAGAGCTATTATCTGGTATTCTGGACGATAAATGTTTTGATCCAATGATGGTGGCAGATGCTACTTGGCCACCATCCTTGGATCCATCAGTAAAGATTGAACGGTGAGTGTCGTATTTATTTCTTAACTGTAAATATGCTTGTTGATATACGAGTGGATTGGTCTCAGATTTTATAAAACGTGTGAGGGAAATGTCTACTTCTGGCCTCACCAACTGCCAGGGAGGAGAAGACAAAAGGCGGTAAGGAGAGATGAGATCTAAATCTATATGGGCAGCAATAACATTTGATTTAATCCGAATTCCAAGTGGGGGAATCAGCTTTGGTTTCCTCAGAAACAGTTCTTCATATTGAGGATGAAAAACAGAGTCATATGCAGGATTAGAAGGGTTAGAGTGCAATTTTGTGATATATTGAAGAGATAATTTAATACGGCGTAGTTTCAAAGAGGGTTCATCAGCCTCGACATAGAGACTGTCAACAGGAGAAGTTCTAAAAGCACCAAGGCACAGTCTAAGTCCTTGATGGTGGATTGAATCAAGCTGTTTTAAATTACTCTTGCAAGCTCCAGCATACACAATGGAGCCATAGTCTAATTTAGAGCGGATTAATGATCTATATAAGTGAAGGAGGGATGTCTGATCCCCTCCCCACTTAGAATTCGAGACGACTTTCAACAAATCTAGGGCCTTCAGGCATTTAGTCTTTAAATATTTAATATGTGGCAAAAACGTCAAATGGTGGTCGAAAATCAATCCCAGAAATTTGGCCTCTTTTACAACCTTAATTGGAGTACCATCTAAAGAGAGCTCTGGGTCGTTATGGGTTTTATATTTCCGACAGAAATGTATACAATTTGTCTTTGTCTGTGAGAACTTAAAGCCATTCTCAAGACACCATTTCTGAATTTTATTAAGACACAACTGTAACTGTCTTTCAATTGTACGCATATTTTTACCACAACATGAAATATTAAAATCATCCACAAACAATGACCCATCGATTGAGTCATGTAATACTTTAGATAAACTATTTATTTTTATGCTAAACAAGGTCACAGACAAAATACTGCCTTGTGGAACCCCCTGATCCTGATTATAATGATCAGACAGGGTTGATCCAACACGAACTTGAAATTGTCTGTCAGTTAAAAACTGTGATACAAATTGAGGCAAGCGGCCTCTTAAACCAAAGTCATGTAAATCTTTTAAAATACCATGCTTCCAAGTGGTATCGTAAGCTTTTTCAAGATCGAAAAAGATAGATACAGCATGTTGTTTGTTTATAAAAGCATTTTTAATGAATGATTCTAAACGAACCAAATGATCAATTGTACTTCGGTTTTTACGAAAACCGCATTGGATATCACTGATTAAATTGTTGGTTTCTAAAAACCAAACTAAGCGATTATTCACCATGCGCTCCACAGCAAAATGAAAAGATACTTTGAATGATACCGGACTTACGTACCTTCCCAGGGGGACAATTGTTTTACGATACTTCAACTCCCTGTGAAGATACAGCCACTAACAATCCAAGTCATGAATTCAATTTACCAAATTAAAATCACTTTCTATATACTATACATATTATAATCAAAATTTATCCATTAATTCTATTTCTTTTAAAAAACCGATGAGTAAATGAGCACTGATACTAAAAAGATCCTTGATGGACGAAACTTTGTAATACTTATCCCTTGTAATGGAAAAATCAATACAGTCAAGCAGGACATGCTTGACTGTGATTCTCTCATCACAAGGGATACAAAACGGAGGATCCTCACCCTTTAATAGATATTCGTGTGTATATCTTGAATGGCCAATACGACACTGTCGTAAAATGACCTCTTCAAATCTGGACTGACACCCCAAGTAGGTGTAACCGAGAGTTGGCTTAATTTGATGTAATTTATTGATACCTACTTGGGTGTCCCACTTCATTTGCATAAGATCTCTGATGTAACATCTGATCACAGGTTTATAATCACTGTATGGAAGTAGAAGTGGTGTCACAGATTTGTTGAGGGCTGCTTTAGCAGCAGCATCAGCCATTGTGTTGCCTTTTATGCCCACATGACTGGGCAACCAACAAAAGACGATGTCGTATTGGCCAGTTGAAAGATCATTATAAAGTTCTAAAATGTTTAAAATGATTGGATGACTAGAAGAGACATTTTTTAGTGCCTGAAGACAAGATAAAGAATCAGAAAAGATTATAAATAGTTTATATACAGATTGTTTTTGAATGTATCCCAAGGCTGTAAGGATAGCATTGGCCTCAGCAGTGAATATAGAGCTATTATCTGGTATTCTGGACGATAAATGTTTTGATCCAATGATGGTGGCAGATGCTACTTGGCCACCATCCTTGGATCCATCAGTAAAGATTGAACGGTGAGTGTCGTATTTATTTCTTAACTGTAAATATGCTTGTTGATATACGAGTGGATTGGTCTCAGATTTTATAAAACGTGTGAGGGAAATGTCTACTTCTGGCCTCACCAACTGCCAGGGAGGAGAAGACAAAAGGCGGTAAGGAGAGATGAGATCTAAATCTATATGGGCAGCAATAACATTTGATTTAATCCGAATTCCAAGTGGGGGAATCAGCTTTGGTTTCCTCAGAAACAGTTCTTCATATTGAGGATGAAAAACAGAGTCATATGCAGGATTAGAAGGGTTAGAGTGCAATTTTGTGATATATTGAAGAGATAATTTAATACGGCGTAGTTTCAAAGAGGGTTCATCAGCCTCGACATAGAGACTGTCAACAGGAGAAGTTCTAAAAGCACCAAGGCACAGTCTAAGTCCTTGATGGTGGATTGAATCAAGCTGTTTTAAATTACTCTTGCAAGCTCCAGCATACACAATGGAGCCATAGTCTAATTTAGAGCGGATTAATGATCTATATAAGTGAAGGAGGGATGTCTGATCCCCTCCCCACTTAGAATTCGAGACGACTTTCAACAAATCTAGGGCCTTCAGGCATTTAGTCTTTAAATATTTAATATGTGGCAAAAACGTCAAATGGTGGTCGAAAATCAATCCCAGAAATTTGGCCTCTTTTACAACCTTAATTGGAGTACCATCTAAAGAGAGCTCTGGGTCGTTATGGGTTTTATATTTCCGACAGAAATGTATACAATTTGTCTTTGTCTGTGAGAACTTAAAGCCATTCTCAAGACACCATTTCTGAATTTTATTAAGACACAACTGTAACTGTCTTTCAATTGTACACATATTTTTACCACGACATGAAATATTAAAATCATCCACAAACTATGACCCATCGATTGAGTCATGTAATACTTTAGATAAACTATTTATTTTTATGCTAAACAAGGTCACAGACAAAATACTGCCTTGTGGAACCCCCTGATCCTGATTATAATGATCAGACAGGGTTGATCCAACATGAACTTGAAATTGTCTGTCAGTTAAAAACTGTGATACAAATTGAGGCAAGCGGCCTCTTAAACCAAAGTCATGTAAATCTTTTAAAATACCATGCTTCCAAGTGGTATCGTAAGCTTTTTCAAGATCGAAAAAGATAGATACAGCATGTTGTTTGTTTATAAAAGCATTTTTAATGAATGATTCTAAACGAACCAAATGATCAATTGTACTTCGGTTTTTACGAAAACCGCATTGGATATCACTGATTAAATTGTTGGTTTCTAAAAACCAAACTAAGCGATTATTCACCATGCGCTCCATGGTTTTACAAACACAGCTAGTTAATGAAATAGGTCGGTAATTGGATGGATCTGTATGATCCCTGCCAGGCTTTGGTATGGGTACAACGATGGCATTTCTCCACGAAGGATGAAAATGTCCCATTGTTCAAATATCATCAAAAATATTCAGTAGTGTTGTAAGACAAGATTCAGGCAAGTGTTTTAGAAGCTGATAATGGATATCATCAGCACCAGTTGCAGTATCATGAGCTTGAGCTAAAGCAGTGTGTAGCTCATGTAGTGAAAATACTTCGTTATAATCTTCGCCATTGTCAGAAATAAAATTGACTTTTTTCCTTTCTTGTTGTTGTTGATACTTCTGAAACTTTGGATTATAGTTTGACGAAGAAGAATGATTGGCTAAAGTTTCACCCAGTTTGTTTGCAATATCTGATTTTTCTGTCAATAAATTATTGTCATCTTTGAGATGATGAATACTTGATTTGGAACCTTTGCCTTTGATTTTTTGGATCATGTTCCACACCTTTGACATAGGCGTGCGAGAATTTATTTTGGAAACATAATCCTTCCAGGTCTGTCGTTTATGGAGTTTAAAAGTTCGTCGAGCCTTGGCATAAGTAATTTTTACAGTATTCAAATTATGAACAGTAGGATGGCGTCGAAAGTATTTCTCGGCCTTCTTCCTACGCTTCCTAGCTTGTTTGCATTCATAAGTAAACCATGGTTTACGAATATGTGGGTTCACAGAGGACTTAGGAATAGTTTCATCAGCTATACCTTTCAGTTGATCGGAAAACAACTGAATCGGGTCAGGTACATCCATAAAAAGTTCATGTTGCAATTTGTCAGTACATATGTTCTGAAATAACGGCCAATTTGCCTTAGAAAAATTCCATCTTGTTATAGGTGGATCATCAGTTGGGTTTATAGCTGTTAGCACTGTCGGAAAATGATCACTGCCACAAAGGTCATCATGGACTGACCACTCAAAATCATTATATAAGTTAGAATCTGTGATTGACAGATCTAATGCAGTGTACGTACCTGTTGCAGGATGTAAATATGTGTTCGAGCCGTCGTTGAAGATGCATAGATTATTGTTAGCAATAAAATCCTCAAGGATTTTCCCTTTATTATTTGAAGTGGAACTTCCCCATAGAGGGTTATGCCCATTAAGATCACCCATGATGATACAGGGCTTAGGGAGTTGGTCAAATAAATCCTGAAGGTCAGACTGCTGCAAATTTGAGGATGGAGAAATATATAGGGAACAAAGTGTTAAAGTTATTTGTAGAGTAAGACGGACAGCAACAGCCTGAAGGTTACACTTGAGATGAACAGGACTGTGGATGATGCCCTGCCTCACCAAAATGGAAGCACCGCCAGTGGCTTTATCACCTGGAGGTGAAAAAGAATGATAAGAATTGTACTGACGCAATTCAAATTTATCAGTATGCTTAAGATAGGTCTCTTGTAAACTAAAAGCTGATGGGTTATAGTCTTGTGCTAATAATTGAACGTCATTAAAATTATTCCTAAGTCCTCTGCAATTCCACTGAATTAATTTAGGACAATGTGTCATGGTGGTTCTATGGGGGATCTCTCACGGGCACGTGAGGAAGAAGGACTCCTACTATTGCTCTGGGACGATGGGGTTACATCCATGTCCAGAGCACCGAAGGAGTTTTGGAGAAGAACCTCTGAAGACGAGGATTTTATGGTAGTCTGTTTTCTGTTTATTTTTTTTCTTTCTTTTCTTGTTAGAGTAGGAACGGCAGATTTGATATTAGCTGGTTCTGCAACCTCTGGCTCTTTAGGACCAGACTCAACATCAGATTCATCAGTCAACGGTTCAGATGAGCTTATTGTTTGAGTCGAAGAACTATTTGAGGTTATGACAGAAGATATCCTAACAGGTTGATCTGACGTAATCCATGTCAAATCAGTCTGGATAGAAATTGACACTGTGGGAGGAGTTGAAGGAGTAGAGATAGCTGTAGCAGCAGAATAGGTTCTGGTCAGTGGAGTTTGAGGAGATTGATTTTCAATAAGCTTCTTAGCTTCGTAAAACGAGATATTGTTCTCATGTTTGAGTTTCAGGATTTTTGATTGCTTTTGCCATTCAGGACATAATCGTGATGAAGCCAGATGTTGACCTTTGCAGTTTACGCATTTTAAGTCAGCTGTACAGTCGGTGTTTTCGTGGCCGTCACCACAGCGTTGACAGACGACGGAGTGAACACAAGATTTTGATCCGTGTCCAAACTTTTGGCACTTGAAACATCGGAGTGGATTGGGGACATACACCTCCACTCCGATGTTAAGATAACCAGCTTTAATAGATGTAGGTAGGGTGGACAGTGCAAAAGTTAGCATATAGGTGTTAGACGGGATGGTGCCACCGTCTCTAGATTTCATTGTAAAGCGCTTAACTGCAGTTACCCCTTGACTTGTCAATTCATCTGTAATGTCTTGCTCCGACATGTCCGACAGGCAACGAGCTCTGTCTCGAACAATGCCTCGGCAAGAATTCAAGGTTTTGTGCACGGAGACAGCAACCTCAATATTAGCAAATGTAGTTAAAGATAGCAGATTCAGAGATTGCTGTCTACGTGAACACTTAACAAGTAGAGCGCCACTACGAAGCCGTGTCACATTTTTAACCTCTCCGCATATTCCTGAAACAGCTTTTGAAATAGCGAAAGGATTAAGCTTCAAGGGTTCTTTATCAGCTGCCTCTATCACAATAAATCGTGCCCAGGAGTCCAGTCCACGAGATAATTTATCATTTTGATCAGTGTCATCTAGATCCACATGTCTACGTTTTGATCGGTTTGAACCAGGGTATTGGTGAGACATGATGAAATAAAGTAATTCAGCACCCCTGCTCCCCACCCACCACGGAGTGTTACAAAGAACGGTGTTATGGTGCAACGGATATCCAAGATGCAAACACCAGGGATACAGGGATGGTATACTCCAGCAAATATGACGCAAATAGCAATATTTGTATACCAAATTAAATGCCAGGCTGGCTCGGCCCATGACAAGAAATTGGACACATACCGAATTTGGAGGTCAATATCACCAGATTGGCCCATGAGCCACCGCCTTCAGGCATAAGACTCTAGGCAAATTGTTACATTAATAGTTTGAGAATTCACGCATGTTATACACAACCAAGTCAAAATAATACATTTATAAAAATTACTTGTGTGCATACACAATTTTATGCACAGGGCTTGGCGTGACCAGCCGATTGATAAGACCGGGCCCATCTTACCACCCGTCTAGGCAAAGTAAGGGTCGAAGTAGTGTGTTGGGCAAAGGAACACTGTTCCTGGAACCAGTGCCCTCAACTACCAGACTCCCGTCCTCCGCCGACACAGGGACGCAACCCACGGCAAACGGGCTGCCCACTTTGGTCGCCTCTTACGACCAGCAATGGGAGGCTGTGGAAATATTCTACCCCGGTTCCACACGGGGGAAGAGCGATTAGCGTTACCCAGCACCCACCACGAGGAGGTTGCTCTTCACGAGTGCCACTTTGTTGTGAAAACACGTGATGTGTGAGTGAGTGAGTGAGTGAGTTAGGTTTAACGCTGCTTTGAAAAATATTTCACTTATTGCAAGACGTGGTGGCACGGTGGTCTTGTCTTCTGAGATGCCACAATTTGCTGTGCAGAGTTGCGTCCCTTGGACACACCAGGAACATATGACTGTGGGTTCGAATCCCGGTTCTTAACGGGTCCCAACCGATATGATGTGATAGGCCGGTATTTGTTCGTGGTTGATATACTGTATACACGTTACATGCATTATAGTAAACGACGTTTATTACGAACTACGTTTATGACGAACTCAAAGGGATCACAAATTTTAATTCGTTATAACCGTAGTTTGATACGAGCATATATGAACTATATATACAGCACATGGCCGGGACCAAAAATAAGTTCGTTATATCCGTCAGCTCGTTATAAGAGTGTTCGTTATAAACGTAGTTTACTGTCATGTAAATTATCTGTACTCAACAGAACATCCTGTATGATGTGGTGACAATCGATGGCAAAGAGATATGTGTGAAGATCCCCTTGGATGAGCCTTTCAAGAAGGAGTGTATGCCGGGTAAGTCGGTACACCAGCTACAAGACCCGATATTCAGAGATGCCTGCCCTTCCGAGCACACCAATCGTGGGTTTTGGCATGTGAGTTTTGGTGTTAATGAATATAATAACCAATCTCAATTATCCATCGAAACAGATTCCATTGGGCGTGAAGCACACAGCTGTGAAAATGATATGAATGGATCACTAAGAATCAGTGATGACACCAGGTGTCTGCGAAAGGGGTAAGCAGGGGCAGCACCCACCACTCACACAATTTGTATGAAATGTAGCGTTTTAGTCTTGCCTGATGCCACTCAGAAGACAAGAAAGAATATGGATGGCATATGATTTTGACGTCATGGTAACCGATGGTCACAATGGTCTACAAAGCATTAAACTGTGATGCAATTTCTCACCTAAGGATATCTTCTTCGGAAGGCAACTTTTGGATGACAAAGTAGACACAATGTATGGATAACAGCTTCTTTATTTGACTGTAATGGCGTTGTTTCGGAATTGATACCGTTGTCCTTAAACTATTACTTGACAACTGTATTAGGATCTATAGGGAAACGTCGCCATCGCAGTCAAATAAAGAAGTATCCATAAATTGATAAATTGTGTCTACTTTGTCATCCGTCTACTTCTAAAAGTTGTCTTATTCAAGGTCCACCCTTAGATTGGTCAGATTCTCCATGACGAGCAGGCGAGTCCATCTTTGTAGTCCATTCTTCTTTTCAGATAGTAGAGACTACATATGGATAAAATCTGCGCTAGGTGACATGGTGCCCACGATAAGGTTTAAATGGGAGGTTTGCAACCTGACCACGGAACTGACCTACACCTACGCCATGCAGCCGGTCCTACTAGATACGTACGGCACCGACCGGGATGGAGGTAAACTTCAGTACTTTTATTTCGTTCATCATCATCATCATCATCATCATCATCATCATCATCGTCATCGTCATCATTAGCAGGAGCAACATCATCACCAATGTCACCATCATCATCATGAATATCATCATCCTCATCGTCAGCAGCAGCAGCAGCAGCAGCAGCACCATCATCATCATCACTATCATCATCATCGTCGTCGTCACCATCATCATCGTCGTCATCACCATCACCATCATCATCATCACATCACCATCATCATCATGACCACCATCGTCACCATCGTCATCACAACTATTATCATCATAATCATCATCATCATCATCATCACCATCAAAAGTAGTATTGGTATGATACGTTAAGGAGATGAGATAGCCAAATGATTATTGAGTTTGCTTGGCAGGCGTAATGTTCATCAACAGGATGAGTATTTTGGCTCTACACATATATCTTCAATGTTTTTACTCGTGGTATCGCATCAACATAACACACCTGCATTATAGTATGGCAAATACGGTCAATGGTTGTAAAAGAAAATATGGATAATTATATAATAATACATGTAATAATAAACGTAACTTTATGAAAGCAAATGTACATCTGCCAGTTTTACCTTACTGATGCTCTTCATGGTGGGACACCAGTGGGTATTTCCTAGAAGAAGATTCCAGTCTCACATGTGAGATCAGACAGGACGGAACGAGCGGCTACATTTTGGGGGCGATGATCATGATGGACGTCATCGGACCCAAATTTCAAACATCATGTCACTTTCGGTTTGTCTGGCTGATATTCGAGTATTTTCAGGAAACTCTGAAATTGCTGGAGTTTTGCCGACTGCAGCGTAAAACAACATTCACTCACTCTGATTTTTTCAGTGTCTGTGTTTGAGACAGTATGGATCCAGAACATCACAGACACGGCAGCCAGTGCTGAAATCTTTACCCCTCCTCCAAGTTGCGGGAACGCAGTGTTCGAGGTGAGACACGTGGAGATTTGATAACTATTCTATCCCTTTCACATCGAACTCAAATGGACCACTAATTTTAGTTCGTTATAACCGTAGTTCATTATAAGCATATATACAGCATCTATACAGCAAATGGCCGGGACCAAAAATGAGTTCGTATATCCGTCAGTTCGTTATAAGCGTGTTCGTTATAAACGTATATTACTGTATACTTCTCATTCATCTTCTGACAGCATCAGTTCCTGGAAACATGTCTCAAAAGTGTTGCTACTCAGTCTTGTATATCCAAAATATGATGAATCACTCACAACTGATGTTTTCCCTTGTCTCGTCCAACAGCTAACAACAACCCAAGGTCCACCAAAACACACACTGGGTGTTCAGTTGTTGCAATGAAATATGACAAGTGTCAAATACATATGGTGAATATGAGAAGAGTACTTAATTCTGTTTGGTTCTTTTCAGGGTACACTTGAACCCTACAGTCGAAACACGGGATACCTGTCATTTTGATTTGAGAGAACTTGGAGAATATTGTATCAATGACGCTGTGGTTCATTTATTCTGTAATAAAAATACCGTCAAATCATTTTTAATAGAAACCTCTTCATGATATGATGTTCATTTGCATGGTTTAAATATCATAATTGGTGGATTGGATTTATCTACTGGTAAAATAAACACAAATAAACATAAAAATGTCTGTGACAACTTTGTACAAACAAATTGTTCCTTTCTTGTTTAATGCCATAGTCAGCAATACTCAATGTATTCATAAGCTACGTATGTGAGAATGTTATTTTTAATGTTGTATTCACAAAGGTCTGTGTCATATTTCATATAGAACTCAATGAACATATGAGGAAGAGAATATATGGATGTCAACTTCTTTTAATGAGGAACACAACGTTTCGGGGGCAGTTACTCCTTCATCAGGTGAATGAAGGAGTAAGCATATACATCGAAACGTTGTATTCCTCATAATAAAGAAGTTGACATCCATATATTCTCTTCCTTATGTGTATCACTTCTAAATGCCTTCCAAAGACTCGATGAACATAGTCTAACATGGGCATGGAGCATATTTTCGATATTTAGTGAGAACGGCAATGAACTCTCATCGAACCTGTTTTAAAACAATTATGCCATATAGCTTCAACGTTTTAGGTGATAAACAATATAAGTGCCTCGTTCAGATTAAATAAAGTTATTATTTCTATATCTCTTTTCACAAACGTAGACCATAAACCAATATGAAATAATCTCTATAAACCTTTTGATAGATAAACAGCAAAACCGTTAACATCAATTTCTAATGCTACTGAATTTTTCTTTTATTAAACATATTATTATGACATATGTACTTCACACAGCATAACCATAACCGCCTTTGAACAGTATAATGCAGGGCGTGTCAGTTTAATGTGGGAGGAAAGACAAAATTTGGTTCGGCTAGTAGACGTTTAGCACATCAGTGAAACTTCACGAGCACGGCGAGTCGATTGTACGATTCCGACTATATCATGAGTATGTGTTTATGAATCACTTTGAAAAATCATCTGCAGAAAATAATGAATACCCTTTATTGTGACCTTGACCTTACACGTAAGTCACCGATCAACAATTTAAAACAACCCGTCTCCAACTCAAAGGATGGCATGTACCAAGTTTCATTGACCTATAGTGAACCCTTTTCGAGTTAGGAGCGGAACAATTTGTTTTCATCTTGACCGTGACCGTGACCGTGACCGTGACCTTGACCTGACATGACAGTGTGGCAAGGACATATACCAGGGCAATAAATGAGATATACGTGAGACCGCACAGTAACAAAAACAATATAGCAAAAGCTACTTATTAACAGTATGTCATCGTGACCTACGACTGATATCACAAGATTGTCAACAGGTGTCATACATAAGTATTAACTATAATAACAAACAAAAGGCATGTCAGTGAACGTGGCAGACCAACATCTAGCCTCTGAAATGAATATATTTTACAGAAAAACAGTTGTTAAATTACAGTTATAAAATATAATAAAAAGAAGCCCAGAGGTTTTCCTCCTGACACTGCAGTTATCTAGACTTGCCAAACATTATTGACTTGCATGGGCTGTATTGGATATATTTGTTTCAGAGTCTGTATGGCAGACTATGAACGTGGCAGACATTTATTATAAAGCATCCAGTGACCTTGTTCTTACATGTAGTCACACATGACCCTGTGCACCGTCCAAGTGATGACATGTACAAATTTTCATTGAAGTACATTAATATTATTTGTTACTTGAGCAACCGATGCTTGCTGTCGAGGGCGACTAGGCTTGTCGTAAGGGGCGACTAACTGGATCCGGTGGTCAGGCTCGCTGACATGGTTAATGCATGTCATCGTATCCCAATTGCGTGGATCGATGCTCATGATGTCAATTACTGGACTGTCTGGTCCAGACTCGATTATTTACAGGCCGCCGTCATATAGCTGGACTATTGCTAAGTGCAGCGTTAAACACCAAGCAAACAAACAAACAAACAAACGTTGTTGAGCTACCCACCTATCGTCTGACATACCTCAATAACTCAATCAGCACATACGTTTCCTTTGGCTATTGCTTTGAGAATGCCCTTGATTCTTCACATGACTGGTGAATGTGCCAACAACAACTCCAACAAGACGAAACCTTTTTTGCACATTTGGAAACCTACGTTGGCCAAAGACGAACAGGTCATTTGGCAATAAATTATTTATATTTCAAGCGGTGAAAATGAAATCGGCTATTGACTTATAAACTCAGTATGAAATTATATGCCTTTATTGTTTTTGTCAAGATCTTGTGCACTGTTGACACTATTAATGTGTGTATCCATTAAACCATATTTGTCAACTTCATGTATGTCTAACCTTAAGCTTCGCAATTTGTCATCTTGCAAATGTTTAAATCTACTACCAGTGTCTGATTAATTTATTCATTTCTTACATGAATTGTGTGTGATAAACATATCTCAGAAGTTGACGGATGGCAAAGAAGACACAATTTATGGATAACAACTTCTTTATTTTACTGAAATGGGACGTTTCGGTATAGGTCCTTATACCGTTGTCAAGCAATCTACACCGAAACATCGCAATTACAGTAAAATAAAGAAGTTGTTATCCATAAATTGTTTCTACTTTTTCATTTGTTTCATGTCCAGCATATATGCTTCTACTGTTTTCATCTGACATTCATATACAGTCCCCATCATCAACTACTTCATCAATATCTATCGTGCATGCATATATATACGACGTTCCCTTGTATATAAGGAGTGAGTGAGTGAGTTTGGTTTTACGCCGCTTTTAGCAATATTCCAGCAATATCACGGCGGGGGACACCAGAAATGGGCTTCACACATTGTACCCATGTCGGGAATCGAACCCGGGTCTTCGGCGTGACGAGCAAACACTTTAACCACTAGGCTACCCGACCGCCCATGTATATAAGGAAGATAATATATGGATGTCAACTTCTTTACTATGAGGAACACAACGTTTCGGAGTACATGCTTACTCCTTCATTCACCTGATGAAGGAGTAAGCATGTACTCCGAAACGTTGTGTTCCTCATAATAAAGAAGTTGACATCCATATATTATCTTCCTTATGTGAATCACTTCTAAATGCCTTTCGAAGACCTTCACTTGTATACATCTTCATATGGTACTATATTTTCTTACTGATTTTCTACTATTGTTGTGTATTTTATTCAAACCTTTATGACCGACTGTTTTCTATTTTCTAGTGCATACAAAACTCCACACACAGGCTGTTCCTTATCTCCAATGCCAGACCTACAAAACATGTGTCAGATAAGACACCTGTCTCTAAACTGTGTTCAAGGTCTGTGCGGTGTCATGCTGCTGGTTCTATATTATTTGGTGGTGGTGCATGTTTTACCTTCGGACTCTCAGTTTGATGGATGTCTACGGAAACAGTTCAACTGCATTGCCGCCAAGTTTAGGGGGGAGTACACACCGCTTGGATTTCACCTGACAGACGTGAGTGTAACTTGATGTTAAAGTAAGTGGACCCTGGACTGGAATCAATCTGTTATCAAAATAAATTAATCCAAAATAACTAAAATCTGTCATCAGCCGAGTGTTAAATAAAGTCTAGATTGGAATCAGTCATTTTAACATCCAAGGTGTTTCTAATTGGCAGTGTGTTCCAAATACATGGAAACAACATTGCAATATTATGTTAACTGTCATTCGTTTTATTATATTTATGATATTTAATGCAAGTATAGGATTAATAAATGCAATTATAGGAACAGCTACATCCCTTTATATCTCGAGGAGGTTCGTTAACCTTACCTATGGAGCTCTTTCCAGTTGCTTCTTTTTCCCCAAACCAGGCCTATATTATATTCTTATTTCCAGCATCTACACTTACTAGCTATCATGTATTACGCATGTATTATTTGCTGAAAGGGGTCACGTGTTAAATTAGTTCTTTCTGCGCTTGGGTATCGCTTGTATATATGTTGTTTTATTGGGTATGTCATCATTTGTAGAATGCACAAAAAGGAGGATACAGAATGCGAGTAAACCCATTCTGTCCCAGTCTGGCTGCCCTACATGGAAAGTTTGTAGCTGTTCCAACTAACAGGGCCTCAAATAGCATACTCAGTAACCATAATATGTAACCATCACTACATTAATTGTTTGATGAAAGAACTTGATATGAGTGACATTGATGCCGCATGTAAGGCCAGTATATTCACTCAGGAAGAGATTTGCTAGGGCGATGCATCAGTACTATCAACCATTGACTTGACTCTAAAACCTGAAGACATGTCCATTCCTCTTTTGTACTGGATCCCAAAGTTCCAAAGATCCAAAGAGAGAGATATTGCTGGGTCTAGCAAGTGTACCATCAAATCCCTGTATTAAAGATTAGCCATCATCTTAAATACAATCATGGAAGGACTTTCTGTATATTCACAGAAAGTATTTGGGACAAATGGAATTAATACCATGTGGATTCCCCAAAACGCAAATGATTTGTTTCAATTTTCACAAACTCAGAAACCTTACACAAGGAATAACTTAAGGAATTATAACATTTGATTTTTCAACTTTGTACTATATGATAGAGTTCTGGAAAAAACGTCATTTCTTGATCCATGGAGCATTTGTTACCAAACGTGGTGACCATGTCGATGTGGTTATATCTCTATCTTCAGAGGTTCAGAACAATTATCAAAAACGAAAACACATGTCATCTGAAGTTTACTGAGAAAACAATAGATGAAATGTTCTTGGATTGGCCAAAACGTATGTCTTTGACGTTGATTCACTGATGAAATAACTTCTCGCTGCGTGAGGCATGGAACGTTATCTTACGTTATGTTGGTGTATCGTAGAGCACGGAGAAGGTGTTCTATGATGAAGATAGAAGAATGATAGCGAGAGAGGAGTATGCACATACGGACGGACAACCATTCCTGACATTCCGCCTCTATGACTATCCAAACGTAAGTAAACACTGGAGTACAATTATTCAAGATTATCAATTTCTAAAATGTTCAATACACATTGAGTAATATAATTAAACTAAAGTAATCAATATATTACCCAAAATATGGACCCGTGAAGATCCGGGGTAGAACAGGTCTTCAGCAACCCATGCTTGCCTTAAAAAGGCGACTATGCTTGTTGTAAAAGGCGACTAACAGGATCGGGTGGTCAGGCTTGCTGACTTGGTTGATGTATGTCATCGTATCCCAATTGCAGAATCGATGCTCATGATGTCAATCACTGGATTGTCTGTTCTAGACTCGATTATTTACAGACCGCCGTCATATGGCTGGAATATTGCTGACTTCGGCGTTAAACATCAAACAAACAAAACCCAGAATATGCTTTTTCTTAGGTATCGGAACGAGTTGAGCAAAAATTGGATTCAGAAAGTCTACCATGAATAAAATAGAACATCAATGCAAGAGAATACCCAGTCTTGATTATCCGCCGAAACCATTTGGCATGAAGAGCAAAATAGCGGTGAAACTTATATGAACAGCCATGTTTTGATGAGTCGGTGAAGTGGGTTTAACTGAACACTTTATCTCTGCACAGTGACTTTCGGTGCATTAACATGTTTTACCACCAGTATATTCAGGTATTCAATTTAAGTCTTCTTGAACTTCCGTGTTTTCATACCTCCCTGAGTTGATTGAAATACCTTTAATGGATTACAATCTCCCTTCACCAGGAGACGTTGTATGATGTGGTCACAGTCGATGGCAAAGAGACGTGTGTGAAGCTGGCCTTGGATGAGCCTTTCAGGAAGGTGTGCATGCCAAGTAAGTCATTACTTTTGCAAGGGTCCCATGTGCTCCAGACAGCCCTGGCGACAAAATCATCTATTCGCATGCTGCTGCCTTTTGAGCAGACCATTTTGTCGATGGATATTGGTGGCCATTTGCTAATATGTATTCCAACTGAATTTAAAGGTGAGGTGAAATGGGGTTTGACGTCGCGTCCAAGATTATTGCACTTATATAGCAACGTGCATGTATGTGTGATTGTGTGTGTTGCTGCTTGTACTAGTCCGGACTGATGCCGATTTGTAGTGCAAGCACGCTGATCGACCTTATTTTAGCCACTTAATGCCGAGCGTCAGAAAGGGTAACAACAAGTACCATATTTTAACGTCTTTTGGAATGACGCGGCCGGGGGTCGAACCCTGGACCTTCCGCTCTCCGGGCGAACGCTCTACCACTATACCACGGAGGCGGTCAACTGCATTTAAAGTTTTGTAGGGTATTATATTTTGTTTGCCCTAAATAACAAATATATCGTTCCGGGCTACTAAATGCAATGTCCACCCAAGGGCTTGGACAAATCCTATGTGAAGACGAGTTCTTTGTATGGTGTGTAGTCCTTCTTCTGTTCAGAAAATACACAGTTAATCTGGGGGAAGTCTCCTCTAGGATCTCTCCCCAACATGGTGCCCACCAACAGATATAAATGGGAGGTTGGTAACCTGACCATTGAACTGACCTACACCTACATGATGCAACCAGTCCTACTGGATACGTATGGCACCGACCAGGATGGAGGTAAACCTCAGTTCTTGTTTATCAAATATAATGTTACTATCTCTGATGGTTATTGGTACAGATGGGAGGTGGCTAAGAGGTTATCTCACATTGGTTCGAATCTCACATTGGTGCAATTCAATTCAGTTCAATTCTTTTTTGTATGAAAGGCCACAGGCCTATATACAACGGCGTTGCATAACATATTTATAAGCTACAAAATCAAGGTAACAATTCACTTCGTTACAAAAACGCATGATGAATGTACAAAGCCAGTTGATGTTGTGTTAGGCAGTAATGAAGTCAATCCTATAGTATTACAATGAGATAAAGACCACTACGGTAAGTACTTGTTTCTTAGATTTTCGTATATAGGGCAAATACACATATGATGGTATTCATCTTCGACAACAACGTAACAGAATGGGCATAACCTTAGGGATTTCTCAACAGATGGAAATTTCCCTGTGTTAATTTTTAGATCATTCAGGCCAAGTCTAAACGAATAATGATGTTACGAAAATTCCTGTACCGTAAGTTTGATCAATGAGATTCTAGGTCAAGTAATGACTTGAACTGGCGATAAGTATCATATCTTGAAGATTCGTAAATATCTTAATGCCATTACTGCTAAAACATGTCAATGGCACGCATGCGAAAGTACTGAATGAAAACATTCGCATTACCAATTGTCTGGGACAGCCAAATGAAACCAAATGAAAACAATTGTTAAGCCTATCAAGGGTGTGCCTTCTCGACAGCCCTTGCAGTTTCCATTTTCCTTTAGTACGCCATTCTTCTTGTAGGACAAAATGGGATTGGATTCTCAAACAGTGTGACCTGGCTGATTGTCCCTGGATAGTGTGGATAGTTTCTCATCGGTTTTTAATTTACAATTCAGCATCCTGTCGATAACACCTCACATGAAACAAATTGCACGGATTTTTAAAGGATTCGTGGATGGAAGCATGCTTCATTTAATTGTATCAAAATCTACTTTTCCTGTGTTATGAGGGCAGTCGTCCAAGGGATCACAATTTGATGTTCAGAAATTATCAGGTGTGCCAGGTATCTTGTGTTTCTAAGGGTATATATTGCTATTTTGCTGTTGTCCGAATGACGTGTCCTTCATGGGTATTCTCGGGAAGAAGACCCCAGACTCGCATGTGAGAACAGACACTGAGGATTGGGGGGTTACAAGTTGTCTCCTGGCTGATCGGGAGTCACAAATTCCATACCTACATCACCATCAGTATCACCCTACCCTGCCAAGGCCCTGTCACTCATCAGATCTCCGGTCCCATCAAGAACAAGGCCAACATAGAGATCACCTTTTCCAGCGGCATGTCAGTCAAGACACATCTACAATCCAATGGCAGAAGCACCAGCTGTGTAAGTCCCAACCCACGAGGATGTATACGCCAGATCCCCTGCAACTGTGGCCACCAGAACATTGGAGAAACCCTCAGAGTCCTCAACACCAGACTCAAAGAACATCAGACCTCTGTCAACAAACTAGACCTGAAATCCACAACCTCAAGAACCAAGACCATAACATCATGTGGGAAGCCACCAAAGTCCTACCAACAACAACAACTGGCGACAAAGGATACTACAAGAAGCCATTGACAGCAGGAGACCCCAGCCATGAAACCATTACCAAGGAACATATCTGCCGAGTGCTTGGGACTTATTGCTTTGATCTTTGTCAGTGCCAATTATCTGCCATTGCTATTTCGATTCCTTTACCAATCAGTGCTAATTACCCCCGGCCTCCCGTTTTACTATCAGTGCTAATTACCCCCGGCCTCCCGTTGTACTATCAGTGCTAATTACCCCCTGCATCTCGTTTGCCCATTGTCCTTTTGCCATTTACCTATCAGTGATGATTGGGTGTCGGCCCGGGAAGTCGAAAATCTATTTACCAGTAGTACCGGAAAGGCGAATGGAGGGGTAAGGGACTGGGGACCGGGAAGGCGAATGAAAAGATCAGTGATGTGTACCCTCGTTATGTATACAACGGACACTTATACATTGAGGACACTGGGGTGTTGTGAGACAGAAAAGTGAAGAAAGAGATAAAACAAATTGAACTCAGAGAATGTGATTACTAACTTCCATTGAACTCGTGAGACGGAAAAATAAAGAAAGAGATAATCTACTAAAATTGTTAAAATTGAACTCAGAGAATGTGATTACTAACTTCCATTGAACTCAGATTAAGTAATCTAGTAAAGAAACGATGAAGCTATAACAACACGCGGGAATCAGTTAATCCCTACTACTATATCTTGTATTGAGAAGATGCGACTTTAACGCAAAAGTTCTTTGAATTGTGAGTTGGATGTCTATTTGTTCTGAAATCTATTCGAGGGCCTATCCCCTAAAGTAAACACATCAAAATTCGCGGATGATGAAGCCATCTGGATCCGCACTAAAAGCATGAACATGGTCCAAATTTTACTCCAAAAATCTCTTAATAAAATACAACAATGGGCTGACAAATGGGGCTTCTCCCTTAACTCAGAAAAAAACAAACAGGAATAGTATTCAAACATAAAAACATGAAACCCGCCTCCCCAATCCTCCAGCTAAACAATCAAACAATCAAATTTCAAAAACAAACCAAATTCTTAGGACTTATTTTCGATGAACATCTCACCTGGGATGCTCACATCCAAAACCTAACAACTAAATGCAGTAAAGACCTAAACACCCTAAGATGCCTAACTGGCTCTAACTGGGGAGCATCCAAAGATACCCTCCTCTCTCTCTACATATCACTAATTAGATCAAACTAGACTACGGCTGCGCCATATACAACACCCTAAACAACTCTCTATCTAAAAAACTTGACTCAATACAATATCAGGCTCTCAAACTAATTACACGCACCCAACATGGCACCTCCTACACCTCACTTCAGGCCTTAACAGGAGAAATGCCACTAAGTCTACGCAGGGAACAGCTAAGCTTAAATTTCTGGGCCGCGTCCCAATCAAACCCTCTCATCCAAAACTTAATAAACCAAAACATCAGCCCCAAAAACCAAGCTCTAGCTCGTAAACACCCCTTACTTACCCCAATATCCCAAAGAATAACAAACTACCTAAATGAACACCAAATTAAAAATCTTAAACAAAACTGCAAACAATCAAATATCTTCACCCCTAAACTTAAAATACCCAAAATAGACACAACACTAGCTAGCCAAATAAATAAACAAACCGACCCAAACATAGCTAAAACTACCACACTAGCATACATACACGAAAATTGGCCAAATTGGTGTCACATTTACACGGACGGATCCTCAGATCCGACCTCCAAACACACAGGTTTCGGAGTCCATACCACACAACCAACTAAAACCACACAATCCTTCCGACTCCCAAACAACCAATCAATATTCACGGCAAAACTAATGGGCATGGCCCTCCATAATCAAGAATCCAAAAAACACAAAAAAATCCTAATACTTACCGACTCCCTCAGTGGACTGCAAGCCCTCCAAAACAAAAATACCAAAAACCGACCTAAATTAATAAATCAAATACTTAAAAACTCCAACGACCTAACTAAGGCAGGCAAACAAATAACCTTCTTGTGGATACCCGCCCACGTAGGAATATATGGTAATGAAAACGCCGATAAAGCAGCTAAACTATCCCTCAAAATCCCAGAAATAAGCTTAAACTTACCCATCTCAAAATCAGAAATTAAAAGTGTAAACAAGCAAAAAATCACAAATAATGGCATAACCTATATCTAAACTCAAATAGCCAAATCAAAAAAGTGCTCAGCAAACCACTAACCAAACCAAAAATGATCTATCCATCCAAAAAGAATCGACAGAGTAATCACTAAACTCCAAACAGGACACACCAACCTAAATAACCACCTAAATTTTTTTTAAAAACACACTACAGGTAACTGCCCACACAGCAAACAACCAGAAACCCCAGAACTCGCACTCATCCACTGCACACACTACCTAACACATCGAACCGCATTACAAACCACTCTCAATCTAAACTAGGCTTTAACTCTAGAAGCAATACTAAACCCACAAAATAAACTAGAAAATTTCAAGGCCTTAGGCGTATTCTTAATAAAAACGGAACTAATAAAACGCATCTAAAAACACAAAAACCTACCAAATCAAAATCACATAAACAAACAAACATCCACCATCCCCAGCTCCCTTTAGTTCTCCTCCCCAATCCCATCGGCATCTATTCCAAATCTCAAAATTCCCAAATTCTATATAAGCAACCCCTAAAACCCCCCTCTTGGGTTGCACAGACCACTTTCGCCCCTTTCGGAAACACATTAAATGGCCTGACCGGGCCTGTGTGCGAAATACGCATCAGTCGGAAAGCGCACGTTAAATCTCCAAAGTAAGTAAGTAAGATCATTAACGTTCAAAACGATGGCTAATGCACAGGTACGTTTGATTTTCATCGACTCTGTTCGTGGCGGCAAGCATCTTTACTACAGTGGTCATAAGTATCGTATTAACAAGAAGACTGATGAGAAGACTTATTGGAAGTGTGTCACCAGCCAGTGCAAGGCCAAACTCATCACCTCCGATGATGTCCTTCAGTCACAAGGACAGGCACACAACCATGTAGAACAGCCCTTCATCATGCACGTTGATGCCTTCAAATCGAAACTAGTTCATCGTACCAAGACCGAGGTGACTCCTATACCCAGGATCTACGATAATGAGATCGCCAACCTGAGGAAGAACCATGACGTTGTACCTGATGGTGTGCTGGCTGAGATCCCGACCTTTGCAGCGATGAAGACTATCCTTTACCGCCAGCGACACAAGACTGTTCCACGCCTGCCTCAAAGTAGACTACACGTCAACTTAGAAGGAGAGTGGACCCGTACTCAAGGAGGAGAGAGATTTCTTCATACGGTACCTATGTCAGAAGGAGAAGACCCTATCCTTATCTTCACTACTGACAAGAACCTAGAACTGTTGTGAGAAGCAGACATTGTGTATGCAGATGGCACTTTCTCGTCTTCTCCGAAGCTGTTCGACCAAGTGTACACCATTCATGCTGAGTTTCAAGAGCATATGTTCCCTCTCTTTATTCTGTCTTCTGCCAAACAAGGCAGAGTGTACTTACGTGGGAGCTTTTGAATACATCCAAGAGGCTGCACACAACTGTTTTGACTGGACTCCCCGGGTGTTTCAGCTAGACTTTGAGCGCGCTGGCCACAACGCCGTTCAATCTGTGTTCGCAACTACACATACTAGAGGCTGCTTCTTTCACTTTACCCAGTGTATGTGGCGACGCGTACAGAAGGAAGGACTGGCAACAGATTACACTAGCCTTGAAGAAATGAAGAAGGTTGTAAGACGAGCTTCTGCCCTTCCCTTGGTGCCACTAGACATGGTTGAAGACGTGTGGGCTGATGCGATTGCAGACAGTACTCAAGGCGTCAAGGTGACGCGCTTCATGGACTATGTTACCACTACATGGGTAGAAGGATCTTGGAGCAAGGACCTGTGGAATCACTTCGGAAACCAGGGACGCAGAACAAACAACAACCTTGAAGGATGGCATCATCACCTGAACAAGAGCGCCCAGAAGACTCACCCTAACATCTTCGAGGTAGTGAATCTTCTGAAACCTGAACAATCTCTAACAGAAGTGAGGGTTGAGCAGCTAGGCGCTCACCCAAGAGCACCTGCTCGGAAGAGAAAATACCGAGTGATTTACTCTAGACTCCGTGCCTTGAAAGAAGATCTGTTGAACCAATTGACGACAACAATGGACTACACTGACGATGTGGCAGATCTACTGCACTGGGAATGAACTGAATTATTACATAAATGATAAAATGTATATCTATATACATCTTCAAATACATGCATGATATATGATGTGTTATACTATACTTGTTATATATTGACTTTGTTGTCCAGATTAAATAGTGTCCTCATTTCATTGGTGTTTTCTTTGTAATTAACAAGTACCGGGAAGGCGATCATCTGCCATAATAAGAATTTTTGTGATGACCGGGAAGGCGAACGTAATTTCTAACTCTGAGGGATTGATTTTCGCCGTCCCGGCCCATAACCGATAATTTCGTCCTGGCCTCCAGTTGTCCATAGCTATCACTGCTAATTACTGCACAGTGTTCTTTTCCATTATCTATTGCTAATCGCCTATCAGCGCCAATCATCTGTTGGCCTCCCTTGTTAAATGTTCCACCCTTTGTTATCTTATTACTTTTGTTGTTCTTACATGTACATATATATGCTCTCTGCCGTCATTCATTCATCTGATGAAGGAGTAAGCATATACTACAAAACATTGTGTTCCTTATAATATAGAAATTGACATCCATAAATTCTCTTCCATATCACCTTACTTTTGTCTGGCTGAAACTTGATTATTTACAGGCCACTCTGACATGGCTGGATGTTTGCTGACTTCGGGGTTTAACATCATTCACTTATTCCCTCACTCACTCTGTTTTTTCAGCGTCTGTGTTTGAGACAGTATGGATCCAGAACATCACAGACACGCCTGTCAGTTCTGCATTCTTCACCCCTCCTCCAAGTTGCATGGACGCCGTGTTGCAGGTGAAACACAAGGAGATTTGATAACTATTTCCCTTTCATTTCTGACAACAGCTTCAGGAAAACATCTGTCTCATAAGTTTTGCCCCGTAATCATAACTTTGCAGATTAGGAACTCAACAGTTAATATAATGAAGAATATCAAAAGGGTGTTGCCTCTTCCCTTCTGACAGCTGAAAACGACCCAGAAACTACCCACACTTAATTCCAATTCAGGGGGCCCGCGTGGCCCAGTTGTCTAGGGCGCCGCGATTCTCCCTTGGGCACGCCAGAAACCTATGATTGTGGGTTCGAATCCCGGTTCACCCCGATTATGTTTCTAGGTTTGTCAGCAACATACCCGTGATCGTGGGTTTCACCAAAGTGGTAAACGGCTGAGACCTGCATCACTTCGGGCTTTCCTCCCTCAGACATGCCGTGATATAACTGGAATATTGTTAAAAGCGGCGTTAAACCCAACTTACTCACTCACTAATCTTTAACTGATTATTGCAACAATGTAACTGGGTCCAAAAGATTAAATGGCTGTTCCACAGTTGCAATGGAATGTGATTAAAGTGTTAAAAACATACGATGTATGTGAGAGGAGAAAGTCAAAGTTTGATGTTGATTGGTTTCAGAATACCCTCGAGCCCTACAGGCGGAACTGGGGATACCTGGCGTTTTGAGTGGAGAGTACATGGACAACATTGTTTCAATGACGACATAGTACATACGTTCTGTGATAGATATTCTATCATATCACCATTTTTTAATATTAAAAAAATTAAAATGAGATGAAGCATATTCATTCGCACGGATGTTAATATCAAAATTGCTGGTATGGATTTATCGAATGGTAAAATTAACACGTCAGTGAGAAAGCTGGACACTCTCATTTAATGCCTAAGTCAACACTATTCTATGTATTCATTAATAATTGCGATAAAACCCATATTTCTTTCATAATTATTCATAAAAAAATCTCTACTAAAAGTACAGTCGTATTTGATAGTAATTCATAAACAAATGCTAATGATATAGTAGGAATCGTGCAATGGACTTGCTTGTAGAAGAGATTTCTCAGGAGAGATTTTTTGAAATCTGTTTCGGCGAATAAATGGCAATGGTTATTCTCTTGCGTTGAATTTGCATATATTATGACAAAAAGAAATGTTTTTTTTCTCGCCGTTATCTTCGGTATCAGGGCCTACAGATCTTTCCGGGGCCTTAGGTTATATTATGGGTTACCGTCATCTAAAATTGTTTATTTTCCTATTGATTGGTAAACTGTTCCATTTAGTGTTATATGTGTTTTTAATAAACATGCTTGTTATAAATCTATATTTCATGTGGGAAAAAGTAACTGTTTATCAATAAGAAGATTTTATACAATGTATCTTCAATCTTCAGATTCGAACTCGAAACTATATGTTTTCGATGGCAAACCAACATTTTATGTGTAGTGACGAGTTACCTCCCTTATAGATACATCCAGGCAAGTGGGAGGTTCCACGATGTGTCTGAAGCCGAATGTTATCTTGTATGTATATATACAGTGATGTAGCATGCTTTCATTGAAAAGTGTACCCTGGAGTGATGCTATAGTACAAAGTCTAGGTGAAACTGCTTCTGAACAAGTAGCCGTGTTCCTAATACAAACCTGTAAGTGTGCATATTTCCTGAATTGGGGCCCTATAAGGGTTAAATGTTGTTTTCGTAATTCCACGTGTTTAGCGTTGAAACTGAAACCCCGACAGTCGGGAATTGCGCCTTTCGAAAGATTATTGTCGGGGATGTCTACAGTGAAACCTCCTTAGTTCGAACCCCGTTAATAACGGCTTTTGCGTTGAAATATAAAATCACGTCGAACGGTAACATTTCAGCCATATTGTAACCCGCTTAATACGAGTTTTGTTGGGAAACTGCTTCGTTAAACCGGACATTGGTTGATCGATTTCATTTAGGACGGTGCCGTCCGTATTAAGGAGTTTCGTTGTACATGCCATTATGAGGATGCCATTACTAAGTTAATTATTCGCTAATCCGGACGATTTTTATTTGATAGTCTGGATTAACGGGGTGTCCTTGTATGTTTCCAGAAATATATAATAAATTAATCATTATCGTATTTAGATCGGCATTGCGTGTTTAGCCATCGTTCGCTCGTCATGCCGAATTTGAAGATCCAGGTTCTATTCCCGACATGAGTACAATATGTGAAGCCCATTTCTGGTGTCCCCCCGCCGTGATATTGCATGAATATTGCTAAAAGCAGCGCAAATCTATACTAACACACTCACTCACTCACTCATTAATATTACTGAGCAAGTGATTTAAAAAAGACCATTTATTTCTACATACTTGTCTGGAGACATACTTTGACACGATTAGGGAAGGTAGGTTACACCATTTTCTAGGTTACAGGCACCTGTATATTAAAATGGCTGGACTGCAATCTGAGTTTGTGACATGAATTTCTACAACACGAATCATCCGTAAAATATCAGTATAGAAATGTTCCAAAAAATCTCCCCTTGAATGATTGATTGAATGAATGATTCCAGCTATATGACGGCGTTCAGTAAATAGTCAAGTCTGGACCAGACAATCCAGTGATTGACACCATGAACATCGATCTTCGCAATTGGGATACAATGACAAGCATCAACCAATAATTTTTCAACATTGAAAGCAATTTTAGAATAGTTTTCCCGATATTGTTTAATAGAAGTAACAAGCCAAAGAACGGTTCAAAGATGGTATCGAGAATAAACAATCCTGCAACTAATTAGTGACAAAGCTGTAAGTTACCACACAACATGTAACTGATAGGAAAAATAGATTTTTTTCACATACATTTTACATTCATCATATTTTGCAAATTAATGACTGATTATTGAAGTTAAGCATGGTACACGCATATGTGAAATAAGCAGTTCAATTTAATTTAATATAAAAAAGGGCATTTTAACCAAGAAAAATAAATGATCAAAGTATTAACATACATACCTGGAACAAAAGAAGCACTACCGTTCTTTAGTTTAATATGTCCTCGAACATCAATGTATCTTTTTTTTGTGTTGAATGTTTTCAAATTATATTACATATTTGTGATGTTTAAATTGAAAAAAACAACAAGAATCTGAATAGTTTCTGTAAAGCACTAGTGCCTGAAGACCTTATGTGAGAAATAGGCATGATGAATATTTGACCATAAGCCATCACTGTAACAATCAAACTCACCTTTCAGCAGTTGGAAGCACCCTATGGAACTGAGATGAATAACTGGCGCTAGGGTCTAAACTACTGTTGGGAGCCTGAAAGAAAGCTGATGATACATCTCTGTGTAAATATAGCTTTCATTCTGCCAGAAGTCCTTGATAGTCTTTCCAGTGCTAGTCCTAAAGGATGCACCAAGCTGTGCTGGAACTAAACCCCTGCACCAATGACTCTTCAGGAACTGCCCACTGATCTGTTGGAAACTCCATCTGACACCAGTCTCCGCTATCCTGTTAATCAAGGAAGCTGATGGTACGCCTCTGTGTAAAAAACACCTTTTGAAGTTTTCATCACTTATTCAGGAATCCGTGATGGCACATCCATTTCTAGAACTTAAGGATCCACCAAGCTTTGCCAGAGCTAAACCTTCTCCACCATTAAATCTCCAGGAACTGCCCACGGAGCTGTTGGAGTCCATCTTCCTCTATCTGACGCCCGAGACTCTACTGTCCTGTTCCAGAGCAGCTTCACGATTCACCCAAGTCATCGATTCAGGAGGCTTCTTCGACTTGTATTGCAAGACCACACTCCAAGCACCATGGGTTACACCAGACATGGTCCTGCGAACAAAGGGGGTGTTCCACAAGGTTCTTCAAATGTGGTATTTACAGAACATCACTCTTTGTCACCCGAATGTGATTTTCAAGAACTGTAACACACTTCTTTCCATTGGTCTCCTCAAATATGCCATAAAAATGTGGCTCGTTTCTAATATGTCAATCTCGTATAAAATCTCAATTGAAGATGAAAACAAATCAGACGTTCGGATATTTGAGATATATGACAAGGACGCTAAGTCGTTATTTATTAAGTTAGCGGTGCTCTTTCCAAAGTTCATTGAAATGACATTGTTCAACGTCAGAACTGCATCATTTGGTGTAGGAAATCCCTACATTTTACCTTTCATAATGTTCAAAAATGATGTCCTTGAACGGAGTTATCTTGATAACTTTAGTTGTAAATATCACTTTGAAATTATATGTAGATATCCAACAGAAGATTGCGACTGGCACCGCCCTGCTGTAGTCATCCTTGTGGGGAAGGATTCCTGGATAGGCTGGTGTGGTAGTGTTGAAAAGTTCGGATTTCGATTTACGGGTACTTGGGGAAGATGCAAATTAGCACTGAATGCACCAATCACAGACACCCAAAAAGCTTTCAGGGACACTTTTACACGTTTCGTTGAAATCCCTGAGAATGTTGGCCTGAGTCATTACTTGTACGACTGCTTCAATGTCAAAGTCACACATACTCTGAAGGCATTGCTTGGATCTGCGGTGGTGGGTGTACCACTGTGGGAGAAACACAGCTCCCTGATGGAGGACCTTGCACGGAAGATTGAAAGGAAGCTTGAGAGATTAAAACTTCCTAAAGATAGAATGAAGTTACTACAACACTACCTGGATGACTGTTTGCGACAGAGGAGTATCTCTGGACAAAGCGTAGAAAGAAAACCATCAAAGACTTGCTACGTGGCTATATTACGTTACCTTCACAGGATCCTGAATAACGTGTTTTATCCCGAGTGTATGTGCTATTTAGGCAACGTTCAGTGTTGTAGATACTTGGCTCTGACGAGGATGGGAGACAAGCTGCTGTATAACATCAGAATGACACATGCAGATATAGCACGCGATGTTATTAAGAGTTACTGTGATAACTTTTCTGTCCACCACCTTCCGCCAAAGTTGTGGCCCACCCATCTTCTCCGTCATGCTATAACAGCCGCACCTGTATGTGCCAAGGTGGCGCAGCTTGACGTCATGTTGTGGACGAAGGGGCTTCACTGCATGCCCGTGACAGACAAGACAATACGCTTTATCACCGCGCAAGTGGAGACATGTGGTCTGATGACTCAAAGCCGTAGTCAGTTGTTGAGTCTTAAACAATGTCCTCCTCTGGGTGGCCTGATCAGATGCTGTCACCATCTCGACGATACCGTATATCGCCGTCTATAATAGGTTTTGGTACCTTGAATGGGGTGGATACTGGACATTAAATGGATGAATGAAAATGTACTACCTACAATAAATATATTTAGTGTAGGGATTGTGTTTAGGTGTCTGAGAAAATAAAATAATTGATCCTACCTTAGTTCTGTGGTCATGTCATGTACATGATTATATAGATGATTTTAAAAAATATTATTTCCAGTAGAAAACATCTTTACAGTGTACCCTTGAAGATCCGGGACTTGATGCATGTCATTGTATCCCAACTGCGTGGATCGATTGTTCGTGATGTTAATCACTGGATTGACTGCCTTAAACTCGATTATTTACAGACCGCCATGATAGAGCTGGAATGTTGCTGAGTGCGGCGTAAAAAAACAACAGACCCAAACTATATGCCGATTAAGATTAGTCAACGTTTGTCAGGGGCACGTGTCAAAAGCGTGAGTTCTGAACACTGAAACACGGTGACAAGGCGTGTCAGCTCAATTGGCGCATGTCGTAGATGTTGCTCAGGGACAATATACTACTCAAAAGAAGTAAAATAACAACCAGAATTGGAAGGATACTCAACACACACAACACAGCCATGACAGATTAACTTCAGTCATTTCAAAACATGTCGTGTTCTTTAACTTCTTTTGGGAATTATGTTTTCATCTTCCCGAGGCAAGGGCGTCAACTGACTAAGAGTCCGTGGAAACTGGACTTTTATTGTCAGTTAACCCCCTTGCCTCGGAAACGTGTAGTTTTAGCCATTGACTACTTACTGACCTGTTATTATTGACATTGGGTATTGATATTTTTCGTCGGGTATTCAATACTGTTTTACACAATTAGTAGACAATTGTTAAATTAATTCTGCTTAAAATGCTGTTTCGGGTGATTTCAAATTTGAATCTATTCGTGTGCAGCCCGAAGTGTGTAACGTGTTGCATGAACTCACAACAGTGATATTATGTCCAATTATAATAAGTGAGACGTTGAAATTGTTTATGCATTATTCACTGCAGCAGAGTCCGTGTATGTCTGACGCCTGCACTCGATCATTAGATGAACATATGTGAAGAAATACGTGTACATGTACGCAAGGTGAAAAGGATGGATTGTGGAATTACGCCGTGTTCTTATACCGGTGTTGAATTTTGCCATGCGTGTTTGTACGCAAGAAAATAAAAATTAATTAGGTGATTGGAATTTAGTTTGCGTATTTTATGCAGATACGCAGCCTTACTTAGCCTTGTGTTGCTGCTAGCCAGGTATTCAATTGTTACTTACCCGTGAAGATCCGGGGTAGAATAGGTCCTCAGTAACCCATGCTTGCCTAAAAGGCGACTATGCTTGTTGTAAGAGGCGACTAACGGGATCGGGTGGTCAGACTCGCTGACTTGCTTGATGCCGAATATTTATATTAAGAAGGTTGAACGGAGATAGGGGGCTCTGCCTTTCTTAAAAAAACAAATTTGTCACCCATGAAGATCCAGGGTAGAATAGGTTTTCAGCAACCCATGCTTGCCGTAAAAGGCGACTGTGCTTGTTGTACTCGTAAGAGGCGACTAATGGGATCGGGTGGTCAGGCTCACTGACTTGGTTGATGCATGTCATCGTGTCCCAATTGCGTAGATCGAAGCTCATGCTGTAATTCACTGGATTGTCTGGTCAAGATTGATTATGTACAGACCCCCGTCATATAGCTGGAATATTGCTGAGTGCGACTATAAACAAACAAACATATCACTTGTGACTATAATGTCGATTTTGTTTCAAGGTTTTTCAGCACCATGCCCGTGCTCGTGAGTTTCACCGAAGTGGTAAACGTCTAAGACCTGCATCGGGCTTTCCTCCCACATTAAGCTGACACGCCGCGATATAACTGGAATACTGTTAAAAACGGCGTTAAACACAATGTTTGCAATGTGCACGCTGCCCACGTTGTTAAATAGAGCTACACGTACTTCATGCAAAGGTTAGAATTTGTGACCTCAAAGATAGTTTGTCATCGTGCCCGACAACCATCTACAACTAGCAATCGAACCCGGGTCTTCGGCGGGACGAGCGAACGCTTTAACCACTAGGCTACCCCACCGCCCCCATGTATCGGTAGATCAGTCATTCAGTGACTTTACCTTAACGCTTATCAAGCGTTTTTGCAACACCTAGTGTCGCAACACTTTTCGCAACACCTGGTGTCATCACTGATTTTCAGTGATCCATTCATATAAATTCACCTTATGTTGCCTTTTACGCCCAATGGAATCTGTTTTGGTAGATACTTGAGATTATTATCTGACCTTTATAATATGTAAATATAACTCAAAACTGATCCTTGGTCCGCACATCCTCAAGTAAACAAAATGTATGTTTTAGGTGATTGACTTCCTTTTACTCCCACAAGAGGTGCTGGAGCACATTCTACAGCAGCTTCCTGTCATGTCTCTCATTTCCCCCTTGGTTATTCCCCAGCATTGATGTCTCATGTTTCTATGGTTGTTTGGACCGCCTCCGTGGTCTAGTGGTAGAGCATCCGCCCGGAGAGCGGAAGGTCCGCGTCATACCAAAAGATGTTAAAAGATGGTACTTGTTGTTACCCTGTCTGGCGCTCGGCATTAAGGGGCTAAAACAAGGACTGGTCGGCTTGGAGTCAGTATACTGTGTCTGAGTGGGGTATTCATGTTAAACTGCGGCATGGTATCTCAGTGAGCTAGCACTATAAATCGGCATCAGTCCGGACTAGTACAAGGAGCCACAGACACACACACACGTGCATGCACGTCGCTATATAAGTGCAATAATCTTGGACGCGACGTTAAACCCAATTTCACCTCACCTCTATGGTTGAGTTGTGATATTGACCGGGCCACACGATTCGCCAAGAGGTAAGCTAATGCGTTTAAAAAAAAATTGTATTCAGGAAACAATAGTTAGAATTAGTTACCTGAACAGACAACTAAATATTTATATTTCCCTTTGAAATAACACGTGTTTTAACACACACAAATGTTTAACAAACATAAGTTTGTGTTTAGTGTTAGCCCATGTAGCCGTCATATACATGTAAAATACATAAATGTTTGTGTACAGTCATGTTTCGAATTGAATGTTATATTGAAATAGGGAAAGTGTTCACAAGGCGAGGCATTTCAAAACAATAATTTTATGCAATGGAAGGTGTTGAAAATCTATTTTAGTTGACTACAAAATACAGTTTTTACACGTGCACATACCTTTAGCTACATCATACATATAATATATTTCATATTATTTTGTTATCTTTACATACCCGTCTAGGGCGCCGCAATTGGCTGTGCAGAGTTGCGTCCCTTGGGTACGGCAGAAACCTATGATTGTGGGTTCGAATCCCGGTTCGCCCCGATTATGTTTCTAGGTTTGGCAGCACCGTGCTCGTGGGTGGTAAACGTCTGAGACCTGCACTACTTCGGGCTATTCTCCCACATTAAGCTGACACGCCGTGATATAACTGGAATACTGTTAAAAGCGGCGTAAAACACAACTCACTTACTCACTTTAAGTACCCAAATAAAAAAAATCAATCAACATACACTACAACACATACTTATCACTTCATAAGGAAATGTTTGTATTTGGATTGTTTTATTTCGATCACCATCCTTGCGATTACATAAAAAAATCCCTAAAACTTCGTTATCAAAATGATGGCCTAAATTATATATAGAAAGGCAAAACGTTACGACGAATTTAGAATTCGTTTTAATTTTTTTTATGTTCATACTGTGTAAAAGATCGGCTATTTAAAACCGTTTCACTGCTGATGACATTGTGTGATTATCATCAATATGCACGTTTCTATGGATACGTGACGTCACAGCACGTGCAATCAATGCAATGCAGAGCAGAATGAGGATAGAGAGCGCGACGGCCATGGCAATCATAGCTGCGGAAATCTTCCCCGACATTTGGCATTCTGAATACACGACGTCTTTCTCATCTGTAAAAGAAACATATCAAAATTACGGTTGTATATCGTATTCAAATTTTCCTGTTCCCCAACCTATTTTGTTTTTTGTTTGTTTGTTGTTAAATGCCACACTCAGCAATATTCCAGCTATATGATGGCCGTCGGTAAATAATCGATTCTGGACCAGACAATCCAGTGAGTGACATCATGAACATTGATCTACGCAATCGGGATACGATGACATGCATCCACCAAGTCGGTGAGCCTGTCTACCCGATCCCGTAAGTCGGCCCTTACGACAAGCATACTCTCCTCTCACGGAGAGCATTGGTAGCTGAAGACCTGTTCTAACCCGGATCTTCACAGGTCCCCCAACCTATAAAGTCAGCTCAACGAGTGAGTGAGACAATGATACTCTGTTCCGTTTGTTTCACGGTGACCTGTGGATGGGCGAGTTTTGGGTTTAAGACCAGTGATTGGTTGGATACAGTCCATCCACGAGGGCATCCATTTTGTCCACCTGATACTCGTCGGATCTAACGACAAGCGTTGTCTCTGGCTTTGATTACCACCCTTTGTTTTGGCAATGAAATCTAGATATGTTTCAACCTTTGTCCAAGTCTTGTCCTTGTCAGTCATTAGACATTGGAATTTGGATCATCACTTAAGTACGTGATGGTATTTGGTCTTCAAATTAACAATGAATCAGATTCTGATATATTAGGTTACTCTATCTTTACAAAACTGTTCTAAAGTTGCCTTCAACAACTGGACTTGAACAGATGCTGACCTAGTTTTGTAATCGAACGCGGGTCCTGGATGCTGATAATTCTTTCCACGATTGTCTCACTAGGGGCAGCTCTCCTCCTGCGACCAAAGCCGTTGGCACTTCCGGGCGGGCAGTTTGCCTATAAATACAGTGTAATGCAAGGTTTCGTCGTCGTCGTCATCATCATCATCATCATCATCATCATCATCACTGCATGTAATACAACCATTACAAAGCACTAACTATCACATTGGGCGACAATACATACGTATCGCAATGTACCTATTTCATAATTTTGATATTCCTTAAAGTTAGATGAACTTGTAAATGACTACGTTAGTGTATGAACATTCTCGTGACCTGTCCGGTTCCATTTAGGATGCGGCTCAGGTCTACATTTAAAACCTGTATTATTAAACAACATTTTAAGGCCATTATTGAACAATGACAATGTATTATAAAAGAGGACATTCAGGGAAGTTATTACAGATATTTAGAGCTACATTTGCGGACTTTTGCTTGCACTTCTGTTGTACTGAGGGAGTGAGTGAATGAGTTGGGTTTAACGCCGCTTTTAACAGTATTCCAGTTATAACGCGGCGTGTCAGCTTAATGTGGGAGGAAAACCCAAAGTGATGCAGGCCTCAGACGTTTACCACTTCGGTGAAACCCACGAGCACGGGTATGGTTCTGACAAACCTAGAAACATAATCGGGGCGAACCGGGATTCGAACCCACAATCATAGGTTTCTGTCGTGCCCAGGGGACGCAACTCTGCACAGCGAATCGCGGCGCCTTAGACGACTGGGCCCCCGTGCCCCCGAATAATCATTAAAAAGATGAGCGAAAGTTACATAGTCGAGTGCCTTTAACCAGACTTAATCTTTGCCTCTTTCATATATACGATTGAGACAGTATTTGCGAATAAACATGAAATGCGCCATTCAAATGACGTAACCAAGGCCATGTTAACATTACACATATCCAATAAAAAATCAAAAAGAGGCAAGCACAAAATATATGAAATCTATCATAAACTTACTGGATCGCAGTCGGCAGCATTAGCAGTCAGACAGACTTTGACGAGGAACTTGAACCCAACGTCTGTGTTTCCGTCAAAATGGAAGGCTCGGAGTTTTAGATTTATCTCCCGTTTGTCTGTGCCTCCTGACCCGCGGCTTGCCTCTTCTACAATAACGGGGAAGGCGTCGTCGTCCATGCAACTACGGTGGAAAAGTCAGTTTATAAAATAGAAAATCAAACATAGTAACTCATTCGGGAACACTGACTGCACGAACATGCTGATATCACACTGGGCGAAAAGGGCAGATTCCATCGGGCGTAAAAAAACAGAATTCATTTGGCGTAAAAGACAAATTGAATGAAGGGGTGAATATTTTATGTATGATCACTGAAAATCAGTGATGTTTTGTTTGTTTGTTTGTTGTTTAACGCCGCACATTTTCCAATTATATGACGGCGGTCTGTAAATAATCGAGTCTGGACCAGACAACCCAGTGATTGACACCATGAGCATCGATCCACGCAATTGGGATACAATGACATGCATCAACCAAGTCAGCGAACCTGGACACCTGATCCCGTTAGTCGCCTTTTACGACAAGCATAGTCACCATTTACGGCAAGCATGGGTTGCTGAAGACCTAATCTACCCCGGAATCTTCACGGTTCGAAAATCAGTGATGACAACACAGGATTCGCGAAAATGGTTTGCACCGGCCACTCACACAATAACTTTTTGTTCCTTGATGCCGCACACATAGATGTGTATGTTTGTATATGTCATGTCACATCAACATATGCATTTATCACATACATCAGTGTGAAAGACTGAGTTTTCTGAAGTTTGAGAAAAGTGATATTTTCATTGGAGAGAACATTACACTTTGCCGGAACTATTGTCAAACAAGAGTTGCCTCCGTCTATTGTCTCCCTTCATGGTAAGTGTCTGGCCCATACACAAACTGTCATTTATGGAGATAATATTGCTTCTTGCCGAGTGTTATTGTCTTGAAAATGTTTCGTTATAATCTGTAAATTTCTCATTTAACTCGTCCAACCGAGACTTCGTTTCCCAAAGCGCCATTTTTGTTACTTGACCATGGTGTATTCCTTCGCTTCCAACAGCGTTCTCGTAGTTTTCAAGAATATTTGTTGACTGAAATTGATTTTGTATATAATCATATCCAAATGTATGGTAAAGAATTTTAGTGACCTCAAAATTTTGTTTGCTACTTTTGTTTATATTTTTTTAAATATTGCAAGGCTCGGATGTCTTTTTAAGCCTCAATTACAAGGGGCGGTAAGCCGTCCCTGTGTGCCAGGAAGGGAGAATTTACTTTCAAACTTTTACATTTGTACGGTGTAACGGAGATATTTTCACTCGTGGGTACACCACCAGACACGTGAACTATCCTCTATATATTAACACTCTTTAGGGTTAGAAATAACCGAGTTGATAAAGTCGTACATTGTATATGCACTAGTGCAAATATCACTTCACACGCAACAGTGTATTGTTTACGTCATTTGAATGGTATTGTTGACGTCATTCGAATCTTATTGTGACGTAAGGTTGGAATGACGTCACACTAGAAAAGAAGTCATAGCTTAAAAATTATTGACGTCATTCGACAATTGTGGTTTTCTAAGACGGTCGTCGTGGTTAGTGCATAATATGGAGCTCAAAATATGTAAGAAATAATTTGTAATAAAGTAATTATTACACTCGCTTCGATGTTATTTTGATTTTACGAAACTCGAGTAAGAATTCATGTATTACCCTCGCTCTCACTCAGGAATACAAGAATTCTGACACAAGTTTCGTAAAATAAGTTTGACATGCTCGTATGATAATCTCGTCCACTCGCCATGTCTTTGTGATATCACTCTACAGTCACATTACATGTCAATCTAGTTAGGGGGGCACGGGTAGCCCAGTCGTCTAAGGCGCCGCAATTGGCTGTGAAGAGTTGCGTCCCTTGGGCACGCCAGAAACCTATGATTGTTGGTTCGAATCCCGGTTCGCCCCGATTATGTTTCTAGGTTCTTCAGCACCATACCCTAGCTCGTTTCACCGAAGTGGTAAACGTCTGAGACCTACATCACTTCGGGCTTTCCTCCCACATTAAGCTAACACGCCGTGATATAACTGGAATACTGTTAAAAGCGGCGTTAAACCCAACTCACTCAATACATATTGTTAACACATGTACAAAGTGTACAAACTTGTCGTCCACACATCATAACTTTATCATGATGCACACTGCAATTACTATGAAGTCATATTATGTAATGACATCAACAGATACTATAAGTTATAGCAGGATCACTTGGGGGTTATGCGTCCCGCGTTAGGTGTTATTCCATGAGTGACACGCATTTATCCATGAGTGGAATAAACCCTAACCAGGGACACACACAACCCTATTTACCCCGAGTGATCCTGCTACAACGAATATATCTTATCGACATGTTTTAGTATGACAATGTAAAAGAATTCAACCTAATTCCAAATTGATAGGAAACAGCTGTTCAATCGAGCTGAGGTTACTTGACTTCTATTGACTCGGAAAAAAGCGTGAGGCTTTTTGCTTTGAAGTGGGGTACTAGGGATTTATTCTGCCTCTCAGAAATCCACGTGCAACCTGACCTGCTCGTGGCGGGGTATAAGGGATTTTATCGCCCGCTGAGAAATTTATCCCTTTCCAAGGCGGGATACATAGTATTATATCAAAATCACGTGGACCAATCAGATTTCTTCCTTCTGACATGAAGGTATGATAAAGGCTGATGAACTCCGTGAATTACTTCGCATATATCCATAGAGGAGTAAATAATGTCACATATCCCTGCCTGCCACATTAACCTCGATTATGTACAGAAGGAATAGGACTTTGATGATCACGCGCACGCACGCACGCACGCACGCACGTACGCAGACACAGATGCACACACGCACGTACACATATACGCACTCACGCACATACTCACGTACACACATATACACCACACACACACACATAAACACTCACACGGATGCACACACGCATGTACAGATCTACGCACACACACGCACTCACGGACGCACGCATACACATAGGCACACTTCCACACATACGCACCCACGCAAACACAAATACACGCACACGTACACGCACACACTCCCCTACCTTCCAGTGATGAGATTCAGCGTTTTGGTGCCGACTGTCATAGTGTTGTTGGCCTCTCCGGATATGATCAACATGGACTCGTAGTCTAGAACATATGAAGAGCACGACAAAATAAGATACTCGCCTTTTGCATTGTAGTACTATTGCTCATAAGTCCCACACACTCACAAAAATTATACTAACGAACAACAAAGACATTTAGAATAATAAAACTGCAGTCGAATATATATTTATATTAAAAAAAGTATTTTTAATAGCACGTCTGACAATTTATTAGAACTAACACCGCCGAGCGTTTCTGATATAGCAACTTATCGCACATGATTTGCCCCCAAACCCTGCATGTGATATAAACAAATTTATTTCCATAAAGTATAGGGATTGGCAAACAAGCAAATTTTGCTTATCTGAATCCCTCTCACTAACATGATGCATATACAAATTAAAATGAATTGAAATTGACATGATAAATAACATACATTATATAATTGACATTGAAGATAATTATTGTTTTGTAAGTGTTTTGTTACTCGATTTTCTTTCGTAACTACAGTTACGTTATTACTTACATCCAGCACAACAACATCGCAGTGTCATATAGCAAAGCCAACACTGCCGAAAAAAAATCAGGCAAACTGTCTAAATCGGCAAGAGGATAGAATAAAACTATGCACTGACTTCAAAATTTCAGGATTTGTTATAGTCGTTAAATGTGAAATACAATTTAAAATTAAATTTAAATCGTAGCCTTTTACGAAATAGAACATGTTTTGCTTGAATGTACTGTTTAAGGGACACGTAAGAAAGAAGTGAAGTGCATCTTCCGTGTGACAGCCACAACATCTCGGGCTGTCGGATATAAATCTGGCAAATTTGTCGGCGTTAAGATCGCTGCAGATCAGCCAAGCCTGAGACGGGAATGTATAACCTGCTGGTCGTTCAGAATGCTTCTGATGGTCTTTTACCGTGTGTGCTGTAGCGGAATGGATTGTCTCTCTTAAATATTCCAGAGCTTATTGTTTGTACCATTGGTTAGTATGTTTGGGTAAACATATATCCTGTTCTGAAAATAATCTTAAACATAAACATCATTATACTGTAATCAAATTGTCTTTATCTTTATGATGGAAAGGTCTTCATATAAGCAAATTGCCTGTTGACTATCCATATTTCATAGTTTGTGAGACCCATGAAGATCCGGGGTAGTAAAAGGCGACTATGCTCGTCGTAAGAGGCGGTCAGGCTGGCTGACTTGGTTGATGCATGTCATCGATCCAAATTGCGTGGATCGATGCTCATGATATCAATCACTGGATTATCTGGTCCAGACTCGATTATTTACCGACCGCCGTCATATAGCTAGAATATTGCTGAGTGCGGCGTTAAACAACAAACCAACCATCCTTAGTTTGTGAAATAAAATATATTTCAAATCATTTGTGCTACCTTTGTTTTTGGTTATTTAGCAGTGTTTCGAAACACCCTCATTATTCCAACAATCTCTTTAAAGAATATCACAAAGTCGGTCGGAATTGTGTGCCACTTTCCTGATTCATTTGAGCGTTTATCCAAGTTTTCTTACATTAAAGATCATCCAGTTAAAGTGAAGGAGTTATCGGAACCAATTTATACATTGTTTATCACGTGGAGTCCGACCATGTGTATAGCCTGTGACTCACCCCTGATTGCTATCAGCAAACAGGGGGATAACCTGCTTCCATTAGACGCGATAGAGTACATCAGTTTGAAAGCTTTACATGAATGGGACATTTTAAGGCTTATACCTTACTTTGGATATAATCTATGTCATAGTAAAGGCTTTAAGTGTTCTGATATTTCCAAATGCTTCATTGTGATGTAGGGGCGCGGTTTAATTGTATTTCTTATCCTTATTAAGGTCCGCTGGTCGTGGTTCTAATCTTGGATTCACTCCAATAGTGATTTTGTCAAAAGCGGTTTCATAGGATTTCACCGACGTGTTTATGGTAGTTTTTGAAATTTGAGTCAATAAGTGAGTTAGTGAGTGAGTGAGTTGGGTTTAATGCTGCTTGGAACAGTATTCCTGTTATATCACGACGTGTCAACTTAATGTAAGAGGAAAGCTTGAAGTGATGAAGTTCTCAGACCACTTCGGTGAAACCGACGAGCACGGGTATGGTGCTGACGCATAATAAACGATGGACATTTTGACAAAGAATCACACAGTGTCCAATTTGAATACTAGTATTGTACACATATACTCACTGACAAAAGAAATGCGAATACCATACATGCTGGTGAAAATATGAAGAATTACACATATTCAAGAGATATTAGAATGGTTCGACACGCATCAACCAAGTCAGTGAGCTTGAACACCCGATCCCGTTAGTCGTCTCTAACGACAAGCACAGTCGCCTTTTACGGCAAAAATGGGTTGCTGAGGACCAATGGTTTGGTTGGTGAGATGTATGGGTCAGTTTCGGAGCAAACCTTTCTTTTGTAGTTGACTCCTACTCTTACAGGGAGATATGGCGAAGGTAAACACAAGCTCAGCCCCGACGTCTATAGGGTTGGTTGATACTGCCTGACCTACTCTTACCGGGGGATATGGCGAAGGTAAACACAAGCTCAGCCCCGACGTCTATAGGGTTGGTTGATACTGCCTGACCTACTCTTACCGGGAGATATGGCGAAGGTAAACACAAGCTCAGCCCCGACGTCTATAGGGGTGGTTGATACAGCCTGACCCACTCTTACCGGGAGATATGGCGAAGGTAAACACAAGCTCAGCCCCGACGTCTATAGGGTTGGTTGATACTGCCTGACCTACTCTTACCGGGAGATATGGCGAAGGTAAACACAAGCTCAGCCCCGACGTCTATAGGGTTGGTTGATACTGCCTGACCTACTCTTACCGGGAGATATGGCGAAGGTAAACACAAGCTCAGCCCCGACGTCTATAGGGCTGGTTGATACCGCCTGACCTACTCTTACCGGGAGATATGGCGGAGGTAAACACAAGCTCAGCCCCGACGTCTATAGGGTTGGTTGATACTGCCTGACCTACTCTTACCGGGAGATATGGCGAAGGTAAACACAAGCTCAGCCCCGACGTCTATAGGGGTGGTTGATACCGCCTGACCTACTCTTACCGGGAGATATGGCGGAGGTAAACACAAGCTCAGCCCCGACGTCTATAGGGGTGGTTGATACAGCCTGACCCACTCTTACCGGGAGATATGGCGAAGGTAAACACAAGCTCAGCCCCGACGTCTATAGGGGTGGTTGATACTGCCTGACCCCCGCTTGTGATAGCCAGGAACACGGGACCCAGGAAGTCTTGTCTTGTGATGGTGTTCAGAGGCGATCTGAGGAGGAACACGACAGTACAGGTGAGATATTTTGGTATATCTAGAGTTCTGGCATCTAAGGTTGAAGACGTTAACGCCGTAGGGCTCTTGACGTAACCGTCCAAATGCTTACAATGTAACAAGTCTGTAAATTTATTCATTACATCATAACACCACGTTCACAGTATCATTACTTCCGTCATCGTTAGCGGATTGCCATTCAAGTGGAAAAGAGGCATACCAGATTGTATAATATAAGGAGGAAAAGAGAGAGGGGGGGTGGGGGTTGGGGGTTGGGGGTGGTGGGGTGGGGGGGGGGGGGGGGCAGATACACAGTGACACAGACAATGAAAGAGACAAAATGAGCGAGAGACACAGAGAACGAGGGACAATGAGAGACAATGAGAACCAAAGACACAACGAGAGAGAATGAGAGACAGAGACAGAGAGAGAATGTGAGAGAGAGAGTCAGAGAGAGAATGAGAGACAGAGAGAGAATGAGAGAGAGACACAGAGAGAATGAGAGATACAGACACAAAGAGATAAAATGAGAGAGTGGCAAAGAGAGAATGAGAGAGAGACAGGGAAAAAGAGACAGACACAAAGTCAAAGAGAAAATGAGAGAAAAAGACAACGAGAGAGAACGTTTACGAGGGACAGAGAGAATGAGAGACAGACACAACGAGAGAGAATGAGAGACAGAGAGAGAATAGGAGAGGGAGAAAGAGAGACAGAGACCAAGAGTGAATGAGAGTGAGACAGAGATATGAGAGAGAGAATGAGAGAGAAAGAAAGAGAAGATGTAAGAATACGTAGTGCTGGACACTGACAGGTCTGCGGTGTTGACGGGCACGATGTTGTAGGACACGGGCACTCCACTGCCGTCTAGGACGCACTTGACGGTGTATCGGTCGTCGATGTTGATGATGTAGTCCTGGCTGTATTGGATCACCACGTCTCTCGTGTACTCAATGTTCACACCGTTCTGAACAACGAAACTAATCAAATAAGACATGGAAGTTTAGGCGCCAGGCCCACTTAAGCTCCCACAAAACGATCTTAGCGCTACGACTATCATCGATGTCAGTGTACGGTCGTCGGCGTACTAAGATCGCTTTGGGCAAATGGGCCCTGGGACCAAGACATCTTAACTCCTATGTCTTCATATAGACTTACTACCGCCGTAGCACTACGATCGCTTTGTGACACGGGACCAAGGCGGAATACTTTGAAGTTAGGGGCGACGAGGTAGCCTAGTGGTTAAAGCGTTCGCTCGTCACACTGAAGACCAGGGTTGATTCCCAACATCGATACATTGTGTGAAGCTCATTTCTTGTGTGCCCTGTCGTGATATTGATCACTCACTCACTCACTCACTCACTCACTCACTCACTCACTCACTCACTCACTCACTCACTCACCTTGGGTTTATGTTCCTCAAACATGCTCATGATACAGTCAAGGATGCTGAGATAAGACTCGCGATCGATGAGGAAGCCGAGATAAGACTCGTTTAGTAAATAGTTTTTTAAAGAGCGACATTTTAGTTCCTTACTGGAGTTGCAGTTATGGTTCCACAGTCGGGGCTGGTGTGCTCCACCTCGATGTAACGCCCCTCCCAAGTGTCGGGGACGTTGTCAGATGATGACGCCGACGGTACCGGCGATGACTCGCAGGCCGCTGTTCCTCTCTTGCCTTCAATGTAGGCGACGCCGCTGAATGTACCGTAGGGGTTGAGGCCGATGACCATTCTGTCAGCCAGACACGACACAGTAACTGGAACAATAATTGTATGATATGAAAGTTGATTCTTGCTTATTGGTTTTATGCAACATAATTACAAAGACGTGATGTCGCTACTCCTCTTTTGTTTAATGTTAGAACCATCTCGAGATTCACGACTCGTGTCAAGTGCCGAACCAGTCATGCCTACACTGCCTCGATACATTGTTTATTTACGTTTATGGCCCCGGAAAATTGGTTATATAATATTGGCACTCCGCTTGTGGCCATTGGTCGTTGGTTTTGTTGTCTGTTGCATGGCGTTACTCAAACATTTTATTTAAGGCAATGCAGTGAGATTTGCCAAAAATATATAAAAAGCCATCTTAATACACTAACAGCCTACACACCTCCCCCGTTCCCCCCGGAAAATGAAATATAACTTTAAAAAAATAATAATAATAATTTTTTTTTTTTTTAAAGAATAAAAAATACAATAAAAATAAATGAATTGCAGCTTTGTCTCTTTGTCATGAACACTAGAGTTAACTTACATCGTTGTTCATCACACGCCGAACCGTAGTAGTCGCTGAAGCAGTAACACATGCCCCCACTGCCGTCATCGTAGCAGGCACCTTGACCTGCCTTGCAAGGGTCAGTTGTAACGCAAGAGCTGGCGCCTTTGTCAACTAGAACGACGTTAAATAAACATGATAACAACATCATACACGGTGGGTGGTTTCAACTTGACATATTTACGTTTTGAGATATGTACGTAGTAGCTAATGAATAACATTATGTATATAAATGTAATCTCTATAGATTACTATGCATAAATTTGCAAGACAATTTTCCAATAACAGCACTAATCACAATATTATACCAATATAGTAATAAATGTTTGTTTGTTTGCTTGTTGTTGCACTCAGCAATATTCCAGCTATATGTCGACGGTTTGTAAATAATCGAGTCTGGACCAGACAGTCCAGTGATTGACATCATGAGCATCGATCCACGCAATTGGGATACAATGACATGTATCAACCACGTTAGCGAGCCCGACCACCCGTTATTCGCCCCTTACGACAAGCATAGTCGCCTTTTACGGCAAGCATGGGTTGCGAAAGACTTGAATCTTAATCTGAATCTTACTGATGAGCAGACCGCAGTCGTCTCCCTCGTGGGTTGGTGAGGCACCCCCGGCGCAGGTGCACGCGGAGGCGACGTACGAACATGTTCCGCCATTCTTACAATCCTGGCTTGGTCGTCGACAGTCAAACGTTGCTTGACCTACGTGTGATTCAAATATATATACATCGTAAATGCAAGAGAATAACCAGTCTAGATTTTCTGCCGAAACAGATTCCACGGAAAGGGCAAATAGCTGTGGACATTATATGAATGGACCACTGAGAATCAACGATGGCACCTGGTGTTCGCGAAAAGGGTTAGCATGTCATTCCCGCTCACAGGTAGCACCCGCCATTCATACAATTTGAGTGAGTGAGTGAGTTGGGTTTAACGCCGCTTTAAACAGTATTCCAGTTATATCGCGGCGTGTCAGCTTAATGTGGGAGGAAAGCCCGAAGTGATGCAGGTCTCAGACGTTTACCACTTTGGTGAAACCCACGAGTACGGCTATGGTGCTGACAAACCTAGAAACATAATCGGGGCGAACCGGGATTCGAACCCACAGGTTTCTGGCGTGCCCAAGGGACGCAACTCTGCATAGCGAATCGCGGCGCCTTAGACGACTGGGCCACCCATATACACTTTGCATACAAAAGTAAGTATTTATGGCCTGTCGCAGCACAGCAGTTCTCCTGCCATGCGAGTGCTCAGCCTGTAAATACACCAGACAATCAGGTAATCGATGAAGACAAAGGTGTTTTTAGGATCGATCCACGCAATTGGGATACGATGACCTGTATCAATCAAGTGAGCTTGACCACCCGATCCCGTTAGTCGCTTCTTAAAACAAGCTGAAGACCAATTATCACCCAACACTTCACACGTATTCAGAGGAGGGCTACAAGTGATTAATCCCGGTTATGTATTACCAGGAGATGTATATCTCTACCATGCATACATCTCCAGGAAATTAGGGGATATATATGTTGTTTTAATCCTGACACCATAAATAACCTGGTGCTCGACACTGTAGTTTTTGAGTATCCACCTAACAAAATGGTCCCTTTTTCTATATGCACCTACAATATTGTACATTTGAAGGAAATATAATGTACATTGTGTAGGAGGACGCCGCGCGTCGTGTTTCACGTGCCGAAAATTTGGTTTTTCAACATAAATCATGAATTATATGGGTCAAAATCATGAACTATGTGGGTCAAAAATCATGAACTATTTGGGTCAAAATCATGAACTATATGGGTCAAAATCATGAACTTTATGGGTCAAAATCATGAATTATATGGGTCAAAATCATGAACTATATGGGTCAAAATCATGAACTATATGGGTCAAAATAATGAACTATGTGGGTCAAAATAATGAATTATATGGGTCAAATCATGAACTATATGGGTCAAAATCATGAACTATATGGGTCAAAATCATGAACTATATGGGTCAAAATAATGAACTATATGGGTCAAAATCATGAACTATAAGGGTCAAAATCATGAACTATATGGGGCATGTAATGGTGATTGAATATGGAATTAGACAAAGCATAAATATATGTCAACGCCGAGAATCAGTCTCCATTATCTGCCGAGACAGAAACCTTTGTACGTAAAATACAAAATAGCTGTGAAAACATTCTGTGAAGGGGCCACTAAAAATCAATGATGACAGCAGGCGTTCGCAAAAAGATAAGCATACCCTGTCCTACCGGTAGAACATGCCACTCACACAATTTGCATAAAACAGTAAATTTTTGTTGTTGCCCGCGGACGCAGACCAGTACTCCTGCCAAACGGTGGCGGGCTGTAAACAAATAACGTGACAAAAAATCCTCAGGGTATAATATTCTACGGTTCCAATATTTGCAAAGCTCATCAGTCATTAATCTGAGACGGGGGCAGGTGCAGGGTATGCTCCCCTTTTCGCGAACACCTGGTATCATCACTATTTGATAAGGATTCACAGATAGTACTTGTGAAATACGTGGTACACTGGGCTGGTTTAGGACAGTGCTGTAATATTGCCCAGGAGAGTCCATATTGGGTCTAAGGTCTAATGTCGCCCTTCCCTTTGTGTCGAATGATGCATAGTCACAATGACTGTCGTATCTTGTAAACTAATGGTGGAATACGTACACTGAATGACCATCAATACGATCCCTAGATGGCGCAAGGTATCCATGGTAGTACGGAATCTACAAGAAAACAACAACAACAACAATAGTAACAACAGCAATAATAATAATAATAATAATAATAATAAGGTAATGCTAACTTCTTTGTTCATCTTGTTTGTTTGTTTGTTGTTTAACGCCGCACTCAGCAATATCCCAGCTATATGACGGCGGTCTGTATATAATCGAGTCTGGACCAGACAATCCAGTGATTGACATCATGAGCATCGATCCATGCAATTGGGATACGATGACATGCATCAACCAAGTCAGCGAGCCTGACCACCCGATCCAGTTAGTCGCCTCTTCCGACAAGAATGGGTTGCTTAAGACCTATTCTACCTTCACGGGTCATCTGTATTGATAAGCAAGGGATCTACAACTGGATAGCACATGGTCATACAGAAAGCTTACAGAATCAATTAAACAAGAACAAGAATCGTGAACAAGAATCACACACTGTAACTGCACACTGCAATCAAGTAACATGTCGTTGCTGCTTTCAAAATTTTCATTCAAACACTGCTTCTAAAATACCGAGGTATGGCTAAAATATTTGAAGAAACCCCAACCTGAACAATTGTGAGAAAGACGGCGACCCAGCATTAAGTATTAACCCTATGTTTGCACAGGTTGTAACACTAAGAAAGTCGGCTTGAGTGAAAAACGTGCTTGTTTTCAAATAGGTGAGGTGAGGTGAAATTGGGTTTAACGTCGCGTCCAAGAATATTGCATTTATATAGCGTGCACGTGTGTGTGTGTGGCTGCTTGAGTCCGGACTGATGCCGATTTATAGTGCTAGCTCACTGAGATACCATGCCGCAGTTAAACATGAATACCCCACTCAGACACAGTATACTGACTCCGAGCGACCAGTCCTTGTTTTAGCCCCTTAATGCCGACCGCCAGATAGGGTAACAACAAGTACCATCTTTTAACGTCTTTTGGTATGACGCGGCCCGGGATCGAACCCCGGACCTTCCGCTCTCCGGGCGGACGCTCTACCACTAGACTACGGAGGCGGTCTGTTTTCAAATAAAGAATACATAGACTTGTATGACAGAAACGTACTGGCATTACGACCAAAAGGTCGAATTGAAAGAATATAGAAGGTGAAATCCATAAACCAACTGTCTTCGTTTTTGTGTGACATCTTTAGTTCTACCTCTAGATTAAACAATGTGCAGTGCCATCAACTACTCCCGAAATATGATGACCACATTGCGTGTATCCATACTGTTGATAATAGGTAATTTGCCAAAGAAACAACAAGTACAAGAATATAGTTTACCTTACGATGTGCTGTGTCCGTGTTGATCATCCGATAACAGACGCGACTATTTCAGCACCTCATATACTGCTCGGTTGTATTATATACAGCATATTATTGCCTGATGGAAAAAATACTATATTTCAAGTCGCTGGTTGGTACACCAGAACCATTAAGACCAATCACAGCGTAGACAGATATATGGGCGTGCACCACATGATATACATCATATTGCCACTTAGGACCATTAGACGCTGTGAATGTGGGATAGTAATCTGATTGACACGGTGTCCAGCTGTGGAACGGCCACTTCTGTCAGTTACTTTTACAGTTACCTCAGACAGTGTCCTGTGGTCGCACGACTGTCTCCGAGAAACAGGTGTACGTGTACCTACCACAACCACACGCTGTATGGATGATTCAGCTTAATGTGTTTTGCGGGGCGGTCGGGTAGCCTAGTGGTTAAAGCCTTAGCTCGTCACGCCGAAGACCCAGGTTCGATTCCCGACATGGGTATAATGTGTGAAGCCCATTTCTGGTGTCCCCCGCCGTGATATTGCTGGAATATTGCTAAAAGCGGCTTAAAACCATACTCACTCACTAATTTAAATGTGTTTTGCCCAGGAGAAAATATACCTCATCTTTTTAATAGCATGAAATGGCCGAAGATCGTCTGCATTTCACAACTTTTGCGCTACAATCGAGCATGCTCTTTCTAAGATTTCAAAGAGCGTCATACAATACAACATAATTTCTTTGATCAATATTACAACATTCAAAGCCTCAGTAAAGCTTTCAAGAACATTAATGGTAGACATGTGGAGGACTTTATCAACTTTGACGCACCAGTGACAAAAATGATGTCCTTTTCCCGAACACCTTGTATTATCACTATTTGATAGTGATTCATAAACATATATTCAGGATATCGTCGGAATCTTGCAATCTACTCTGTTTTGGCAGAGATTTCTTATGACTAGGGAAAGGGTTTTGTCACATTGTCAGTATAAAACCCTGTTTTATCTTGAACACCGTCTACAAAGCGTCCTTAACGTTCTGGGCCCGGTTGCATAAAACTTGTATGATTCCCTTGCCATTAAACCTCTATTAATTAATTTGACTGTATAGGATTTGTAATGACATCATTCGTAAAACTGAAGGACAGTTGTCTTAATGCAGGTTTCAGGGTACCATCAGTCTGTCATTAAACTAAGGATGTCTATTAATATGCCATAAGAAAGAAAATGCAGGATCAATACAAAACCTTTGTGTTTTGCATCGAACCCCCCAAACACGTAAATTACATCACAAAATGAACGTCCAAAGTCATGCATGTAGGAATTATGATCAAACTTTCGAATCTTATACTCTCAATCCACAGGCGAGGTTAACGGGAACATTTACGGGGAATACCCAAATTTAATGACACGTTAAAGGCAACTTTACAGTTGAAGTGTCATTAGTTGATGATAGTTATTGACGGCGTTGTACAAACCATTTTAATGCCGCCGTTACCTAATGAAAGAATTGGAATTTAATTTACTATCAGGGTTTAATGAACCCATTAATGATTAATGAAGTTTTTGATATAACCGGGTTGAGGTAATCGTAAGCTTATATCAACGTAGGGCCCGTGAAGATGGCTCCTTCTGCCTCCTGCCAGGTACGTTCGTATTTATCGGGGATCGGTCATCGATATTCTGGAGGGGCCTGAAGGAAAACACTGGAAAAACACATTTGTCCTGAAACAAGAGAGTTGTGAAAAACTGTCTTAAAGCCTGATTAAAAAATATATCATGAAATCATGGCCTTTTAAAATCCACTTCATTGCAGTTGCTTAAATGATTGTAGCTCCAGATTAATATATAATAATGACTCCCCTTATATGCTGTTTTCCTTTATATTGAATGGATTCAGAAGCATAACGATGCTTAATGTCCATATTTTATCAATTTATTTAACCGATACGGTACGAGCAATTACAGCCTTATCCGAGTGAGCGAACCGTACAAGAGCCTTTCGTGAAGGAATTCATAGCGATCATTTAGGAGATAAACATACTATGTTTTCAATGTAGACATTGAATTGGGAAGCGAACGTACGACACGGTTTCATCTAAGGTCACCTTGCTCAATATTTTTATTTTTATTTTCAGAAGGAATTTTTTATTTTAAAAAAATTAAAAACCTGAATGACAACGCATATATGCACAAAGTACCATTGATTAATTTGGTCGACCCAGACGTCGGTTCAAACGTTTGGTGTGAGGGGAAATCAAGTGTTTCGTGTTCACTTCACAAAAACATTCACTATATTGGCAAAGTAGTAATCTTGTTCGACCTTAGTTGCAGGATACGCTCACCTTTTCGCAAACACCTGGTATCATGAGTGACAATGATCCATAAACAAGTGCTTATGATATACTAGACGTCTTACGGGATCGGGAAGGCAGGCTTGCTGACTTGTTTGATGCTTGTCATCGTACCCCAGTTGCGTAGATCGATGCTCATGATATCAATCACTGGATTGTCGGGCCCAGACTCTATTTATTTACAGACATATAGCTGGAATATTGCTGAGTGTGGCGTTAGACAACCAACCAGCCAACCAACCAACAAATTACTGTAAAATTGACGACACTCACATCTTAATGCACAATAATAGCTCACAAATCCCTAACCTCCCGCCCATCAGTTAACTGCTCAAATGAAACGACTGTACGAAGGTGGATATCACAAGGTAACCATGATAAAAAAACAAGTGCGGGATTGGCACACGTTGTTCCAAGGCGTTAAAAAGACAGGATTTAAGGTCCATTACTTTAATCCACGTTGAGCTCGAGTTGTTACTGGGGATTAACCGCGAACAAGTAGGCGCATGTTACGTGTTTGTACTCCGCTGGCCAGTACAATTGGGGGCAGCTCATAGTAGCATTAGCGAAGTGGGGATCTCAGATCGGTCAGGTTTAATGTGCTTTTAGAAAATGGGATTGTCAACATCTTGAGGAGTCATCATGTGAAAGAATGTGGGGCGTGTTTGGGATGTATTTTGAATGTTATTTGGTACAAATTGAATGTGAATCTGAAAGGTTGTAGTATAACCCTGTGACAGTATGAGTGTAAACATACGAATCTACACTTCTTTCAAACATATTTAACCGATATCTACATCCACAGTTGTATTGCCACGAGGACATGTATGTTTTGAATAAACTGATGTTTGGTATTTACTGTCTTGTCCAAACTAATGTTTGGTATTTACTGTTCTATCTAAACTGGTGTTTGGTATTTACTGTTTCGTCCCAACTGATGTTTGGTATTCACTGTTTTGTCCAAATCTAAACTGATGTCTGGAATTTTCTGTTCTATCTAAACTGAAGTTTGTTTATTACTGTTTTGTCCCAACTGATGTTTGGTATTTGCTGTTTTATCTATACTGATGTTTGGTATTTTGTCCAAACTGATGACTGGTATTTGTAGTTGTGTCCAAACTGATGTTTGGTATTTACTGTTCTGTCTAAACTGTTTTTTTGTATTTACCTTTCAGTTTGAACTGATGTTTGGATGTTACCGTTCTATCTAAACTGATGTTTGGTTTTTACCGTTTTATCTAAACTGATGTTTGGTTATTACTGTTTTGTCCAAACTGATGTTTGGTATTTACCGCTTTATCCAAACTAATGTTTCGTATTTACTGTTCTATCTAAACTGATGTTTGGTTATTACTGTTTTGTCCAAACTGATGTTTGGTATTTACTGTTCTTTCTAAACTGATGTTTGGTATTTACTGTTCTATCTAAACTGATGTTTGGTATTTACTGTTTTGTCTGAAGTGATATTTGGTATTTACTGTTCTAACTAAACTGTTGTTTGGTATTCACCGTTTAATCTAAACTGATATTTCGTAGATAGTGTTTTGTCCAAACTGATGTTTGGTATTTACTGTTTTGACTAAACTGATGTTTGGATTTTACCGTTCTATCTAAACTGATGTTTGGTATTTACCGTTTTATCTAAACTGTTGTTTGGTATTTACTGTTTTGTACAAACTGATGTTTGATATTTACCGTTTTGTCCAAACTGATGTTTGGTATTTACTGTTCTATCTAAGCTGAAGTTTGGTTATTACTGTTTTGTCCAAACTGATGTTTGGTATTTACCGTTATGTCCAAATTGATGTTTGGTATTTACTGTTTTGTCCAAAAGGATGTTTGGCTATTACTGTTTTGTCCAATCTTATGTTTGGCATTTACCGTTTCATCTAAACTGGTGTTTGGTTATTACCTTTTTGTCTAATCTGATGTTTGGCATTTACCGTTTTGACCAAACTGATGTTTGGTATTTACTGTTCTATCTAAACTGATGTTTGGTTATTACTGTTTTGTCCTAACTGATCTTACTGTTCTGGCCAAACTGATGTTTGGTTATTACTGTTTTGTCCAAACTGATGTTTGGTATTTTCTGTTCTATATAAACTGATGTATGGTTATTACCGTTTTGTCCAAATAAACCAGCGCCTCGTCAGTACTTCACTTCAGTGAGGTGTACACTGGGAGCCAGGCACAGGGAACATTAATCCATAAATAAAAGAAAATAGTAAATGAAATCATTTCGACTTAGAATACATTATGTGAGTGAGAGAGTGAGTGAGCGAGTTGGGTTTAACGCCACTTTTAACAGTATTACAGTTATATCGCGGCGTGTCAGCTTAATGTGGGAGGAAAGCCCGAAGTGATGCAGGTCTCAGACGTTTACCACTTCGGTGAAACCCACGAGCACGGGTATGGTGCTAACAAACCTAGAAACATAATCGGGGCGAACCGGGATTCGAACCAACAGTCATAGGTTTCTGGCAAGCTCAAGGGACGAAACTCTGCATAGCGAGTCGCGGTGCCTTAGACGACTGGGCCACCCGTGCCCCCGAAACACTATGTAAATAGTGATTGAATGAGTATGGTTTTATGCCGCTTTTACCAATATTCCAACAATATCACCAGAAATCAGCTTCACACATTGTACCAATGTCGGGAATCGAACCCGGGTCTTCGGCATAACGATCGAACGCCTTATCTACTAGACTACCCGACCGCCCCACTATCTCAAAAAAATTGTTGTAATATTCAAGCAATACCAAGGTGCACCTGGGATTATAAAATACCAATGTCGAGAGTAGAACGTGTGACGAGCGAACGCTTTAACAATTAGGCTAACCCACCAGCATGTAACTACGTAGGCAGTAATATATGTGAGGTTCAACGTCGCAAAGGCGTCTGGAATGAGAAGATAACTCTCGGCGCAAAGGCGTCTGGAATGAGAAGATATCTCTCGGCGCAAAGGGGAAACAATTCATGATCGGGCACATCGAACAAATGTGATCACGCTTATTCTTCGCAATACAACAAAACACAAATCATAGTGTATTAATCATTTCTTTCACAGAATGTATTCTTTTAAGGTTTTAAGGTTAAACATATGTCAATAGATATTTCCGTTTCGAGTATGCGAAATTTCTGGTGCTGTTTTTTAATATGTCCCTTTACGAAATAATGTCTAATGCACATGTTGGTTTACAATATCATTTTCAGTTACACATGCACATCTAGCGCTCTGAGAGGTAGGCGAGCCCTTGACACAGGTTGAGTGAGTGAGTTAAAATTTGAAGTCACATCGGCAATATTTCAGCCATATCGTGACTATCAAGGTTTAAACATAAGAAATACATTTAGGCTATGTAAAAACCTACTATGCCGACATGGAAGAGAAACGGTATAGATTTTTGGACTCTTTATTTATTTCGACTATTCTAGAAAGAATAGAAATGTAATAGATAGAAATATACACTGTCGCTTATGTGGCATATTATCGTTAAAATCGGGTACTCGGGAGTCTGGCCCGGCTTTTGAAACACGGGTATACGAGTACTTTATCTTCCCGTCAGAGTCCTAGTAAGTATTCAACATCAATATCCATGGACCCCGGAACTGGGGAACACTTCTTCTAATGTACAGAGCTTGTTGACTGCGGAGGTTTTCCTGACACTGATCCGGAACAACCACTGAGTTTGGAGCGGCTTCGACGATGGCGTATCACACTCTTCGCCAGCAGGGCCGTTGACATTACCATCAGAATGAAGATGACCACGGCCATTGCAATCAGTGTGGCGATTACCTCATCTGGCAGTGTGCAATATCCGTCGTCACCTTTAAAAAATCAATACACAACTCTATTATCCGGGTATTTTTTGCGACATTGTCAGCTTTCGTTAACTTGACTGTTGACTTTATTATCAATATGAGATTCATGTTAATTATAATTTGAAGATTCGAATTTTTGTTTCCACGCATATATATTGCCTTCGCACTCTCAGTGTGACCAGTGTCGGTGAATCTTACACATACACACTAACACACTAACACTTCAAACACGAAAACGTATATGGACATTGGACGGAAAAACGACGTTTTTTGGACGCTTTCAAACAATCGTTTTTCCGTTCAAATAACGTCGTTATTTGACATCGGAATCTACTTGGCAAAAACGATATCATCAAGCTCCTCCATTTCTTGATTGACATTGTGAATCTAGCAAAAGCGTCTACCGGTATTTATACTCCTCAGATTTCAACTTTGGTATATGAAAAAAATGATAATGTAAAATTATGCCAAACCGAGAGTCACTACGCGTGTGTTACTCGATGTCGACCCATGCGTTTCTAGGCATGTGGAATGACCGTTTCAGTAAGGTGACAATACGACGTTAGATTCCTGCCACGTTCTGGACATAAATGCATTGGGGATGATTCCTGCACACTATGAATTATTTTTAATGAACGTCAACATATAGTTATGTTGTCCCCGTGGAGCTGAAATTAATTGGGTGGTCAGGCACGGTGACTTGGTTGGCGTCATCGTACCTCAAAGGCTTGGACCGTTGCTCATAATATCAATCATTGGATTATTTAGTCTCAATTATTTAAGGGCGCCATCATATTGCAGGACTATTGCTGCGTTAAACCAACTATTTCGTTAAACCAACTTTACATCAAACCAACTACTTCGTTAAACCAACTATTACATTAAACTAATTATTACGTTAAACCAAATATTTCATTACACCAACTATTACGTTAAACCGACTATTACGTTAAACCAACTATTTCGTTAAACCAACTATAACGTTTAACCAACTATTACGTATCTGCATCTTTGTAGCCCATTTGTTGAGATTTGGACCAAGAACAGAGTTTTTAGTCATGTTTTCTTGGTCGACTACACTGAGTCAATTCTGACGACGGCATGGACCCTTGCCCTTGTTATCAACTATTGGTTTGCCTGGCCACATTAAAACATATTTAGAAACCGACGTATCTGACAAGACAGCATCCATTCACCCACGTTACAGTCCATTACTATACCTATAACCAGCATTGTGCAAGGGTTTGTTTTCACTGTTGTTTATATGTTACAGCAGCCTGTACATAATCAAGTCTAGGCCAAACAAACTAATGATTGATATTAAAAGCAAAACCATGAGCCGCCGTGGTACTATGACACACAATCAGCTAAGTCAACGACTCCGACCACTCGATCCATTTAGTTGCCTTTTACGACAAATATATGTTACTGCGGACCGACCCGGTATACTGCATTCATCATCTGTCTGTTTGTTTGTTTGTTGTTTAACGCCGCACTAAGCAATATTCCAGCTTTATGACGGCGGTTTGTAAATTATCAAACCTGGACCAGACAACCCAGTGATTGATATCATGAACATCGATCCATGCAAATTTGGGATATGATGATATGCATGAACCAAGTCAGCGAGACCACACGATCCCGTTAGACGCCTCTTACGACAAGCATGGGTTGCTGAAGACCAGTTCTACCCTCGATCTTCACGGGGGCCACCATCTGTATTACGATGTGCATAATGTTTTTGCATTGTACAGAATGATGTCGGAGACGCTGAGGAACTAGTACAGCGTGATACAAACGCACCTCTCTCGGTAATCAAGGTCGGGTTACGGATCTTGATGACGCCTTCTACTGTAGTTTCATCCGGCGCATTTCTCTTCTTCCGACCGAAGCCATTGGCTTTACCAGGAGCACAGTCAACCTGCGGATACAGAAGACGTGTTTCTGTCATAGGCTTCTGATAAATATCAAAACTGAAAGGCAGCACAAAGTAAATACCTGAGTGTGTTTCAGGTAACATGGACCCCATATTTATGCGTCGGGATATGTTTTTAATTTGATATTTTGTAAAATATTTTTTTGTGTGAAACATATTTGTTCCATCAATTACATGTACAGTTCTCTTCATTCCTTTTCACTGTACACATTACGAAAAAGCCTGACTATGAGAACGGTTGCTTTTGACATATAATTGTCACACTGAGGTGACATGGTAAATACGAAAGGTAAATAAAAATAAGTTCTAGTTCTGCTCCTAAATAGTAGTTTACATTACATTTTACGACCGCTTCCGTGGCCTAGTGGTAGAGCGTCCGCCCGGTTAGCGGAAGGTCCGGGGTTCGATCCTCGGCCGCGTCATACCAAAAGATGGTACTTGTTGTTTCCCTTTCTGGCGCATTAAGGGACTAAAACAAGGACTGGTCGGCTCGGAGTCAGTATACTGTGTCTGAGTGGGGTATTCATGTTAAACTGCGGCATGGTATCTCAGTGGGCTAACACTATCAATCGGCATCAGTCCGGACTAGTACAAGCAGCCACACACACACACATGCACGTCGCTATATAAGTGCAATAATATTGGACGCGACGTTAAACCCAATTTCACCTCACCTCACATTATATTTTGCAGCACCTTTTATTCATAGGGCGTACAGGAGGCACGGATTGCCCAGTCATCTAATTCGCGATTCGCTGTGCAGAGTTGCGTCCCCTGAACACGCCAGAAACCTATGATTGCACAGCAAACCGCAAACATAGTAGTCATGTGAAGTAAACATGACGCTGACGTCACTAATACGTGACGTCACTTTATTCATTCTTGCTCTGTTCACGCGGAAGGCAAGACGCCATTTTGTTGGGGAACCAAAGCATTATGGGTAATGTGGATGAACCATATGAAGGACACACTATGGACACTACTAAACTTGTCGCACTTGGAGAGAGCTGTTTTCACAAACGAAAACGACGGCAGCCACTGACGCACGACCGTCATACTGATTTACCAGGAACCCACCAACGCAGCCACAGGTAGCCACGTCGATATTCAGGGTGAATATCACAGTGTTCGAATTACGCTGTCCCAGATAAACTCACCCCCATAGTTTATTTCATAAACATTACTTATACAACACTATATTAGATAGATGAGCGATAAATCGCACAGAGCAATGAAGACCGAAGCGTGGTTTATTTCACGATAAAACATTGTTCTATCATGACGTCATTCTTGGATATTAGAATATGTGCTCGCAACGTTTGACGTCATACACTGGAAGACGTTATTTATTCTAGTTAGTTGTTCTCCATAGATGTAGCCATTCGTCACCACTCGCCCCTTTCCGTAGCCTGCAAGAAGACTCGTCCCCCTATCGATGAATGTTATGTGCGAAAATACGACAAACCAATCAGAATGCGCGTATGATTTCAAGTTCTTCGTCAAAGAATCCCTCAGAAATATTTTTTTATTTTACATATGTCTTACATCTAAAAATATACCCAAGACACAGTTAAATGTGTTCAATCATACTGTATAATTCCACATGTCTCGATGTGCTTTAAATTGCATCTGAAATATGTAAAATATATGGGGAAATAAATGTGAACCATTACGCAACGAGTTGACAATTGTTTTAGGTATGCCCGTCTGCGCTAAGACGGAACCCGGTCGCAAAAATGGCCATGAGAGGGGCACGAGTCGCTATTCGGCTTGTCCCGGAATAACACGAGTTGGGTCACGAATGAGATGTAGCTAGGCAGTGCAGATAAACGCAGTTGCCGAATGATCGCATCCAAAAGTGGGAGACACATGACAATCGGAATTAGGAGACAAGGCACACTAACTGACGTGAGGAATGTGAGAATATGCGGGAAATACCTAGAAACATAATCGGGGCGAATCGGGATTCGAACCCACAATCATAGGTTTCTGGTGTGTCCAAAGGACACAACTCTGCACAGCGAATTGCGGCGCCTTAGCCGACTGGGCCACCTGTGCCCCCGTTTCTACCCATTGCGTTTGATTCTACCTGAATGTTATGTAAATGAAATATCAGGGTACGCTGTATTATCGCGGTAGATGATTTGTAATGGATCGTAATGGCAAACGCTTACTAACATTAACCATGACATACGCAAAATGTTTCTTGTTCTGTGGTCAACTGTTATGAACGTGAACGTGAACAAAGTACTGTCATTAGCGACACAAGGGCAGGCTATTCTATATGATCGCGAAATGGCTATTTTGTGGTGTGATACGTGTGGATTATGTGGTTTACATCACTTCCTGTTTTCTATTGTGTATAATCAGTATGCATACGACATAGTTTGGGTCAAGGGACTTCGTATTTATAAATATTTAGGAGTGTATTTTACTAACCGTCTTTCATGGACATATCATGTAAGCCAAGCATCCTTACAAGCTCAAAAGGTATTCATTAGTATACAACGAAATGCATGTGGTCTAAACTTTGATTATAATACACTTTTCAAAATTTTTGATGTAAAAATAAGTCCAATTTTATTTTATTGTATGGTGCAGAGATTTGGGGACTCTCAAAAGTAGATGCTATAGAAAAGATTCACTTGTATGCATGTAAGAAATATTTAGGTGTAAAAGTTAATACACCCGGGGTTATGGTTTATGGTGATTGTGGTCGCTTTCCACTGTATATTTTTGCATATATTAAAGTTATCAAATATTGGTTAAGAATTTTAAATATGCCTTTGTATAGATTTCCAAAAAAGTGTTATAATATGTTATTGTTGTTTGATTCAAATGGTAAAAGAAACTGGGCAACTGGTGTTAGAGAACTCTTATTTGAATCTGGTTTTGGTAATGTTTGGTATGATCAACGCGTCAGTAATACTGCTGAATTTGTCAGGTCACTGAAACAAAGACTAAAATATATTTATTTACAATCATGGAATGTTTCATTAGCATTATCAAATAAACACTTTTATTATAAACTTTTTAAATCTTACATTTATAGAGAATGCTATCTCGTTGATATTACCATACCAAAATATAGAAAAGCATTGGCACGGTTTCGTTGCATGTCGCATGATCTATATATTGAAACAGGCAGATATATAAATACCCCACGAGAACAAAGAAAATGTAACATGTGTAACATAAATGAAATAGAAGACGAGTATCACTTCCTTATCAGATGTGACCGCCTCCGTGGTTTTGTGGTAGAGCGTCCGCCCGGAGAGCGGAAGGTCCAGGGTTCGATCCCGGGCCGCGTCATACAAAAAGACGTTAAAAGATGGTACTTGTTGTTACCCTGTCTGGCGCTCGGCAATAAGGGGCTAAAACAAGGACTGGTCGGCTCGGAGTCAGTATACTGTGTCTGAGTGGGGTATTCATGTTAAACTGCGGCATGGTATCTCAGTGAGCTAGCACTATAAATCGGCATCAGTCCGGACTAGTACAAGCAGCCACACACACACATACACGTGCATGCACGTCGCTATATAAGTGCAATAATCTTGGACGCGACGTTAAACCCAATTTCACCTCACCTCACCTTATCAGATGTCCATTATATTTAGAACTAAAAATAAAATACTTACCAAAATACTATTACAGTGAACCAAACATATGTCAATTTATAAGTTTATTAAAATGTGAGAGAACAGAGGTTATAAAGAATTTATCGATGTTTATTTACCATGCTTTTGCCCATAGAAATGAAATTGTTAACTGTTAATTAAATACTATCTATGCCAGAATAAAATGAGCATATTTTATGGTTGTCATGATGTATATATGTGGGAGATAATTTGATGTTCTATTGTAATGATTAATTATGTTGAATTGTATTATGTACTAGGGCGGTCGGGTAGCCTAGTGGTTAAAGCGCTCGTTACGCCGAAGACCCCGCCGTGATATTGCTGGAATATTGCTAAAAGCGGCGTAAAACAATACTCACTCACTCACTATTATGTACTAAAGGCCTGTGACCTCTTGAGTACGAAAGAAAGATTGATTGATACAAATGTGTTATTTTCTAATCAATTTCGGATGGAGATAGGGGTAATTCCACTTAAAAAAACATTCCAGAAACTGTCATAAAAAACTTAACGCGTACACCCACGAGTAGCCGTGACAATCCGCAACTAGTCCTGTATTGTATCAAGTGATAAAATATCGTGCTTAGATTTGCATAAGTAAACAGTCGACAGGGTGTGTGAATTACGAGATTTACCGATACCGCGATATTATAGAGTCATACTATAATATTAAAGGTGTTCTTACAGGTTCGCAGTCGGCTTTGTTGATGCTCACGCACACTTTGATGCTGAAGCGGAAGGAGACACTGCTGCTGCCGACAAACTTGAACGCCGTGAGCTTGAAGGCGATTAAAGTGCTGTCGTTCTTCGTGTCCAGATACGGCGCTTTCTTGATCACAGAGAAGGCATCGGCGTGGATACAGCTGGGAACAGTAATGGTGATATTTTATTCCGAAATGGTTCGTTTTCGGTGGATACATGATTATAGACCCGTGAAGATCCGGGGTAGAATAGGTCAACCCATGCTTGCCGTAAAAGGCGACTATGCTTGTCGTAAGAGGCGACTAACGGGATCGGGTGGTCACGCTCGCTGACTTGGTTGAAGCATGTCATCGTATCCCAATGGCGTGGATCGATGCTCATGATGTCAATCACTGGATTGTCTGGTCCAGACTCGATTATTTACAGACCGCCGTCATATTGCTACAATATTGCTGAGTGCGACGTTAAACAACAAACAAACAAACAAACATTCCAAAATGGAACATGAAATATTCGGCGAGTTGTTTTTGATTCAGAATCTTCCAACCAGCGTTTCAAAACATGCACCTTTTGTAATGAAAGGCGGAAACAAATGTTTTTTTACCCGCAACCCGTTATGTTTTAGAACATAAAAATCTCCAGTTAATTATTTGTTGGTTTTTTAAATTTTGAGGACAGAAAATTTATACCCAGCATTTTCAGGAATAGATTACTTGTTTCCGTTCACAGCTGATAACTTATTAAAATACCAATATCATGACACACATGGTGGGAAACGAATTTCGTGCTTCCGAGAGAAGCGCCAGGAAAATCTCGTTTGAAGTTTGTTTTGAGAAATCGGAGCCTGATCGCGGGAGTCTTGGACAGAACAGGCCGTAGGTCCGACTACTGAGAATTGGAGGTTACATTGTATGACCCGGTGTGGCATCGTGTTACGACGTTGTGAGTGGTTGCTCATGTTATTAGCCACTCGTTTGCCGATTCCAGATTCGATAATTTACGTCACTGATATTAATGATCAATAATAATTATGAGTGCATTCACCAAGTGGATGCTCATGGCGCTACACCCTTATTACCCCGGCCAATGGATCAGTGAGCACTCGATTTTCATTCTCAACTCCCTGGGGAGTGTACAACCCAAACTGCCCGTAAGGCGCTAGAAGGTTCACAGCCACATTACCACCTCATCCTACCGGGTACCCCCTCACTGCTGGGTGAACAGAGGCACATGTCGAACAAAGTCACTTACCCAAGGAGACACTACATGTGGTATATGTGTTTCAGGGAAGATTCCGGGGTAGAATAGGTCAACCCATGCTTGCCGTAAAAGGTGACTATGCTTATCGTTAAAGGCGACTAACGGGATCGGGTGGTCAGTCTCGCTGACTTGGTTGATGCATGTCATCGATCCCCATTGCTGTGAATCGATGCTCATGATATTAATCACTGGATTGTCTGGTCCAGACTCGATTATTTACAGACCGCCGTCACATAGCTGGAATATTGCTGAGTGCGGCGTTCATCAACAAACAAACAAACAAACAAAAACAGTGTTGGGCAGGGCCGAAGCCCTAGGAACTCTCAGGAGTCAGGCTGCTGAAGCGACGTTGGTTAGCCTCACCTGATGTGCCACCACATATTGCCACTGACTGGTGTTCAAGAACACTCACAGACTTCAGCAGTACCTGTTCTCTATCAGCCTGAGGCTCCTGCTGCCGTTGGTCTGCATGTTGTTTGCCTCCCCTGACAGGATCCGCATGGACTTGTACTCTGTAGGCGATAAGAGCAGACACGTAGACACTACTTAAAAATACCCAGATATTGTCTGACTACGTTAAATGAGTTAAATGAGTGGTCCCTGACACGTACCACCTGCTATGTTAAATGAGTGGTCCCTGATACGTACCCCCTACTGTGTTAAATGTGTTTTATGAGTGGTCCCTGACACGTACCCCCTACTGTGTTAAATGAGTTAAATGAGTTGTCCCTGAGGCGTACCCCCTACTGTGTTTAATGAGTTAAATGAGTTGTCCCTGAGGCGTAACTCCTGCTGTGTTAAATGTGTTAAATGACTGGTCCCTGACACGCACCTCTTGCCGTGTTAAATGAGTTAAATGACTGGTCCCTGACGGGTACCCCCTGCTATGTTAAATGACTGGTCCCTGACACGTACCCCCTGCTATGTTAAATGAGTTAAATGAGTGGTCCCTGACACGTACCTCCTACTGTGTTAAATGAGTTAAATGAGTGGTCCCTGACACGCACCTATTGCCGTGTTAAATGAGTTAAATGACTGGTCCCTGACACGTACCCCCTGCTATGTTAAATGACTGGTCCCTGACACGTACCCCCTGCTATGTTAAATGAGTTAAATGAGTGGTCCCTGACACGTACCTCCTGCTATGTTAAATGACTGGTCCCTGACACGTACCCCCTGCTATGTTAAATGAGTTAAATGAGTGGTCCCTGACACGTACCTCCTACTGTGTTAAATGAGTTAAATGAGGGGGCCCTGAGGCGTACCTCCTGCTATGTTAAATGAGTTAAATGAGTGGTCCCTGACACGTACCTCCTGCTATGTTAAATGGGTTAAATGACTGGCCCCTAACATATAATTCCTGCTAAGTGCAGTGAGTGGTCCCTGACACGTACCTGCTGCTATGTTAATGACTAGTCCCTGACACGTACCTGCTGCTATGTTAATGAGTGGTCCCTGACACGTACCTCCTGCTATGTTAAATGAATGGTCCTTGACGTATACTTCCTGCCAAGTGCAGTGAGTGGTCCCTGACACGTACCTCCTGCTATGTAAACTGACTGGTCCCTGACACGTACCTGCTGCTATGTTAAATGACTGGCCCCTGACACGCTGCTATCTTAAATGACTGGTCCCTGGCGCATATATACATCCTGCTAAGTGCAGTGAGTGGTCCCTGAGACGTAACTTCTGCTATGTTAAATGACTAGTCCCTAACACGTATGTCCTGTTATGTTAAAAGACTGGTCCCTGACACGACACTATGTTAAATGACTGGTCCCTGACACTTACTTACCTCCTGCTATGTTAAAGTAGAGAAGCAGATCCGAACCCACTTCAATGGGCGTGTTGACTTCAACCAGCTCTCCATCAGCGAATATGTAAAGGACAACAGGTTTAATGGCGTCCTCTCGGACCACTGTCTTCAGGTTTCTGGAAAAAATCAGGAATTTGAAATAAATCAAGTAGAAAAGGAGAGAAGCCAAGTAGACAAGATAAAGAGAATCATAAATAAATAACCTTAACCACAATGGTGGTTTTTAAATTCATATCGTGAGTGAGTGAGTGAATGTGGTTTTACGCCGATTTTAGCAATATTTCAGTAATATCACGGCCGGGGTCCCAAAAATAGGCTTCACACATTGAACCCATGTGGGGAATCGAACCCGGGTCTTCGGCGTGTCGAGGGAACGCTTAACCCACTAGGCGACCCCACCGCCCCTTTTCCCTATCTACTCTTGTACCGACAGTTACTACTCGCGCACCGAAACACGAAGTTACTTACGCACCAAATTTCCCTCACATCGACTAAAAGATCGACTCGCGCGCCGACCCACGCGCATACCTACGCACCAATACCAACTTACTTACTGACCAATACCTACTCGCACCGACTCGCGTGGCGACACACGTGCTAACGTAACGCACCAGTTACCACTCACACCGAAGATCAATACTCGCGCCGACACATGTGCTGACATACGCACCAATACCAACTCACGCATCGACACACGCACTTACTTACAGACCAATACCTACTCACACTGACTCAAAGATCGACTTTGCACCAATATTTTCACACGCGCAGACACAGGTGGTTACTTACGAACCAATACCTACTCACTCATCGACGTCTGCGCAAATATACACGCCAATATATACACACACACACACACACACACATACACACGCAGACAAACACACACGTACACACATACATACACACACGCACACACATACACACGCACACACATACACGCACACATACCAACACACACACACACACACGCACGCACGCACACACACACACACACACACATACACGCACACACACACGCACGCACGCACGCACACGCACGCACACGCACGCACACACATACATGCACACACACACACACGCACACACATACACACATAAACGCACACACACACACACGCACGCACTCACGCACGCACACCGACTCCAATACTTACATGTTGCCTGTGTTCACCTTGGAGATGGAGTTTGAGATGGAGATGTTGGCAATAGGGAGGAAGCATGTGATGGAGAACCTCTCGTCCAGCGCGGTCAGGAAGTCTTTGTTGTATTGGACAACCAGCTTCCTCGTGTACTCCATCCGGGTGTCATTCTGCGGAGACGCAGTCAGTACGAGCGCATTTAGCAATATAAACACCTACAACACTAGACTAACATTATTACCCATATGGGCTCAAATATGCAGTGTAATATCTTTTTGATATTTGTACAGTGTGCAATTAGTGATTCTCGAAGGTGATTGGTCAGTTGAACAAAGATCAATTTTCATTGGACAACGGGACTATTTTTTTCTCATCCCATTCGATCACAAATCCATACCATTTATTCAAATGTTTCACATGCTACATTCTCACTGATTCGAGATTTACAAGACAAGAAACATAGTTTCATATCAACAACATGATTTCACATTTTCTTTTCATTTATTTCACATGATTTTCATTTTACAGTAAAAACCAAAACTACGTCTGCGTTGTTTGTAAACAGACATGGCTGACCATTTGACAGTCAAAGTAAATGACCTCGTTAAAGCGGACGGAGATCTGACTGACATGAAGAGTTATTCGTATAATTCAACCTCTGAACACATTTAATGTCTTTGTTGTCAAAACTGCATATGGCCAGAGTGAAGTTCCAAGATTCAGATTGTGATGTTGCCAGAAACTGTTTCTAGGGCGCCAAGATCATCACCACCAAGTGGTTTGGGTCTGTGTTAGAGGTCTTGCTGTTTGATGAATTTTTCGACCACCCGAATCCAAAAGCCGGACTTTGTATAGACAGGTTTGCCTTGGTGAACGATGATGACATCGATAACTGCCAATGAAAATGAAAACGCAATGAAAAAGACTAAACTTGACAAGTTGACATGAACTTAGTTCACAAATATATACAGGTAAGAAAAACACGAAAAATATGACTACTCACATATTCAACGATGGCATCAAAATAAAAACAAATTCATTTTGCAACAACATTTAGACTTTCCGAAAGATAACATAAAGAAATTTGCAAGGCTGTGTGAAGAAATAAGAACGTGACACATTTTTTTTACAATGTATTTACGTTTTTGTAACCGGGGCGTCAGCACAGTACGGCGCTAATGGGGCCGTCACACCATGACGTTCTGGTCAGCGTTCTATGACGTTTGAGGAAACGTTGGTAGTCGCCCATGGTCGCTGGGATAGCGCCAGAAGAGCGTTGTGTGAACGCTGGTGAACGTCGGTGATCGCCGGGAATCGGCGGAGAACGCTGGTCCGGAAAAAAGTTTTAATTTTAAACGCTGAAGAACGTTTAAGAACGTTCGTGGAACGTTTTACTAAAGTTCGCCGAGCGTTGCACGCGTTCGGCTATCGTTAGTCAGTCGTTACTCTAGCGTTACTTAGTTGTTACTAATCGTTTGCTTTGCATTGAACGACTCACTGGCGACCTGTCAACGACCGCTGAACGGTCCCCTAGCGCACCGTAAAAATAACACGCCAGCAAGACGCTATTCTGTCGTTATTCACACGTTAGTCCCACGCTCAACACGCTCGTCTAACGTTGACAAATCGTTCGTCGCGCGCCAGTGGCACGTTAGCACACGCTAATGGTTTTCAGGGGTATCTTACTTGGTCGCTGTTACACGCTTCTCGTGCGTTAGACACACGCTAGTCATGCGTTAGGCACACGTTAATACCATACGAGGACCGAGCACCATACGAGGGTAATGACACAGGAAAGGTGCAACTAAACATTATTCTTTGCAAATTTATCATTTTCGCGTGCACATTAGACGGTTCAGAATTCCAAATGTCTACTTTGAAGATCAATGCTAGCATAGAGTGTTACCTTAGCGACAAGTTTACCAACATCTGGTTGCGAAATCGATACACTTTGCGGAACTCGGAGAGGTTTTGAAATCAAAACAAAAATAATTAAAAAACAAGGAAAAGAAAACTTACCCAAGCGAGCAGATCCTGTGTCCGATATTGAACTAAATGAACTCCGTGAATGCGGACAACTTGGCACCACGTCTCCAGATAGCCTACCGTGTTAGTCTATCAACAGGTATTCGACCATTATGAATCACATCAAAATATCAACAAAGTCCCGCCATCTGTCTGTGTCCACTCCATAAGCACGTTTGACAAGTGCACCTAAAATCCCACACGCACATCTTCCCCATCAGTCACACTTGTCTCAAGTCACACACGATGTTCATTAAACTTGTTGTCCGGATTAAACTGTAACGCCGGTTCTCTTGTCATTCCTGGTTTCGGCTGTCTCATATCTGGGTCAAGTCGGGTCATTCATTCCGACAGGCGACACTGTGACAGCAATCGTACTTTTTAAAGTTTACCTTCTTTTCGTAACTTTTCTCTAACAAACAAGACTTCTGTACATTCCGTCTATGTTGTTGTTATAGGTTTTGGCATTTTTTCAAATGACATATAAAAAATGTTACAGGTTTTCCGTGTTTCCTCTTTTCAATGTGAAATGCATCTCTCTGCCGATACACGACGGGGGCTGTCTGTCAGTGACGAGATCTTGTCAAAACAAGCCTTGATTAAAAAATCTGATGAACCTTTTTGGAAACTTGTCTTCTTTATCAATGCTTGATAGTGTATGCTGTGTAAATCGGACAGAAATCGGACCGCGACAATGGGATCGTTATAGGTTTTTTTAAAAGAACTTCATTTTTCACGCGTAACAACACGTTAATTGAGCAATGCGATTGGAGTGAAAGGACAGTGGTTTTTCACACGCGGATTGATACAAAACAGCTGATTCTTGATCGTCGACATGTTTTTTTTACCATGAAACGTCTTTAATATGATTATGGGTAATAAATAGAATAACCCACTCGGTACGACTGATTACGTAAGATATGTCACTCGCTAAAGCTCGGAACGTATTTTCCGTAATCACTCGTACCTGGTGGGTTATTCTCTAATTTAGTTTCAGAAATAGATTTATTATATATATATATATATATATATATATATATATATATATATATATATATGAAATAATAATAAATTTATTATTATTAATATCATTATTATTATTATTATTATTTATTTTATTATATTTATATTATATAGTATATTATATTTATATATATCCAAATGGAACCCAGAAAAAACATCGAGACTTGCCAAATCATTCTAGACTTGAGTTGGATTCTCTTCTTAATATGTTATCCAGGGTCTTGGAGACAGAATACAGAAAACAGTATCAATCACATGCTTAGATTACCTCAATCTCATTAAAATCAGATACAAGTTCTCGCTATGGCCGAGGACATCCCATTACAGGTCAGAACAACCTTTCGCGAACTATGACCGACCAATGAAATGACTCCCAGGAAGTCAACGTTATCCACTAAGAACGCAGCTTTCTTCAGCGCTGCGGTACCAGTTTCAAACTGGCGACTTCCATTCCAGACTATGCTTTTTAAAGTAATTTGAATAAGTCATACAGTTCGTGACAGTTGTTTTGTGTTAAGCTTTAAAGGTTGCATGATTAGAAAACATATTCCGCTAACAATGTAACACACAATATGAATATTTCAATTTTTCATTTTTTTTATTATGTGTTTGTATCGTTATCTATCGTGTAGTTGTCCAATTTTCGACCACGAACGTGGATACTACTTAATTTCGTTTATCCGACATACTCGTCAATCCGATATAATCATATGCAACCAACCATGTCGGATTAACGGGACTTGACTGTGCTACATCCCATCAGTCCGTGAATGACAGGGCCATACAAAAGAGGTTCAAGATGAATATCCACAGTACCTTCAAACTCCAAACTCTAATTTAAATTCACAAGCCTAGCCGCAACCTGCCGATCACATGTATTTAACAGTACCAGACACCAAAACAACATTGGGTGAAATATCTTTCTCAGTCAGACTCTGTGGAACTCACTACCTCTCTTCATTAGATCTTCCACTAACACTGACATCTTCCTTTCCTCTTTGAAGACTTACCTCATCAGAGAAGCCTATTTGTTTGTTTGTTTGTTTGTTTGTTGTTTAACGCCGCATTCAGCAATATTCCATCTATATGACGGCGGCCTGTAAGCAATCGAATCTGGACCAGACAATCCAGTGATTGACATCATGAGCATCGATCCACGCAATTTGGATACGATGACATTCTTCAGCGAACCTGACCACCCGGTCCCGTCACTCGCCTCTAACAACACGCATAGTCACCTTTTACGGCAGCCATAGGAAACGTTGTGGAGACCTATACTACCACGGATCTTCACGGGTCTGATTGTATCGATCAAGAGGTTATATTGACATGTCTCCTTGTTGTTTATGTTATATGTCTCATATATCTAAAATGAGTGCGGTATCACTTCCTAATCATACTTTACAGCTGAGAAAGGAGCGGGCGACTGTGGCAGCTCTAGCACCTGCACTGTGGGCGAAATGGTTTGCGTAACCAGTCAATAAACACAGGCAAAGACAAATCAAATGTTCACCTGAAAAAAGACGGGATATATGGTACATGTCAAATTATAAACCCGACGGCGCACTCAATATTACAGCCACATGACGCGGTCTGTAAATAATCGAGTCTGGACCAGACAATCCAGAGATTGACATCATGAGCATCGATCCACGCAATTGGGATACTATGACATGCATCAACCAAGTCAGCGAGCCTGACCACCCGATCCCGTAAGTCTCCTCTTACGACAACCATGGACCAAGACCTAGTCTAACCACCCACGGATGCAGCCGTGTTTAACTTACGCGAACAGGAGTGATGGCCCCGCACACAACGCTTGAGTGTTCGACGTCTAGATAGCGTCCCGCCCAGTTGTTGGGGATGTAGATGGATGCGTTCACGCCCGAGATGAGTTTGTCCTGGCACACAGGGCTGTCCGCCTTGCCCTCGATATAGGTCATGCCGCTGTAGTTGTTGCTGTTGTAGGGGTTGAAGCCGATGACCATGTGATCCTCTGTACACAGGATCTGTACTGCAATACAAACATATCAGATTAATAAGGGCGATGGGGTAGTCTAGTGGTTAAAGCGTTCGCTCGTCACACCGAAGACCCGGGTTCGATTCCCCACTTGGGTACAATGTGGGAAGCCCATTTCGGATGTCCCCCGCCGTGATATTGCTTGAATATTGATTAAAGCGGAATAAAACGATACGCACTCACTCAGATTAATAGAATGTTAGCTGACGCCATTGCCGTTTAGCCAAGGGTGTGTTTGTTTGTAGTTTAAGACCGCACTCAACAATATTCCAGCTATATGTCGACGGCCTGCAATAATGTCTGGTCCAGACAATCCAATGATTGATGTTATGAGCAAAGATCCTCGCCATCGGATTATGAAGAGATGCTAACACTCAGTCTGGCCACACGATCCACTAAAACCCCTCCTACGATCTGGATAGGTTACTGGGGACCTAGTCAATCCATAATCGGGTGGTCAGGCTCGCTGACTTGGTTGATGCATGTCATCAATTCCAATTGCTTGGATCGATGCTCGTGATACCGATCACTGGATTGTCTGGTCCAGACTCGATTATTTACAGACTGCCGTCATATAGCTGGAATATTTGAGTTTGTCTGTGCAACTTTTGGGAGATACCCTGGAATGAGCACATGGCTGAATAAACTAAGTCAGATGAGCTCTCCTGTTGAGTCTTAACTCTTTCAACAGCAGTCAACCAGAATTGTTTACTGCTCGGACACCGAGTTCCCAGAGACTCTTGTGCGATAGATGAAGCCAACATTTATCAAAGAAAATATCTGCTTGTAAAATATATTTGCTACTACATGTTATACACCATTTGAAAGGTCTGATCCTGTGGTTTATAAATATGAAAGTTATTTTTTTCACATTATTCAAAATAATGCATTTACAACTTATTTAAGTTTGTTGTAAATAAAAAATGTAAGCTAACACGTTGTTAACGTCCAGATTAGGGACCAAGGAAGCGAAAACTTGACTATTTTCGGCAAATATAAGATTTCATAAAATCCACTTACCTATTTCTGTTTTATTTTCATTGTTTACGTGATTGGAAAATCATTTTTAAAAGAGTTATAAACAGTATCTATATCATCACCCATTTCCCGATAACAGCGGCTGTCCGCTCAGTAACATGAAGAAATACCCCCGTTTTCGAGGCTTCGTATGAAAAACACGTTCGTCGAAGAATGGCATATGACACATCGCTGGAAAGCTTATTCCTTCATCTACACGCTCGTAACATCGCCGGGTTTTCTTTCGTAGTAATAACAAGCGATTTCATTGGATTGAAATTGGTTTCTCATGACGCTTTCTTGCCGAAATCTGCTACAAGTTTCGTGATTGGTCAATTTTGAGCACGTGACCTAAGGCAGCCAATCAAATTACAGCTGTGATAACCAAGCTCGTGTTTGATAAATTTCAGAAGTTGGCGAAAGATTTTTGTTAAATCGTGTTATTCTGAAAGTTTTAAGCAGGAAATCACGATATATATTAAAAATATGGAACTTCGTGAATGTATCGTGCTAGGTTACGAGCTGTGACAAAGATTTTTCATGCATATATTTTTGCATTAAACATCGCGTCCGAGCCGAGAATTCAAGGCGACGAAAGCCGAGATGTCATTTGACTTACATTACACGCGATCGCACGAAAAGATGGCAATAATAACTTAGATGTAAGTTTGATTACTTTTAGATATAGTTTTGTTGATTTTATTTATTACTTTGTATAATATATTTAAAGATTTGTTTAAAACGTCTTTATTTTGCTCTTTGACATGTTCGATGCATGTGGACCCGTTGTCGAAATGTGTGTCCGAGAATTTTATTTTCAATAACATCGCGGGAAATAGTGAATAATTTTTTAATTTATCGATAGAAAATGATAAATTGAAATGGAATACGTATTTCAGACATTGTGAAATGTGATAGATTTAATAAATGAATGATATTACAGGTAGGTCCATAAAAATATATACTATTTTGACGTGACTACGGCTTGGCCGGATAACCGGCCTACGGTGTTGAAAGAGTTAATTACCAATACATGACAAGCACACGTTTGATAGATTCTGGTGTGTAATATCAATGTAATCTCTGTCATGGAACACATGCTGTATGAAAGACTTCATGAACCTGGAGAAAAGCCATGGTGTATTAGTTTTGGTCGTGTTTGGAATACATGTACTCTTTACGGTCTTTGACATTGTTTCTTTTGTTATTGGTCGCTAATATCGTACACAACACGCTCAAATATAACACTGACTGATGGACCCGCGCAAGAAAAAAACCTAGAAGAAATACAATGGCACTACACTATTACCAGGTCAACGGACATTGTAAATTCAGTTTGCATAATGATCTACCTATGGCGTGAAGAAAGATGCCCGTTAGACGCTAGAAGGTTTTCGCATTCCCATTACCATCCCATCTTACCGGGGACCCACTCGCTGCAAGGTGAACATATTTCGAGTCACAACGTAACATGACGGGATACGACATGACATGATGTGATATATGACGTAACGTGACGTGATATGACATAACGTGACGTGACGTTACGTGACGTAACATTTACTTACTTCGTTCTTCCTGGCATTTCAAGCCATAGTAGTCACTGTAACAGTAGCATTTCATTCCAGAACCGTCGTCGTAGCAGTCACTATTGCCCACAGTGCAGGGGCTAGAGCTGCCACAGCCGCCGGCTCCTTTCTCAGCTGTAAAGTGTGATTAAGAAGTGATAACGCACTCATTTCAGATATATGAGACATATAATATCAACAAGGAGACATACAATATAACCTCTTGATACAATCTGACCCGTGAAGATCCGGGATAGAATAGGTCTTCAGCAATCCATGGATGCCTTAAAAAGGCGAGTGACGAGATCAGGTGGTCAGGTTCGCTGACTTGGTTGATGCATGTCATGGATCCCAATTTCGTAGATCGATGCTCATGATGTTAATCACTGGCTTGTCTGGTCCAGACTCGGTTATTTTTCAGACCGCCGTCTTTTAGCTGGAATATTGCTGAGTGTGGCGTTGAACAACAAACAAACAAACGAAACTTCATACAATTATACCATTTACATCACTATTTTGGCTTTTATGTTGTTGTGTTTATCTGTTATCGGTGGATAATCGATACTTCTCTTTCATGGTCGACATGTGGAAGACATTTCCAAATTGGATGTATCAGTGACAAAAATGGTGTCCAATGAAATTCCCAAATTTGGCTTGTGCCATATGTCCCCTTGGGGTTCAGGTGAACAATTGACTTGTTTTTGCATGTGTTTGTGACGGATGCCAGTGTTGGGGCAGGCCACGCTCACCTTTTCGCGTACACCTGGCAACATCACTATCTGATAGAGATTCATAAACCCATGCGTACGATGTAGTCGGAATTGGACTATGGACTCTCTCAGTAGAGATTTTGTATGATTATGGAAATGTTTTTGTGGCACTAATTTCAAATTGATTCAAACTGGAAATTCAATGACAAAATAGGAGTTTGTGAAGAACCTTCCACATTATGCCAACTTGAGATTCATGGGATTTCAAACCTACTCCTCACGTTAAAAACGCCAGTTGGTGATAAATCCACTACGACCTCAATATTCAGCAACCAAAAAATTATAACGTACCTTTGTCTAACCCACAGTCAAACCCCTCGTGGGTGGGCTGACACGAGCAGGAACCAGTCACCAAGCATGTTCCGTTATTCAGGCATTCCTGGTTTGGACGGAGACAGTTGAAAGACGCATCGGCTGCAATAATATTTCAAAATTATATGTTTTCATGTTTGACGTTAAAGTTACATAAATCGAACCCACTCTTAAGCTGAAGTTAGAAGCAACCACACATGTACATATGTTAACGACCCCTTTAATTCGCGATCGTTTAAAACGATGGAACTTAATCGTACCAGAAGAATTCCTACCGGTACGTGTATGGTTCAATATCTTTACACCTTCTTGTCTCGAACTACGATTATTAATACGGACTTCGATTTAACAAAGTCTCGCGGTATATTGATCTGATGATAAATTGATGATTTTGTTACAGACTCATGATAATTAATTAACATTTATGACATATGCCCTCCCTTATCACTGTATGTACACGTGTGATTCACATTGAAGCAACCCATGCTTGCCGTAAAAGGTGACTATGCTTGCCGTAAAAGGTGACAATGCTTGTCGTAAAAGGCGACTAACGGGATGATAAACCAGCCCATAGCTGAAGAGGAGATCGCCTTTGCTATTTCATCTTTAAAAAATAATAAAGCACCTGGCCCTGACGGCATTCCCCCTGAGGTCTACTGATGCGGTGCGAGTATTTTGTTACCTTACCTTAAGATTTTGTTAAATTTCATATTTACGAAAGGGACATTTCCTCCACAGTGGTCAAAGAGTATTATATTTCCTTTACATAAGAAAGGAAGTACAAGTGATGTTAATAATTATGGAGGCATTTCTTTGATGGACATATGTGGGAAAATATTTACTTTTATTCTTAACAAAAGACTCAACGATCTTGTATGTTTTTATGACAAATTCCCAGAGTGTCAGGCGGGTTTTCGCAAAGGAATTTCTACAGTTGATAATGTTTTTACTCTACAGTGCCTCATCCAAAAATACTTGTCTAAATCAAAAGGTAGATTTTATTGTATATACCGTATTCGACGTAATAAGCGCCCCGCTCTAATAAGCGCCCACGGCGATATTTGCTAATATATTGGCTAGTGAACAATCCCAATTGGCACCCCTTCCGATTGATCAATGTACACAAGACTTATTTTTTCGCGAATAATACGCACTCGTGTGTTATATGCACCCTTAATTATGGGCAATTAAATTCTGGAAAAATATATCTGTCGTACATAAACATTTCAGGCTGTCAGCATAAACCACGAAATTTATCTCTCAACTCTGTTTTTTTCCAACAAAATAATATTCTAATAAGAGCCCCCTATTTCTAATTTTGAGAGCGCCCTGGGCGCTTATTACGTCGAATACGGTATGTTGATTTTCAAAAGGCTTTTGATTCGGTGAATAGAGATTTGCTATGGTATGTTTTATCAACAAATTGTATCAGTGAAAAGATGTTGAATATGATACGTGATATTTATGCAAAAACAATTTTGTGTGTGAAACTTGATAACGTTTCTTTATCAGATTATTTCGAATGTCTTAGTGGAGTAAGACAAGGTTGCGTTTTGAGTCCTCTTTTATTTTCTATGTTTATCAATCAATTGGAAGACTCATTACAGGCGTATGGTGGTAGAGGTATATTTGTCGGAGAAGATTTTAATGATCTGTTTTTATTGCTGTATGCTGATGATCTATGTATATTTGATGACTCAGTTATTGGTTTGCAAAGAAAAAATAATATTTTATCTTCTTTTTGTAAAAAATGGGGTTTGAAAGTTATCTTTGATAAAACTGAAATATTAGTTTTCCGAAATGGTGGAAAACTTAAAAATGCTGAAAAATGGTTTTATGATGATGCACATATAAAGATAGGAACATATTATAGTTATTTAGGTGGTGTATTTTCAAACCGATTATCATGGTCAAAATGTGTGCAAACTTTAGTCCAGAAAGCTAATAAAGCTCTTATTCCCATTAAGCAATTACGCATTAAACTTAACTCCCTTCCTTTACCAATATTGTTTCAAATGTTTGATACACAAATAAAACCAATATTATTTTACTGTTCAGAAATCTGGGGAACCCATAATTGGAATGTTTTAGAAGCCATACAAACTAAATTTTGTAAATATTTACTTTGTGTCGGGAAATCTTGTACAAATTTTGCTATTTTGGGTGAATGTGGACGCTATAAATTGTATTGTGAGACTTATGTACATTGTTTGAAATATTGGTGTAAACTAACCACTGTGTCAAATGAAAGATATCCTAGTCAATGTTATAACATGATATTTAGATTAGATCAAGTAGGAAGAGTTACATGGGCTACTAACATTAAGAATATTTTGTATTTATATGGTTTTGGTTTTGTATGGGAAAATCAATCTTTTGGTCACACTGATTTATCTATATGTGAGTTTTCACAAAGAGTTAAAGATTGTTATATACAAACATGGCATTCACAAGTTAATGATTATAAACATTTAGAATTTTATTTGTCACTCAAAAAAGCATTTGTTATTGAACCGTATATTTTAAAAATCACTTGTAAAGAACTAAGAAGAATGTTATCACTTTTACGAATTTGAGAATTAAATATCATGGTGAATATTGGAAGAAAAGGTAATACTGATTTTAATTTTAGATTTTGTCATCATTTAAACTGAATTACATTTTATGCTATTATGTCGATTATATGATGATATCAGACAGAAACACATTCCAAATATATATTGTAAATCTCAGTTATTTAAGCATATAAGCTCAGGCAAACTAACTGATTTACTTCAATGCTGTAAATATATTAAAGAGGCTATTGTATTACGTTCATCCCACTTGTAATACTTGTTTAATGTTGCACCAATATGTATATTCTATATGTCAATATTTATTTGTACATGGGCCTGTGGCCTTTATACTGAATAAAGAAATTGAATTGATTTGAACTAACGGGATCGGGTAGTCAGGCTCGCTGACTTGGTTGATGCATGTCATCGTATCCCGATTGCGTGAATAATGATGTCATTAGCTGGATTATTGCTGACTGCGGCATTTAACAACAAACAAACAAACAAACAAACAAACAAACAAACAAACAAACACATTGATAAGTATGCTTAAGAAATACGTCCTTCCTACCACATTTAACAAACATAGGAATAAATCTTTGTAACTTGATGTCAAGTAAAGGAGGTATTAGCAATGTTATTGCAAACTTCGAAACTATGAACTCTCTAAATGGTATCTTCACTAAATGCAATTGTCCAAACTAAAAATACACGTGATTGAATGTCGAACCCGAGTCAGCTTAGATTTTCTACGCTCATGCAACACATCAAGAAATAAGAATAATGTTTTAAATATATATTATGTTTGTTACTTACCTGAGATTAGTTTTAATATCAGCAGTAGAAAGCTGAGACCTGTCATTCTGTCTCAAAACATCCCAAGTGTATGCCGCTTCGACATACAGTAAACTATTCAGGTATATAAATTAATAACAGATAGTTTCTATATCAGTCAACATAACATTCAATACGTTCAATGCCCTTTGAAGAAGTCATTGTTCACACGGCACATGAAAAAGTGCGGTCGTTTTCATCAAAGGCGAAAGTCGACTTGGATGCTTCAACGGTTTTATTATTCACAATCTTTTACTTTTTGTTTCCTTCTTGTGATTTTATACTCTACGTTACTCATCGTGCTGCATGTGGTCTGGTCTGTACAAATTGGTTGACAATCACACAGTGGGCTAGAGGAATCTGTATGTGTTGAACAGCATTATAAACATCTTGTCACAAAGGGAGATGGTCAATCCCGAAGCAGATGCCAGTGGATATATATATATATATATAGATTGTCAATCTGAAAAGTTTTGCGAGCAGGAAAGCACTGTGAAAACAGCGAGCGACACACACTCGCGATAGTTTTATGACGCAGTTATTTTGGCCGACCAACAAGTAAAAGACGTACGGCATATTTTGTATTTCAATTCCACACGTTGGTGAAATTGGGTTTAGCGTCGCGTCCAAGATTATTGCACATATATAGCGACGTGCATGCACGTGTGTGTGTGTGTGTGGCTCCTTGTACTAGTCCGGACTGATGCCGATTTATAGTGCTAGCTCACTGAGATACCATGCCGAAGTTTAACATTAACACCCCACTCAGACACAGTATACTGACTCCGAGCCGACCAGTCCTTGCTTTAGCCCCTTAATGCCGAGCGCCAGACAGGGTAACAACAAGTACCATCTTTTAATGTCTAGACTCGCTGACTTAGTTGATGCATGTCATCGATCCAAATGAAGGTCCGGGGTAGAATAGGTCTTCAGCAACCCATGCTTGCCGTAAAAGGCGACTATGCTTGTCGTAAGAGGCAACTAACGGGATCGGGTGGTCAGACTCGCTGACTAGGTTGATGCATGTCACCAATCCCAATTGTGTGGATCGATGCTCATGTTGTCAATCACTGGATTATCTGGGCCACACTCGATTATTTACAGAACGCCGTCATATAGCTGGAATATTGCTGAGTGCGGCGTTAACAACAAACATACAAACAAACAAACAAACAGAGCGTGTTATAAAAGCTTTCCCTATGCGTGAACCTTCTGTTATTGGTAACTTGCAAACTGCATTACTTGGTTTGCCTTGTCCGCAGTTAAATAATATTACATTAAAACTTACGTAACTCGACAGATACCAAAGACAATAGTTTGATTCCCACAAAAGACATTCGCTTGACTTTTTCATACTTTCATGAATAAAAAATATCGACAGTCGCACATTGTCTCAATTTGGATTTAAAATTTAATTTTGTTAAAATTTCTTTAAAAAATGTTAACAAGATATTTCCGTACGATTTCAACCAATTTTGATACCGAACGTGTCGCGCTTTCAAAACCTTTTGGTGTTTGTGACATAAACATGTCATCTATTTTATTATAAAGATTGACACTCCTTCACGGCTCGCACCTTGAACTTCAAATGGACAATGCTTCGCGCCACTGGTCACAGAGACAGCCTCACTTTCCTTAGTGTGCACTGATGCGTGAACGCCTCCGTGTCCAGGTCCGTGCCTATTAAAAAGAGGTCTGTAACTCACACAAACAGAGCGTGGAGAAGGCCGCGGGAAATTGCATAAACAAATTCAGAGCGTATTTAGCGGCTCTCCAGCAGTGCTCCCGCTACGCTGTGTTGGCTTTATGTCTTTACGCATGTGTGTCAACTACGGCGCCGTTGGCAATTTGAGACAGAAATACGTAACGTTTATATTTATCAGGCTGATTTACGATTTTTTTATGGCCAAGAAGTCTGAAGTTAGTTTATCTGGATTTGAAAGAAGTCGGTATCGTCCATATTGGAGATATTGCTGAACTTCAATAGGGACATGTCTCTGTCAACCAAGAGCATAAAGTACGCTAGTGACTATAGGTTGGAGCCTAGCAAATTTGAATTAAGTAAAAAGGCGACTATGCTTGTCGTAAGAGGCGACTAACGGGATCGGGTGGTCAGGCTCGCTGACTTGGCTTTCAACATTCAAAAGTCATTATTTCACGTAGGGACTCTGGGTAATAATAGAGGTCCCTAGAAACCTATGTGACTGAATACAACAGGTGGTCAGGCTCACTGACTTGGCTGATACATGTCATCGTATTCCAATGCGTGAATCGATGCTCATGATGTCAATTACTGGATTATCTGGTCCAGACTCGATTATTGACAGGCCGCCATCATATAGCTGTAATATTGCTGAGTGCGGCGTTAAAAAAACAGACAAACAAACAAATCTTTATTGCTACAATACACCACACAATGGTACATGGAATATATCAATATGTTTCCAATGTAGTCAGTAAATACACATCAGAAGTGTGAATAAATACATTGTATTAATTTACATAGCATCCCCAATACAGATATATTTTTTTACTTTAGAATAACAGCTGTAATTGAAAATAATTATGTTTTTACACAATAATAAATATTAAGACAGCACTGATATTCAAGTATGTCATGGAATTCGTCGCTAAATGCTAGCTAGTTGGCATAATGTACACATTCAATTGCAATATTTAACCAGTAATTATATATATAAATGTATATACTCTCCAAAGAAAGACACGCACAGGTAGAGTTTTAGTAAATCTATTGTACCTAATAACGTCGATATATTTAATTTGATATCATAGATACAAATGTGGAGCTCGATAGTCACATGTTGGATAAGTGTACAAATTCTGTCCTGCGGAATTCTGCGGAATTCTGCTTGTAACGCGTTAGCCAGTTGCTGGAGTGTCTGGGGCGTGTTCTGATGTTGACGTACACGTCGATGGAGTTCATCCCAGAGTTATTCGATTGGTTTGAGATCTGGAGATCCCGACGGCCAGGGCAAGACGTTGATGTTCGCATTATGAAGGTAGTCCATCGTGACACGAGCTGTGTGCGTTGGAGCGTTCTCCTGTTAAAACGGCTCCCTCTGGCGGTCAGTGATTGGAAGAAGGTGAGGTTGAAGAATTTGATTCATTTAGCGATTTGCTGTCAAATTTCCCTGAACGACAATCAAATCAGATCTCGTGTAGGATATATGCCCACACACACACCCCCCCCCACCCCCCCCCCCCCCCCACCACCCCCACCACACACACACGCACACACACACACACACACGCACGCACGCACGCAGGCACGCACGCACGCACGCACGCACGCACGCACACACACACACACACACACACACACACACACACACACACACACACACACACACACACCATGACACTACCGCCACCGAAATTGTACAATTCACGTACACAATGTGGGGCAAAATGCTGTATGTTCGCGAAAGGTGAGCATAACTATCCGTAATACCGGTGTCATCCATCACAAGCACATGCAAAGGCAAGTCAATTGTTCACCTGAAAAACACGAGAAACATACACTATCCACGCCATCGTGGCAAAAGCCATGTCTTCAACATGTCTCCTATGACACTTATGGAAGTATAATGAAAGATGAATGGATATGAAACCCCCTTGCATGGACACTCGTGTATAAACATTAAATCACTGACCCTTCCTTCAAGGGTACATCAGGGGGCGGTGGGGTAGCCTAGTGGTTAAAGCGTTCGCCCGTCACGCCGAAGACCCGGGTTCGATTCCCCACATGGGTACAATGTGTGAAGCCGATTTGTGGTGTTCCCCCGCCGTGATATTGCTGGAATATTGCTAAAAGCGGCGTAAAACTATACTCACTCACTCAAGTGTACATCAGGATGGTCGGATAAATGTCAACAAAACATTTTACTGTATAAGTAGATTCAGTATGTTAGAAGAAAATTGGAAAAGTATGAATGGGTTGAAATCCAATTTATTGCTTACTAAAATTACAATAAAATATACATTCATACCTTTACACGTAAAGTGATAGGACGTTAAACGCAATTACATAGAAGGTAATTAAGAACTGCATAGTAATTGTAAAAATAAATTACCATTCAACTTACTATTGTATTGTATAATGTATAACCATCCCGCTGCTGTAGATGTAAATTTAGCTTGAAGGCAGCTTTCTTGTTACGATAATTATTCATAGAAGAACTGTAATGGAAAACATAAACGGTCAAATTGTCACCCACCCAAGATGTTCTGGTTTCCGATGGCTATCCCAGCCCTGTTGAGGTATGCATCATATGAATAAAACGTACAATAAACTATGAAATAACGTATCTTTGAAGTTCTCCAGTGATGATAACGCGTTGTCAAATTGGAATACAAGGTTTATTTTCACTTTAAAGATTTAAATAATAACATGCAGGTTATTTAAGCAAACAGAAACCTTATATGATTTCTGTGAACTTTATCTTCACATGAATATTTAGATTAAATTTAAATAGAATAAACTTATATTTAAATGGACAATAAATTTTATATCAGCGAAATTGTAGGTTGGTCTGTGTGTTACCTTCTGTGTATTTTGTTCACATTTATACATTCAGATCTAAATTAGAGTGAGTAAATTTTGTTTAACGCCGCTTTTAACAGTATGCCAGTTATATAGCGTCGTGTCAGCTTAATATGGGAGGAAAGCCCGAAGTGATGCAGGTCTCAGACGTTTACCATCTCGGTGAAACCAACGAGCACGGGTATGGTGCTGACAAACCTAGAAACCTAATCCGGGCGAACCGGGATTAGATCCCACAATCAGGTTTCCTGCGTGCCCAAGAGACGCAACTCTGCACAGCGAATCGCGGCGCCTTAGACGACGAGACATTGTGCATTTTAAACATCGTAGACTTGCTGGTGACGTGCATGAGGTCATCTTAACAAACAATTAACATGTTAAGAACGTGAGAAAGATGTTTGATTTTTCAGCTATCGCGGCGGGTCAGCATAATACCCGTGGAAAAGGCTTGAAGTTCACAGTGATGCTTTTTAGCGGACGTTCCCACAATCCAGGTTTTGAATTATGAACATCGGATCCTGACATGACTAAGGTACGCAACTCTTGGTGACTTATACCCCATTCGCATACAATGTTTTTTCTTGTTTGTAATATTAGACAAAGCTTGACAATATGGATGTGTCTGTAATTTGCATCAAGAATAAGGTTAGATCAGATTTTTCAAATTTCGTCTTGGGTGAAAGTTTGTTTAAACTGTCATCGAATCTATAGATGACTTCCTGCTACTTCTTTCTTTGGTCGCAAATGATCAGGACAATATCGAGAAACTTGTTAGAAACAGTTAACTCCGGGCTTTCCTATCACATTAAGCTGATACGCCGTGATCTAACTGGAATACTGTTAAAAGCGGTGTTAAACCCAACTCACTCACACATTGTTGATACTCAGACACGGTGTATGGGATATTATGCTGCACATCCAATCTACGATCGTGCGTTGTGATTGTTGCTATGATTAAAGAGACAATATTTTGACTTGTACTATGTGATCCCGTGTTTTTTTCAGGTGAACAGTTGACTTGCTTTTGCATGTGTTTGAGACGTGTTTTCCCTGGTGGTGCAGGATCCGCTCACCTAGTATCTTCAGTATTTGATAATGATCCAAAAACATAGGCTTTTGGAACAGTCAGACTCGTGCAGTTGACTCTACTTTCGGCAACCTTGCCTTTGCATGTGTTTGTGACTGGTGCTACCGATGGGGCAGGATACGCTCACCTTTTCGCAAACACATTACCATTTGATAGTGATTCATAAACACATACTCATGATGCACTCGGAATCGGACAATGGACTCTGCTCTGGTGCTGATGTTTTTATGATTGCAGAACTGGTATTTTATATCATACATACAATTTGAGTATTTTATGTCAGAGACATCAATCAAAGTCTGGGGTTGCCATTTTCCCCGGGCCTAGGCCTTCCTTAATGTATTCATAAACTGACACGCATGTCACAGAGCTACATAATAATAAAAATCAAGCTTGATAGGACTGCCACTAAGCCCGGGTCTGGTCCAACTGTAATGCTGTTCCACGAGCCTTTATAATCTCACCGAATCATACGTAGTCCCAGTTTCACATATACATTTGTAAGCATGAGGATACTGAAAAATGATTGTACATACTCTCTCTCTCTCTCTCTCTCTCTCTCTCTCTGTATGTGTGTATGCAAGTTTTCGAAACTGAATATCAATTCCTCCTGGAGTACCCTGCTTACCTCAATTCAAGAATAAGACACCTTCCGCCATACTATTAGTGCACTGTTACTGTTAAAAATATTATAATTTGTTCACTGATAATTTCTTTTAATTAAATAACTGACAGTCTATTCATTTAGACGCCATTGCATCAAAGACAATGTTAATGAATGTATAAATACCCGTATTCAATTGTCTTGTTATCATGTTAATTAGATACTGCAATGTTTTTGTACGTGCCTTTATACAAAAATATACCATTAATAACGATATAGTTAAACAACAGCAATATAGTTCAACAATTTATTGCATACTTCATGCATACACATATATTCCATGACGATCATAGATACAAAAATTCCTCATTTTTCGCGAACACCTGGTGTCTTCACAGATTTTCAGCGAACACTTACTGAGGTTTTTACCATTATTTTGCATTCTTGCGCCCGGTGGAATCTGTTTCGGTAGATGATCGAGAATGGTTATTCTCTGGCGTTGACGTTTTATATTTGCTCTACAAGCAGACCGTTATTAATTATACGCAAAGCTTATTGCCTATATATGTACACGGGACAGTCTACATCGTCACAACGTAAAGCAAAGTCCAAAGGTTTATGGTATTAATAGTAAAAGTCCAAAGGATTATGGTATTAACAGTAGTGGTAGTTGCAGTAAAAAAGAGTATCGTTTGTAACAGTGTTGATAGTTGCAGTAAAAAAGAGTATAATTTGTAACAGTATTGATAGTCGCAGTACAAAGAGTATAGTTTGTAACAGCTAGATAGTCGCAGTACAAAGAGTATCGTTTGTAACAGTATTGATGGTGGCAGGAAAAAGAGTATCGTTTGTAACAGTATTGATAGTCGGAGTAAAACGAGTATCGTTTGTAACAGTATTGATAGTCTGAGTAAAAAGAATATAATCTGTAACAGTATTGATAGTCGCAGTACAAAGAGTATAGTTTGTAACAGCATTGATAGTCGCAGTAAAAAGGGTATCGTTTGTAACAGTATTGATAGTAGGATTAAAAATAATATCGTTTGTTACAGCATTGATAGCGGCAGTAAAAAGAGTATAATTTGTAACAGTATTGATAGTTGCAGTAAAAAGTGTATAATTTGAAACAGAATTTATTGTTGCAGTAAAAAAGAGTATAATTTGTAACAGTATTAAGGGTTGCAATAGTATAAATAAATAGTAATTGAATACAATATTTACAAGTTGATTTACTCGAAGTTATTATATAATACTGATAACGTGTCGAGCCCCAATACACATATATGTATTAAATGAAAGCAAAAAAGACATGTCGTAGCTTATGAAAAGTTCGTTAGTTTTGGTGATTAGTCCTTCATCGTCAACAGCGACATGTTGCCAGAAAGAACTATGGCAGTGGCGGCTTCTCCGTCGTCACTGACGAAGCAGTCAAGTTGGTCATGGATTCACTTCTGCAACGACGCCGACGCGACATCACAATGATGACGATGAGGACGACACAGACGAAGAGGAGGAAGAACAGTGCCACGGCCATTACAATAAGGGTTAGAGTTATCTCCCATGGTCTACACTCCGTCTCAATGGCGGGCGGGTCGCTGTCGTCGTCTGCAAAACAACGAATGGCATTACTCATATGGCAGCCAATCACTATACGGATAAACCATGCTAATCGGGATAGTTCAGTAACCTATAAAGGAAGTCATCGAGTGATACCAAAAGACTAGAAAGCCTGAAGTAACACGTGACCAAAAGACCAAAATGGAATTCTCTTTCTGAACAGTCTAAATGTTATAAATTGTAAATTATAAACGTCTAGAAAAGCCATTGACGGTAATGTAAACCACGTTTTGGTATTTAGAGTGAGTGAGTATGGTTTCACGCCGCTTTTAGCATTATTCCAGCAATATCAAGGCGCGTTTGATATTTAGAAGCTCGACCGCCTCCGTGGTCTAGTGGTAGAGCGTCCGCCCGGAGTGCGGAAGGTCCGGGGTTCGATGCCCGGCCGCGTCATACCAAAAGACGTTAAAAGATGGTACTTGTTGTTACCCTGTCTGGCGCTCGGCATTAAGGGGCTAAAACAAGGACAGGTCGGCTCGGAGTCAGTATACTGTGTCTGAGTGGGGTGTTCATGTTAAACTGCGGCATGGTATCTCAGTGTGCTAGAACTATAAATCGGCATCACTCCGGACTAGTACAAGCAGCCACACACACACACGTGCCTGCACGTCGCTACATAAGTGCAATAATCTTGGACGCGATGTTAAACCCAATTTCACCTCACCTATTTAGAAGCTCAAGTGATGAGCGTTGGGTGGCATTCTAAGAATTCGTCCGGATGACACGGTTTCTGGATTTGCAGAGTGACGCCTGTTTCTTTTGTGTTCACCCGTATTGTGTTGATATGACAAGGCTAATGATCGAGGTGAATATAAGATTCAAACCCGGATTTGGGCATCCAAGGGACAAAACTCTTGAAACGTGATGAGGAGTTTTACGTCACATTATAACGCTTTTGTAATGAGGAACGGAGTTTTAACCAACTATTTAGGGCTTCTTTTCGGAGATTTTGTCTCATGAGAAGTACAAATGCCAAGATAAAATGCTATCTCATGCCAACTGCAAATGTCCCTTATGAAGTTCTGGCTTAAAATAGGTCTTCAGCAACCCAAGCGACTAACGGCGACAAACGGGATTGCGTTGTCAGACTCGCTGACTTGGTTGAAACATGTTATCGTATCTCGTAATCGTATTGCGTAGATCGATGTTCATGATGTCAATCACTGGATTGTCTAGTCAAGACTCGATTATTTACAGACCGCCGTCATGTAGCTGGAATATTACCGATTGCGGTGTTAAACAACAAACAAACAAACACACATTAAGGTTATCTTTCTTCCATCGATTACATTTGCTTGATTGTTTAAAGCTATGTACAGCAGGATCGGTCGGGTAGCCTAGTGGTTAAAGCGTTCGCTCGTCACGCCGAAGATCCGGGTTCGATTCCCGACATGGGTTCAATGTGTGAAGCCCATTTCTGGTGTCCCCCGCTGTGATATTGCTGGAATATTGCTTAAAGCGGCGTAAAACCATACTCACTCACTATGTGCAGTAGGGTCTCTATATAGAAACTATTTTATATACAAGAACAATAACATTGTCCCGTCGAACAAAATGGCGGACTCTGTATCACTTCAGACTCCCTGAATGGCCAGACACGTTATTGACAGGTGGCCACAGGCTAATTCGTTGAATGGCACATATTCCCAGATAATGTCCAAGTGGAAATAAGAGATTGGTTGTTTTACGCCACACTGGGCAATATCCCAGCTATATCACGAAGGGCTACTGAATCTACACCAGACACCCTCGTTGCTGAACGGCCCTAAAAACTGGACGTCATGACAAGCAACCAAAACACAAAGCCTGACTAACGCGTCAAATTCAAGGACCGACAAGATACTTTTCTTTTTCAGGTTTCTTTCACAATACATTATTTCAGGTAAACCAGAAGTACAATTTAGTTTTGTAAAACCCGAGGGAAATGAGTTTTTTTCAGGCATTTAGTGGAACAAAGTATTTTCTAAATTATACGATGCCAGAATATCAAATAAACTGTCCCCTCGTCAATAGCTGTACAGTAAACTACGGTTATAACGAACACGCTTATAACGAACTCACGGATATAATGAACTTACTTTTTTAGTACCGACCATTTGCTGTAGTTATGCTGTATATAAGCTTATAACGAACTACGGTTATAACGAACTAAAATTAGTAGTCCCTTTGAGTTCGTTATAACCGTAGTTTACTGTATATACACGAGCACTGTGTCTGAGAAATGGTACATTGGTAATGTTGACCCACCTTCAGTGGAGGCCGTGTCGCGAATCTTGATGACCTGCTCTAGGGTTGTGGTGGCTGCAGCATCTCGTCTCCTTCGCCCGTAACCCACCTCATCTCCTGTACAGGTAGCCTATAACAATGCAACGGACGATCATGTCATGCTTATATCAAATGCCATTGCATAGGGACGACTTATAGCATTAGCACGGACGATCGTGGTATGGTTACAGAGAAGGTCATTGTATTGGGTCGACTAACAGCGTTGCACCAACGGGCTGACATGGCATGCTTATATAGAAGGTCATTGAATAGGGACTACTTTAACATTGCACCAACTCACGATCGTGTCATTCTTATACAGAAGGTCATTGCATAGGGACAACTTATAGCATTGCACCAACGGACGATCGTGGCATTCTTATATTGATGCTCTCTGCACAAGTACAACCTGTAACATTCACCATCGGACGATCGTGGCATGGTTATATTATAGGCCACTGCAAAGGGACGACTTATGACATTGCACCAACGGGCGATCGTGGCATTCTACAGAGAAAGCTCTTGCATAGGGACGACTTAAAACATTGCACCAACGGGCGATCGTGGCATTCTATAGAGAAGGTTACTGCATAGGGACGACTTAAAACATTGCACCAACGCAGGGAGCTGGGATTTTGTATGCAGACTAAAATTCCTTTGTTCAGCTACATCTGCAAAAACAGATAATTTTTTTTATTGTTTTAATAAGATAATGAGCCTAAATATATTTTTACTGAAAAACACCTTTTTTTGTGGCAGATAATGTAATTTTATTTCAACAGTTTGAAGCAAAATTATTTTTTCAAGCTTTTTCTTGAACAATATATGTTTGCGATAAAGTTCCAGGCCCTCCCCTGAAAATCGAATAGTCGGTCCTTTATAGAGCAGGTCATTATATAGGGACGACTTATAACATCGTAACAACAAATGTTAAGAGCATGCTTATAGTTTAGGTGAAGGAAACGGTTGGCTTATAACATTTCAATATCAGCTTATGAGTATATATGAAGTTTAAATAAAAACGCTAACCAAGAAGGTAAGATATAGATGCAATCTCTCAAAGGGTTGCTTAAGAGGTCAAAATGACGAATATCTGAGATAAATAGTTTTAATCATGATTATATCTTTTATATGCATCATCAACATCAACTTCCCGAGGCAAGAAAGTTAACTGACTAAAAAAGTCCAGTTTCCATCCTTGCCGAACTAGGCTGGTATTATGGAGTTACATTTTGGCTGGACTAACGATTCTATGCATAGTCCAATCAAAATCGCGCAAAGAAATCGAAATCCGGTCAGTAAACTGTCGTGTAGTTTTCGGTCGATTGCAGGATTTGCAAAGGACGTACATCGCCAACTCGTTGTCAACAAATAATTTTCAAATCTTTTCATGTTTTTAATCCTTTGCTCACGCATTTTGATGCATTTCGTGATGTAAGACCCGTTTTATAACACTGTAGAACTTGATTATCGATCAGATCGTCTTGACTTGGCGCCGCCATTTTGTTTGATACAAATGCAAGCGATACGAGAGGTGGAATCTGATTGGTCCATAGGAGAGGCTCAGAAGGGACATGACTCGTAATAGCCACTGGTGGCGCTACGATCGAGGCCAGGAATTACAGCCTAGTTTGGCAAGGGTGGAAACTGGACTTTTAAAGTCAGTTTACTCACTTGCTTCGGGAAGATTCTTCGACATTAAAAAAATACGCCACCTAAACAAATTAGGTCCCGGACAGTTGGTCCGCTTGCACAAAGCGATCGTAGCTTCGTATACTTCAACATAGGCTGCATTTTTTTAACATGCTTTTAAATTAATCACCGAATTGAAATTGATTTGTGCAAGTGGGCCCTGGTCGCCTTAAGCATGTTCAGAGCCAAGGGACCCATGAAGATCCGGGGTAGAATAGGTCTTCAGCAACCCATGCTTGCCGTAAAATGCGACTACGTTTGTCATAAGAGGCGACTAACGCGATCGGGTGGTCAGACAAGCTTTCACCATTCAAAAGTCATGAGTTCACGTAGGGATTCTGGGTAATAATAGAGGTCCCTAGAAACCTATGTGACTAAATGCAACAGGGGGTCAGGCTCACTGACTTCGCTAATACATGTCATCGTATTCCAATGCGTGGATCGATGTTCATGATATCAATCACTGGATTGTTTGGTCCAGACTCGATTATTTACAGACCGCCGTCATATAGCTGTAATATTGCTGAGTGCGGCGTTAAACAACAAACAAGCAAACAAACAAACAAACAAATCAGAGCCAAGGCTACTTACAGGGGCACACCTAGCAGCATCTGCCAACACACAGACTTTGATGTCGAAGCTGAAGAGTACCTCATCACTACCTTCAAACCGGAAGGCGTAGAGAACGAGTTCTGAGTGGTCTGTGATGTTAACTGAGTTAGGCTTGAGAGCCGCCTTGGTCACTGGCATTGCTTCAGGGGTCATGCATCTGAAGCGCAGAAACTATGTTGCATAATAGGATTAATAAATACAAGCAACCCTTTCTATAACCACAAGAAATACCTGCCGAAAGTATAATCAACTGTACGATTCTGACTGTTTCAAGAGCCTGTGTTTTTTGATCATTATCAAATACTGAAGATACCAGGGGGAGACCCGTCTCAAACACGTGCAAAGGCAAGTCAAGAGTCCATCCTCAATACGGGCACATATGGTACACGTCAGACGAGGAAATTTTTATTACATAATTTTTGTCACTGCTGCGTCAAACTGGAAATGTCCTTTATGTCTACCATAAACTTTTTGTGAAAGCTCTGCTGAGGCCTTATGGTAACATTGGTCAAACAACGTTGAAGCAAGAGTCGTATGTCGCTCTTTGAAATCGTCGCAGGAAGAGCATGCTCGGTTGTAAAATTGAAGACACTGAAGGCTGGAGCTGCTGGAATATTGCTCGACATATAGGGAAAGTTACCTCAACATGAAATGATACCACTACCTCAACTTGCATGCGCGATTGATATCCATCCCCAACCGTTAACGTGAGTTTAAATAAAGTTTAATATTCATTATTGTGAGACAATATGTTCAAGATATGTATTATAAACAGCAATTAATGGGCTGGTTGAATAAGGTGCAAATAACTTATTTTTAGTTAAAACATTTTCCATACTCTTCTTGACATACTAAGCCTAGATGACAATAAATTCGTTGACTCAGTGAGTTTGAACAGTCGCCATTTACGTACAGCGTTAATTTAAGGCGCGTCAGCTCCATTTGGGAGGAAACTCATGAGAACGGGGGTCGTGCTGAGAAACCTAGAATCATTGTAATGTTGGGAGATTTAATGGTTGATGTATATTTTAGTATTACGATATGGCAATGCGTAATTTGTTATTAGCGGTATGCGAGGACGAGTTATGTCCCTTTGAACGGAAGTGAGCGAGAGCACATGTTTTGATTTGAAGAATGCGATGTGGTGTCATGTGCTGGATTTGCGAAAACGATTGCGTTACACATTGAACTTGTCAAATGAAAGTGTATGTTTGCGACGATGTGTTATGCTTGCCTGAATCCTAGCAAAATTGAGAGTTTTTTACGTGGCCAACGATGACGGGTCTCAGTAATAAATCCATAAAAAATCATGAAGTGTTGCGTCTCATGGTTACATCACGAAGAGCATGGAACATCATCCAGATGCGTGGAATAAGGTCAAACCACCAAATCAAGAACCGTTGCAATCAGAATCAGGACGAATCTGGTATTAAAATCCACGCACCTTATGAGGTTTTGGCCACTTGGCCACCCATCCCACTCGGCAGAGGTGAGGTGAGGTGAAATGGGGTTTAACGTCGCGTCCAAGATTATTGCACTTATATAGCGACGTGCATGTACGTGTATGTGTTTGTGTGGCTGCTTGTACTAGTCCGGACTGATGCCGATTTATAGTGCTAGCTCACTGAGATACCATGCCGCAGTTTAACATGAATACCCCACTCAGACACAGTATACTGACTCCGAGCCGACCAGTCCTTGTTTTAGCCCCTTAATGCCGAGCGCCAGACAGGGTAACAACAAGTACCATCTTTTAATGTCTTTTGGTATGACGCGGTCGGGGATCGAACCCCGGACCTTCCGCTCTCCGGGCGGACGCTCTACCACTAGACCACGGAGGCGGTACCCACTCGGCAGAGACCATATAATAGATCTATTATATGGTCTCTGCACTCGGCCATATTTTCAAATGCGAACGTGGTAACAGTTGGGCCGAGTCATTTTACAATATTTGTATGCTTCATGTTATCAATCTAACATCAGAACATGCTATATTAGTTGATGTTTTGCTTCATACCCGTTGCGGATGAAGACGAGTGTTTTGTTGGTCCCCGTCCTGTTGTCAGTAGCCTCGCCGTACTCGATCCTCATGTGCGTATATACTAGAACACAGAACAGGTTGGGGAGTGAATTGTATACCGCAGTCAGCATGTTTCAGTCATATGTTGGATACCAGTAAATGAATTGAGTGCAGGCAAGGCAACCCAACTATTTAAGAAAAGCAACAAATACCCTTTCCATAATCAGAAGACCATTGTACAATTTCGACTACATCATAACCATGTGTTAAAAAATCACTATCAAATAGTGACGATACAAGGTGTTCGCGAAATGCAGAGCCTTACGTTAGCACCCATCACAAACACATGCAAAGGCAGGTCAATTATTCGCCTGAAAACACACATACACTATCCACGTCATCGAGGCAAAAGCAGAGGCACAGAGCCTGATCAACCAGTTTAGTCATGGCATATGCTGACAAAAAGAATGATGCACCTGTGACCCATCCGATCCGGAATCCACAGGGATGTGGGTGATACAGAGGCACATCGCTCCGCGTGGACACACTGAAAACACCGTGATACCAGTATTCACTGTCAAACATAAGACTGGTGTTGCTATGTAGTTTACTATCATTTGCAACTATCATGTAATAACGATTTTGGTTAAGCAGTTAAGGGATACTTTGCCGTTATGAGTGAGTGAGTTGGGTTTAACGCCGCTTTGAACAGTATTCCCGTTATATCACGGCGTGTCAGCTTAATGTAGGAGTAATGCCCGAAGTGATGCAGGTCTCAGACGTAAACCACTTTGGTGAAACCATCGAGAACGGGTATGGTGCTGACAGACCTATAAATATAATCGGCGCGAACCGAGATTCGAACCCGCCGTCATAGGTTTCTGGCGTACCTAAGAGACGCAACTCTGCACAGCGACTGAGCCACCCGTGCCCCCTTGGCCGTTATAAGCATAAATCCAATCCACACTTAAAGACACAAGGGCATGTGATCCCGTGGGCATGTGATTCGACTCATTACAGTGTTTCACTACAAACCTCCTTCGAGTCCAATGACAAAGCGTAGTTCCTCTCCAATAAGAACAGGCTTCCCGTTGGCAAGTGAATTGGTGATAGGCATATCATTCGATAGTATATACAATCTGGCGACTCCAAGGGGGTTCCAAATGGGGACAGGATTTAGGCCGACGCTGGTTGAAACAGAAAATAAATGTTAACTGTTTGGTTAAGCATAATTGTAATGAAGCAGTAAACCGCAGTGTCAATACATAACATGTTTTATTTGTTCTTTTACACCTCGGGCTGCGATGTGAAGATCCGGGGTAGAATAGGTCTTCACTAACCCATGCTTGCCGTAAAAGTCGACTATGCTTGTCGTGAGAGGCGACTAACGGGATCGGGTGGTCAGGCTCGCTGACTTGGATGATGCATGTCATCGTGTCCCAATTGCGTGGATCGATGCTCATGATGTCAACACTGGATTGTCTGGTCAAGACTCGATTATTTACAGACCGCCGTCATATAGTTGGAATGTTGCTGAGTGCGGCGTTAAACAACAAACCAAACCAAACCAAACCTCGGGCTGCCATATTAGAGCTTTAACACGGCACCCTAAAAATAAGTGTCAGGGCAAGATAAACCAGTGATTGATATTATGACAACGTCCCCTATACGTCTACTGTTCAAGGAGCATCAAAACCCTGTCACGTACTGAGCGGTGCTGAGAGTGATGGCTCCGGTGAGAGTCACGTTGTCCTCCATGACACATCTGGCCGTGACGAGGTCATCCACGTGTAAGATCATCTCCGTGTCGTAACGGACAACAGCGGTCCTAATAAACTCCCGGGTTCCATTGCCATGCTGTTACCAATAGTGGGAAGGTGTGGAAAAAACAACAACAAAAAAACGATTGCTGACAAAATACAATGTGATTGCATTGACATATATTGATTAATTTTTGTTCTCAGAAATGTCGACACTAGTATGAACTGTATTTTTCACACAGTGAATTCAGACACACATACAGGATTAGAAATTACACATTAAGATTTAGAATCCATGTCATTATTTAAATTACGGATGGGGCTATTTGTATAGTTACCAATAACAGGAATCTCCCAAGTATACCATGTGCAAATAGCTGATAAGTTTAATATTGTATTGTCTTTAATGATCGTGTTGTGATCAGACATACTACCGCCAGTGGCGGATCAAGGTTCGACAACACATCCGTCCCACCTCCTCTAAAGAGTCCCCACTGAATTCATACCCACCGAATGTCACAGTAACATTAACATAGATAACGTAGAATTTGTATTACTGAATTCAATGAACATTGCTTTAACCTTTAACTATTATCGCAATAGAGTTATTGCGATAACAATGTGGTTTACCGTCGCGTTCAACGTTATTGCACTTACATATTGACTGTCTGTGTGTGAAGCTGACTGTACTGGTCGAAGCTCATGCCGGTTTCATAGTACTAGCCCACTGAGATTTCATTCCGCATTTTAATACATATCCCACTCAGACACAGTATGCTGACTCCGAGCTGACAAGTCCTTGTTTTATGCCGTTAATGCCAAGCGCCAGGCAGGGTAACAACAAGTACCATCTTTTAACATCTTTTGGAATGACGCGGCCAGGGGATCGAAGACGCTCTATTCACTACACAACGTAGTTAAATATATCATCAAACGCATAAGACAAATATAACTTTTTTTGAGACATTGTCATGGGCAGTTCACTGTTGTAATACAAATTATATCTTTGTAGAGCATTTATCATTTTATCAAAAGACCATTTACTTACATCTACGAGGACGGCAGAACCACATTCACTGCTGTTATGGAGCACCTCAATATAGCGCCCTTCATCCCAAGTGTCCGGCAGCTGGTCAGTGTCAGATGCATTCACTGGAACCACCAACGATTCACATGCTGGGGTCCCCCTCATACCCTCAATGTAGGCAATGCCGGCGAAGGTTCCGTAAGGGTTAATACCAATGACCATCAAACTCTCGGTGCAGTAAACATCAACTGGAAAAAAGCAACGGTATCCACCAAATCCGACAGCAAATCAGCCATCTCGGACCATATCATCAACTGTCCCAATCACATCATCAACTGGGACAACGTCCAAATCCTCGCCAACAACCTCCATGATTTCACCAAAAGAAAACTAACAGAAGCAGTCCACATTCGCCGCCACAACCCATCAATCAACAGAGATCAAGGCTATTTCATCCCATCCGCCTACTATGAACTCATCAAACAATAATCACCTGTTTATTGGCTTCATGCCCCATTGGCTTCTAGCTATGTGTTTTCTGTCCATCGTGTTGTGATAGCATCATCCTTGTTGTCACACCTACCTATGTTATCCCACTCATGTATGCCCTTGTTGTTACTGTTAATCCTCTACTGTTAATCCTCCACTTGCTATATACATTCTGCACTATGTCCCTCATTCAGTCTTGCTTGACAACGGTATAAGGATCTATACCGAAACGTCGCTTTTTACAGTATTAAAGAAGTTGTTATCCATAAAATTATGTCTATCTTGTCATCCGCCAACTTCTAAGTAATGCCTATCAAACAAGTCAAACAAGGTATCCTCCCATCAGTCATACAGGCCATTTGTCATACAGCTTATAACAACATAGGATATGCATGACTGGACCACTAACCCCCTGCCTTCTACCTATCAATATGGACTGTTCCACACAGATCATTAACTGTGTTTATGTTTAAGTTTGAATTATAGGGAACACCAAGATTATAATTATGAATGATCCTGTGCTAATACATTTGCAGATTGTAAGAAAACAAATTGTAAAGCAGAAAAGTAATTAATAAATTAGTATGGTTTATTCAACATAAAATTATAAATATGAACCATGTTTAACAAGAATTAATAACATAATTCAACATTCAAAGCATCGTAATGGCGGATAATGGCTATCCAAGCTTCAATAGGTGACCTGCAGCATCAAGGAACTGGATTGGACTTTTCCTTCCTTGGGTCAGTTGATCTTTCAGTCTCTGGAGTCTATTGTCAACCTCACGGTTGACCCGCTTTCTACTTGGTTCAGGTGCACCGAGGTTTATTTGCGCCAATTTCACCTTGCTAGCTTTCTCAATCATTCGGAAGACTTCTATCAGACCGTAGATGTTGGGGTGTTTGGTGAAGACTTCTATTCAGCTTGTTGTGGAAGCCTTCCAGGTTGTTGTTGGTCCTCGGGCCAGTGGTGTCATGGTGATTCCATAGGAGAATCGGAAAGCGAGCATCATAATCTGCCCATATCAATACCAGGTAGTCGTTGAATGTCTCAGCTCTGGGTAGATCAGGTGTCAGCTGCATCGCTTCTAGCCAGGCGTCTTGGAACTCCAACTTGATGGCACGGATTGCTGCTTGTTCAAAATCTGTCTGCAGGCGAGTGGGGGCAAGTTCTCTGTTCAGGATGTCTGCAACATGGGTCTTCAAACGGCTGAACATTCTTCTGAACGTTGTCATCTGGCGGTCGGGTAGCAAAGCATAAACTACAGGATAGCTGGCAGATCCACTTCTGACGTGAAGTATGTACACTTGATCCCAAAGGGCAGGGCAGGGGGCAAAGGTAGCATCCATGTATATCGTCTCAGCACCTTGTAAGATCTGTAGCTGCTCATCTGTGGCAAAGGCAAGGATCTTGTTTTCTTCTCCATCGCTGAATAGGAGGAAGCGGGCCCCATCTAATGTATGGCTCCAGGCATCATCTAGGTCCACTTAGGCTCTGGTTTGGGGCCGGACGGGTATGGTCTTCCTTCTGTGGCGGTAAAGGGCACTGCAGGGAGGGCTTGGGCTTGGTAATCATCTTCTTCAGCGATCTGTTGGTTGAAGAGCTGCTGTATCGGAGTTGTTTCCTCTCTTGCTCTCTTCCTCATGTTGTTGACAAAACGAACTCGGTTTGAATTCTCTGGGGTTGGTTGTGCTCTGACACATTCCTCACAAAATCACCAACAGCAGTGCACTTGCCGGAGCAAGATTTAATTACACAACGCCAGTGTTGTGCTGTCTGTCTTGTTGCATTCTTGTTAAACAAGTATCCTTCAAAGAGAACCTGCTGGGTACCGCGGGCTGACGTAAATTATTCTACAAGTCGTAGAGCCATGATTGTGAATGATGTAAAGCAATTGATACAGTATTTTTACATATGTGTGTGATCACAAAATACATCTCATCAGACTGTTAAACAGTTTCTCAAACATCTCCAGTCTCCTTTCATAGGATTACATGAATTACATTTATTAACATCAAAGGGCAAAGTATTTTTTAAAACAACATCTTAATTATTTGTTAGTGAAAGAACTTACAGTGACTTTGATCATTTTAATACCCTCTTCTCACAAGATACCCAGCTCACAACTACTCACCCTTTATGAATTTAACATTGTTGTAACAAAGACCTTAAATCAGAGTGTTAGGTCATACCATTACAGCTTAAGGTGAGTGCTCTAATTACCCCCCTACTCAACTGTATGACGATTGGCAATAACAAGGTGTATGACAGATGGCCTGTCTGACTGATGGGAGGGAACCAAAGCAACAATGCCCTTTCCACAGTCATTGAGTCCATTGTACGATTAAGGTTTTATCACATGCATAATTATGCTTATGAATCACTATGAAATAGTGATGACACCTGGTGTTCGCGAAAAGGTTAGTATATCCTGCCCCACAGTGGCACCCATCATAAACACATGCTAAGGCAAATCAACTTTTCACTTTAAAAATCACGGGAACATGCATATGGTACAAGCCAAAATAGGGAATTGCGCCCGGCGTCATTTTGGTCATTGATGCGTCAAATTTGGAAATGTCTTCCATAGAATTGGGATTTTGTATGGATATTTGATATTTGTTCAGCTACAGCCGCAAAACCATACATGCATGCATAGACACACACAGTCACAGACACAGACACAGAAACACACACACACACACACACACACACATGGCCTGTGGAATATTAATGTACCTTAATCAGTAGCGTATTTCTTGGTGGTGTTTACATGTAAATGTGTTTTGTTGGACGGTGTCCCCGTCGCCAGGACGTGTTAAACTTACATCTCTTCCGATCGCATGTCTCTCCATAGTACTCCCTGCCACAGTAGCACTTCTCTGCCGTCCCATCTGTGTAGCAGGTGCCCTGGCCCTCGGTGCAGCTGCTGCAGGTAGTTTTAGAGCCTAGAGTTCAGGAACATAAACACGAAATGCATCGACATATGGTATTCATGCAGTTAAATACATATGCAAAATCATAGCATATTCGCAAATAAGAAAAACGAAAATATAATACTATGCATCGTTAATTATTTTATTGATTAATTCATTCACTGGAGTAAATGCATAGTTTCCAAGCTTGGAAACGACAATAGTTTAGCAAACGTGTACATACTTTCCAAACGTTTTCAACACGTTTCCAAATATATACTCTTGTAAAGTATGACAGTTTCCAAACCTTTTCAGAAACAGTTTCCAACAATTTCCACGTTTTCTGAAATTCATGAACAACGTCATAATTCATCCTGTATTTGGTGATGATTTATATCTCCATGAGTTGAAATATACTAGAATTAATGGTCCAAGAAAATATACTGGACCAAAAGGGGGAAAAAATGCTTTGTTTATTTGACAATTGAGAATTAATTGTAAACTACTTGTTGTGGGTCTAAAGAAATTATTCTTCAGCCTCTCACGCATATGCACACATACGCGTATTATCACACACTTATCATCTCCAGATATTGACTGAGTAGAACCATGAAACAGTTATACTTACTTGATTCCAGGGCACAATCATATCCCTCGAACCCACTCGACTGGCAATCGCACACTGGCTGACCAAGGGTGCATACCCCATTGACACAGGCTTGAGACATCCGCCGACAGTCGAAGGTTGCCTCCACTAAAATGATATTGACAGTAAGTCGTCATTTCTCCAAAAGGTGTATTATGATAAAAACATGATCAAATATCAGGCTTAAGTAAACAGACAATTAGATACAAATGCATGTGATGCTATCTAAACATCAATGAAGAAGGCGTTTTGGTGTTTAAAAGTATACATCCTTTAAAAAGCATTCACATATTTACATGAAATGTAGTCTTCTGAATCAGGACTGTACGGGAAGCATGTGGATGATAGGCAATTGTTACTATATACGTGAATCTTGCAGAAATTTGCAGAAACCGTGTCGCTAATAATTTATATTATACGTCACGTGAGACGGTTATATCACACATCACTTTATAACGTTTATATTACCAGTCACTTGAAAACACTTATATGACAAGTCACTTTATAACGCTTACATTACACGTCACTTGATAACACTAATATTACACGTCACTTGATAATGCTTACATTACACGTCACAGAAGGTTATATCACACGTCACTTTAAAACGCTTATATTACCTGTCACTTGATAACACTTATATTACACGTCACTTTATAACGATTATAGGAGGCGGTCGGGTAGCCTAGTGGTTAAAGCGTTCGCTCGTCACGCCGAAGACCCGGGTTCGATTCCCGACATGGGTACAATGTGTGAAGCCCATTTCTGGTGTCCCCCGCCGTGATATTGCTGGAATATTGCTAAAAGCGGCGTAAAAACATACTCACTCACTCACTTATAACGATTATAATACACATCACTTGATAACGCTTATATTACATGTCACTTGATAACACTAACATTACGCGTCACTTGATAACGTTTATATTAATTATACGTCACGTGAGAAGGATATATTACACGTCAGTTGATAACATCTACACTACACGTCACTTGATAGGACTGATATTATACTTCACTTGATAATGTTAATATTATACGTCACATGAGAAGGTATTATTGCACGTCACTTGACAACGCTTACATTACACGTCACTTGATAACACTAATAATACAAACCACTTGAAAACGTTTATATCATACGTCATGTGAGAAGGTTATATTACACGTCACTTGATAACACCTGTATTACACGTCATTTGATAACGTTTATATTATACGTCACGTGAGAAGGTAACATTTACACGTCAGTTGATAACGCTTACATTACACGTCACTTGATAACACCCATAATACATGCAGTTATATCATAAATGTGTATGGAATATTGTCAAAACCGGTGTAAACACATACTACCCCACTATCCCACTCACTCACTCACAATACATGTATTACCGTTACCGGGTTCTAAATATTTACATTACCTAGGCCCAGAGCAAGCAACAGTATCCAGACAACCATAGATCTCATTGTGGACAGCTTTAAAATCACTGAAAGCAAAATAAAGATATAATTTCGCCTGGAAATTGAATATTTCACCCAACATTTTGCATAATAGATATCATTTATTGTAACATTCATGAAAATGACACCACATTAGAGTAGCCTCCCTTTGATAAAGGCTAGTTACTCTAGCGGTAACTAGCTCGCAAAGACACATTCGCGTCATAACATCTACTGTAAATCTTGATATTAACGCGAGCGTGTATTGAATGCGAAAAATGCGAGTGGTCTTTCCTTGCATTATCAAACATCGCATATATATCAACAATAAGACATTTTGGATAGCAGAAATACCAACTTAGTATGTATTTGAAAACATCCACACGAATTCCTGCCTACCTGAACATACAGCCGGTCATTGCCCTCTCACGTTTCATATACCCCTACATCACATCTCCCCGATGTTTTTATTGAGTGAGGCACGGCTTGTAAGCGTTCTGGTGCAATTTACCTTCGCTGATTGGGTCGATATCTTCAAAATATTGAGCAAGTAAACCTGAAAGTAATAATTTAGATAACCGAAGCTCAGTTCTTTGTAGTGTCGAATTCCTGCTGCGGTATTCACAATCATCAAAGCGAGTGGGAATTGAAAGCTTGTTATAAGCACAACTCACATGGGCAGCATGTCCAGAAACCTGATACATTTCTGTGGGCAAGAAAGTGCGAACATGAAAGTTATATTATAGCTTAAACATTAATTCAGCTCGTCACAAATAACACCCTGAGATATTTTCATAAAGGCTAAACAGAATATTCATAAGTTTATTACTTCAAAGACATTATGTATAGGTGCACACATAAACTCTTTCGATATATGTGTTAATCACATACTAAAATTATGATGCATGTTGTGACACCGTATATGGACTGCTGACATGGCGAACACCCTGTTGTGATCCCGTATACTTTAACACCGTGGTGAGCAATATTCAAGCAATATCACGCTGTGTTTGTGTATGCGGTTCAATGATCATGTCAGAAAATAAAATACGTTTAAAATTTATCAAATTTAGTCACGTTGACGAGCGAAATTTAACTGAAGGGATCTTCCCAAGATTTCATATATTACACTTCATTTCAGTAGCTGATTTCCAGGCCTGCAATATTATAATATGTATAATCCCTACAATGAACATGATTGTAGAGGAAACAACATATACGTCTATATGTACTTACTTGTATATACAACTCAGGTGTAACTTTCAACGATATTGTCATATATACTAGCGGGAAAAGTAAATATAACTGTGCTTCAAATAAAGTTCAATAAAAAACAACTTGGTTACTCTTTGAGATTAAGGATTGTTCTGGGCTCCAAATGGGTTATTTTTTTAAATATGATAACTATATTTCTGGGACAACATCACTCTGGAGCAGAACCAATTCATGCTAGAGGCTGATGAATCTCCATCTCTCTTCTAGAGCGTGTCGCTGTGTCTACCTGTTAACTGGTATGGGTATTGCCAATGCATCTGTTATGATAAAACATTGATAAGGCGGCGGACGTGTAACTAATAGGGGGATACCGGCCAAGTATTATGTTGTTATTTTCAATAACATAACATTTACACTACTTTATAGGGGACAAGGGTGACCCAGTCGTGTAAGCCGCTGCGATTCGCTGTGCAGAGTTGCGTCCCTTGGGCACGCCAGAAAACTATGATTGTGGGTTCGACATTAAACTGCCACGCCGTGATATAACTGGAATACTGTTAAAAGCGGCGTTAAACCAAACTCACTCACTACACTACTTTATACGAAGTACAGTTACTTTTTTCCGTTAGTATTGTTGGAAGCCTCGGTGGCCGAGTGGGTTAGATCGCTGATTTTGTGTGCTGGCCACACTGTGGCAGTGTGGGTTCGAAACCCTGACGGGACTCAACCCCCAAAAGTACTAGAATCTGTACTTTACCAAAAAGTGTTATCCAAAATATAACATTTTTTACAATTGACCAATGGTATTATGTGTTCATGTTTTAGTTATAATGTGCCATAGTATTCTATAGCTATGTATATACATCTATGTATAACACGTCAATGCCAGAGAATAACCAGTCTCGATTATCAGGGCGTAAAAGACAGCGACCTAATTACGTGCATGTTTTCACCGACCCTATGTAGATGAACCTCTCTTCAACTCATCTCAGGGGCGGTCGGGTAGCCTAGTGGTTAAAGCGTTCGCTCGTCACGCCGAAGACCCGGGTTCGATTCCCGACATGGGTACAATGTGTGAAGCCCATTTCTGGTGTCCCCCGCCGTGATATTGCTGGAATATTGCTAAAAGCGGCGTAAAAACATACTCACTCAGTCACTCACCTCATCTCACAGTTTTGTTTTGTTTGTTGATATGGCTGTCATACTGTGTTCTATGACGTTCAGCCTGCACATATACTTCCCATTTCCCGTATTTATTTATAGGAATACAGATAAAGTTCAACCAAATTCTATACAAAAACAGACAACAGACAAACAGAAACAGGTGCGGTTTGTTAAGCATGAGTACGTGGATGTCATAAAACCTTCCAACATATTGCATGGGCTGTGGCAACGACATCGCAATAAAATATGTAATGTTAATTTGGAAAGATATGAGTCATGGTTTCAATTTGCTGAAGCTGTTTGAGAGATATTAAAGCGTGTTTGATACCATTCCAAACTGGTGCACTTTAAAACTTAAATGTAGAATTGAATTGAATTGATTTGAATTTGAGCTACCTTACCACTCTCCTCATTCGAGTTAGGATCTGGTATCTTCCTGGAGGCAAAGATTGTGAAAGGAACTATGCTCTATACGAGCAACATTGCGAGGGCGTGTTGTGCTCTCCAATCTGTTTCTGATATGAGTAAGTGTAAATAATCAAGTCCGGGCCGAACATGATGATCAACGATCCCACCAATGACACGCAATCAGTCAAGTGAGTGAGTGAGTGAATTTGGTTTTACGCCGCTTTTAGCAATATTCCAGCAATATCACGGCGGGGGACACCGGAAATGGGCTTCACACATTGTACCCATGTCGGAAATCGAACCCGGGTCCTCGGCGTGACGAGCGAACGCTTCAACCACTAGGCTACCCGACCGCCCCAAATCAGTCAAGTGACAGAACATGAACGTTAAGCTTTATGCCACGCTTATCATTAACATAGATTACTGGTCCTGGTGACCAACTATACCCAAACATCTCCCTGGGGCCCATCACTATGTTATACAGTTACGTGTCGGTAGTAAGATGAGACTAATAATTAAAAAAAAATTCCGACGAAGAATGCATCGGAATGCAAATTGGAATATAACTCATATTCAAACCGGAACAGACGCATCTGAGGAGCATTCATGGGAATTGCTACGAGACCAGATTAAATTCATAGTTATTGATACTGCAATAAGTGCTTGAAACATGTGATACGTCAAATTTTATTTAAATCATATACAGCGTTGTGATTGTGATTAGCTGTGATTGGATAAATATATATATGAAACTGATATAAAGAAGATGTTGGACTAACGTGGACTTTATCAGTTTATTATATATATATATATCTATATATATATATATATATATATATATATATATATATATATATATATATCTATATATATATCTATATCTATATATATATATATATATTTGACACATCAGTGACAAAAATGATAAAATCTCATTTTCTGATCTGTACTTTTAAGGTGAACAATTGACTTGTCTTTGCATGTATTTGTGACGAATTTAACCTGGCTACGCTCACCTATTCGCGTACTATATTGCTTATACTTCATGGACTTGGAAATCAGTGGACACGTGGGCGATATTTCATTCAATATCCGTGATGTTCTCTATTTGTTGAATGAGGTGAGGAGTTGAGATGTATTTCTCGATGATATCCAAATTAAGCCGTGTTATTGTCGTGAAATACTGTCTCCGTGTAATATAGTACCGAGCCTTATTTACTGCTCTAATATCAATCCAGCTTAAATGAAACATAATTGTAATCACAGTGTATAAGTTTAATATTTTACATGATAATATAAATGTTTTAGTATTCACTTGACTAAAGTAGAGACCCGTGAAGATTCCGGGGTAGAATTGGTCTTCAGCAACCCATACTTGCCGTAAAAGGCGACTATGCTTGTCGTAAAAGGCGACTAACGGGATCGGATGGTCAGGCTCGCTGACTTGGTTGATGCATGTCATCGATCCCAATTGCGTGGATCGATGTTCATGATAGCAATCACTGGATTGTCTGGTCCAGATTCGATTATTTACAGACCGCTGTCATATAGCTGGAATATTGCTGAGTGCGGCGTTAAACAACAAACCAACAACAACAACAACAACAACTAAAGTAGAGTTGTTAAAACAGTCACAACACCATATACGGTTATATAGAATTTATTAGCTTCCCACAAACATTTGCTCCCTTCAAACATAATACAATTTACATGTGCATGTACGATATGACACTCAAAGTGTAATAGAATAAAATAAACGGATACTGAACGGAAGATGGCTCACCTGTTCAAAGCAACAATACATTAATTGTGTAATATTTAACACCAACGTACGTTTCCTAAGAGAGTAAGACTTAGAGATTGGCAAATAAGTATCAATAATATTGATTCTTAAATCATTAACACACCGTGCTGCCTATCGATCGCCGTCGTCTGTTCGTAACATCCATTGTAAATTTAAACAGACATGCTATACCTACAATCAATGAGGCAACATAAAGTTTATTATTGGACATTAACATGCAGATAAATACTAGTAGTCACGGAATGCTTCCAACTTCGAGTTACGCGACACATACAGGCTGCATGAATCCCAACTTCGAGTTATGTGAAACTAGCTGGCTGCATCAATAACAAATTCGAGTAACGTGACACAAACTGGCGGCATCAATCCCGACTTCGAGTTACGTGAAACATGCAAGCTTCATCAATCCAAACTTCGAGTTACGTGACACATACAGGCTACTTAATTTCAACTTCGTTTTACATGACACATACATGCCCCATCTATCCCAGCTTCGAGTTATGTGACACATATTGGCTGCATCAATCCAAACTTCGACTAATGTGAAACATACAGGCTGCATCAATCCCAACTTCGTGTTACGTGACACATATATGCTCCATCTATCCCAGCTTCGAGTTATGTGACACATATTGGCTGCATCAATCAAAACTTCGACTAATGTGAAACATACAGGCTGCATCAATCCCAACTTCGAGAGACGTGACACAAACAGCTACATCAATCCAAACCTCGAGTTACGTGACACATACATGCTTCATTAATCCCAGTTTCGAGTTATGTGACACATAGAGGCTACATCAATCTCAACTTCAAGTTAGGTGACACATACAGGCTACTGAACGATCTGTCAGGCCACGCGTAACCAATAATCGACAAGACAACTGGATTCGAACACAACGCCTACGGAATCGATTCCAGCCAGCAACAGTGACTGCAAGAAGCATCCCTGGCCTTCGACGAATATCTTCGCAAACCGTACGTCGCCGCCTTAGATGTGCAGGGATTGTCGCCAGAAGAACCGTCAGATGTCCGATTTTGACAGGAAACCACCGTCAAGCACGTCTACAGTGGTGCAGACAGCGTCTACGCTGGACGGCCATGCAGTGGGGACAAGTTCTATTCACTGACGAGTCTCGTTTTCACCTCAGCCATAGCGATGGACGGATTCGAGTGTACCGACGTCGCGGTGAACGTTACGTCAATCATTGTGTCATGGAAGAAGATCGGTTTGGGGGCGGCAGCGTTATGGTATTGGGTGGGATTACAGCAAGACAGAGGACCCGTTTGATAGTGGTAGAGGGAAATCTCAATGGACAGCGCTACCGCGACGACATCATCGGCCCTGTTGTTCTACCGTTTTTGCGTCGTCATGCCCTAGGCATTACCTTTCAACATGACAACGCCCGGCCTCATATTGCTCGACTTGTTCAGGATTCTCTTCAACAAAACAACGTGAATGTCATCCCCTGGCCGGCTCGCTTCCCTGATCTCTCACCAATCGAGCACATGTGGGGTAAGACAGACACTCGGGGAACTTCAAAACATGCTCCAGCAGATATGGACAGATATCCCACAGGACTTTGTGCGACGCCTGGTCCATTCCATGAGACGAAGATGTGTTGCTTGCATTTCAACCAGAGGTGGACACACACGCTATTGATTTGTAAATTGACATTTTGGCATGTTCATGTTTTTTTTATATGAAATCACGCATTTTCTGAAGTCAGTATGGCAAATTAAACCATTTGAACACTTCCAGGAGTCTTTTATCTGTTGCAAACCCAAATTGTTTCAGATTTGGTAAAAAACATAACTTTGCATTAAATCTTAGTCAATGTCACAGGAACCTTTGTTTTTCAGTATTGAAAGGGAACGTTTTTTCCCCTTATTGTATTGGACTATCGGCGTTTTTCTCAAACGTTGGTTATAGTATTGTTGCGCTTACATATATAGTTGGAATCGTACAATGACATCTAGTTGAGATTTCTTATTTCATGGAAATGGTTACAGTCGCTCTTATGTGTATGTACATGCATATATCTCTGTATATCAACTGTTCAATAATGGTTTATAATTTTATTTACCCTCTCTCTGTACAACCATGGTAATACTATTTACCGTAAAGCGAATAAAATGTGTGGCACAATCTGACTGGTTTCAATAACGTAGTAACGGGGAATCTAAGACCGGGAATAGTACCGTAACGGTATTCTCACTGTAATGCTTCTTTTTATAAGCATTTTTGGGTTTTATTTCCAAATGTGAAAAAGGTCTCAATCGACATGACGACTAATAGACTAATTATGTAATCTTAAATGCAACTGTCGCGTATCCCAGTCGCTGAAACATTCACATTTTAAGGTAACATCCGTATCTCTGAAATCACACTGTGTCTCGTAATCAATATCTGTCAGATTGACTGTCGTTGTATAACGTTAATGATCGTAACATCAATAACAACATTGTATAGCTAATATATTATGATAAAATATAATAAAAAATCCCTGTTTATATATGAAGAGTAACGAGAGAGAGAGAGAGAGAGAGAAAGAGTGAGAGGAGTGCGAGAGCGAATGAGAGAGTGGGAGAGGAGAGAGATAGTGCGAGCGAATGAGAGAGTGAGAGGGCGAGTGAGAGAGTTAGAGCGAATGAGAGAGTGAGAGAGCGAGTGAGAGAGTGAGAGCGAATCAGAGAATGAGAGAGCGAGTGAGAGAGTGAGAGCGAATCAGAGAATGAGAGAGCGATTGAGAGAGCGAGTGAAAGAAAGAGCTAAATATGATGCTTTTATATAATGTTGTCAGTAGTAGTAGCTAGTAGAGAGTGAAAGAGAGAAAGTGAGAGTGAGTAGGTGAGTGTAGTTTTACGCCGCTGTTAGCAATATTCCATCAATATCCCTGCGGGGGACACCAGAAATGGGTTTCACACATTGCAACCATGTGGGGAATCGAACCTGGGCCTTCGGCGTGACGATCGAGCGCTTTAACCACTAGGCTACACCACCGTCCCCAGAAAGTAACAGAGTGAGTGAGAGTGAGAGAGGAGTGAGAGAGCGAATTGGGAATGAAGGAGAGAGCGAGTTTATAATGTTGTTTTTATACGATGTCATTAGTAATATGGAATAAGCTAAAACTTGAAGAAGAGGCACAAAGATGAGTGAGTGAGTATAGTTTTACGCCGCTTTTAACAATATTCCTGCAATAGAAGTTAACATCTCAAGATGAAGTGGCATGCTCTGATACTGTAGCTGAATGAACGAAAACTCGCCCTTCACGAGGCTCTGTGCATTTTTAACAAAACAATTGTTGGATTGACCTTCTGATCGAGACGTTGAAATAAAAAAAGAAATTAGAATTATTTGAGGATCGGTAAAGGTGCATCGCCTCTTCAGTAAATATTTGACATTAAGAAATTAAATTAAATTAAATCATATTAAGGGGGAGAGTCTCTGTCCGTTGTTCATGTGAGGATTACAGACGTTTCTCGATGGCTGATGACACTGCATACACACCAGTCTTGGACTCCCTGCTGTTGCGACGACGCCGACGAGAAAAGACAACGATGACGATGAGTGCGCCAGACAGGAGGATGAGGAAGAAGATGGCCACAGCCATGGCGATGAGGATTGTTGTCATCTCCCAAGATGTCTCACAGCCCTTGGCTGCGATGCCAGGGATAGTATCTGGGTTTGAGTTTTCTGTGAAGAAGGTACGGATGGTCAGTAAACGTATACACACTATTTGAATCTTTCTGTGGTACACTTGTGTGTAACCTGGAATATGTAAATGACTGTGATACACGGAGAGGAGACAGGTTTGATTAGCATTGACATTACATTTATGTTTATTCCTGGACCGGTACGTTGATTCTTTAGAAGTGTTACTGAAATAGGACAACATTATGTTACCTTCAAATTGTCCTCCGCCCTGACTACGGATCTTCACCCAATAAGACTACATTACGTTACCTCCATATTGTCCTCCGTCCTGACTACGGATCTTCACCAAATAAGACTACATTACATCACCTCCATATTGTCCTCCACCCTGACTACGGATCTTCACCCAATAGGACTACATTACGTTACCTCCATATTGTCCTCCGTCCTGACTACGAATCTTCACCCAATAGGACTACATTACATCACCTCCACATTGTCCTCCACCCTGACTACGGATCTTCACCCAATAAGACTACATTACGTTACCTCCATATTGTCCTCCGTCCTGACTACGGATCTTCACCCAATAGGACTACATTACGTTACCTCCATATTGTCCTCCGTCCTGACTACGGATCTTCACCCAATAAGACTACATTACGTTACCTCCATATTGTCCTCCGTCCTGACTACGGATCTTCACCCAATAGGACCACATTACGATACCTCCATATTGTCCTCCGTCCTGACTACGGATCTTCACCCAATAGGACTACATTACGTTACCTCCATATTGTCCTCCGTCCTGACTACGGATCTTCACCCAATAAGACTACATTACGTTACCTCCATATTGTCCTCCGTCCTGACTACGGATCTTCACCCAATAGGACTACATCACACCACCTCCATATTGTCCTCCACCCTGACTACGGATCTTTACCCAATAAGACTACATTATGTTACCTCCATATTGTCCTCCGTCCTGACTACGGATCTTCACCCAATAAGACTACATTACGTTACCTCCATATTGTCCTCCGTCCTGACTACGGATCTTCACCCAATAAGACTACATTATGTTACCTCCATATTGTCCTCCGTTCTGACTTCGGATCTTCACCAAATAGGACTACATTACACCACCTCCATATTGTCCTCCACCCTGACTACGGATCTTCACCCAATAGGACCACATTACGCTACCTCCATATTGTCCTCCGTCCTGACTACGGATCTTCACCAAATAGGAATACAATAGGTTACCTCCATATTGTCCTCCGTCCTGACTACGGATCTTCACCCAATAGGACCACATTACGTTACCTCCATATTGTCCTCCGTCCTGACTACGGATCTTCACCCAATAGGACTACATTACCTTAGTCAGTTTTTAGGTATTGGACTGTCACATAATAGATTTGTTGCTTAACTTTTTGTGAGGAGTATATTCATAATTATATATACCATACCGCCCTGACTCCGGATCTTCACCACCTTGGAAAGCTGCACCTCATCCCCGGCATCCCTCTTCCTTCTGCCGTAACCGCCGTCTGGCGCGGTGCAGTTAACCTGACATACAGAAGGTGAGAAATGCCCAGTTTAATATCCCTCCCAAGAATACACCTGTTATTCATGTAACGAGATGGTGTTTTGGTTGGTGGGGGGTTACAGAAAATCTGAGGTCAAATTATGTGTTTTCAGTATTTTCTGAAAAAACAACGTTATCCTAAGTGCATTTCACGCCGAAGACCCGGGTTCGATTCCCGACATGGGTACAATGTGCGAAGCCCATTTGTAGTGTTCACCGCCGTAATATTGCTGGAATATTGCTAAAAGCGTCGTGAAGATAAACTCACTCACTCACTCACTCACTCACTAAGTGCATTTACATGACGCATGTTCATAGGGTATAGCTGTTGCCCAGAGGTTATATTTTACCAATAGTCTTCTGTGTTTTATGTGATTGATTTGGTTTCTATTTCTATTTCCGCTATGTTATGTCAATTATATTTTTTTACAATCCATACAGTTGTGTTTCATCAAAGTTATCCCCAACCGGGCGGCAGGCCAACATGTCTTCAGTCACACAAATATTTCCCTCGAAGTGGAAGAGCGTATATTTAGTTATTGTGTAAAAATATCGTTTTCAATAGTCATTAATTTATTTGTTTTATCAATATGTGTCTACTTATGTATTTTTAAATGACGGTACACTTGGAGTATCGGTGATTTTTCTGTCCCTCAGTGAAGACGAATAAAAGCTGCCACCTACCGGGTCACAGGCCGAGTTGTCTGCTGCCACACAAACTCTGACCCGGAAGGAGAAAATCACTTCGTCATTTCCGTCGAAGTGGAAAGCCCTTATTTTCAGGTTTAACTCCTGTTTGTTGCTAGAGTCGGGGGTGACAGCCTCTGAGATGACAGGGAACCCGTCAGAGTGTATACAACTGAAACACACATGCGAACCTTGATCGTTAGGAGGCAATTCTCCACAATGTTCTTCCGGATCCTATAACTGCATTGAAATATGAACGTAAATCAGGCTATATACACGTTTGATTTCTGAAGTACACACTTCCAACTTTGCCTACAACCACTAAAAAACAAAGAACATTAATTGATTGATCTGCGAAAATTGTCCGAAACCAGATGGTGTTTGGAAGGTTTCATCTATTATCAGAGGCCGTGGAAAGGACAGGATCTTTGGACAAAGTAAATGATAACTCTAAACATATCAGGGACAATAAAATATAAGCTGACGTCCAAAAGAAACTTTACCAACTGAAAATATAAATTTCAGACAAAGTATAATTTTTTTTCCCGATGAAGTCTATCTCAAACACATAACCTGATTACAACAATAGAGTATGCAGAAAATGTTAATCGTCTGTTATTTGTTTGCGGGAGAACACGCGAAAAAGTGAAAAACACGTGCACCACGGACAACTGCAAATGCACGTGTGGGTAAGGGTATAAAACGATTGCAACGGCAAGTCAGACATCCACAGAAACACAAAAGAAATGCCACGACTCACAGTCGAACAACGTGAACGAGCCTTGGGTATGGTACAGATGGGAGCCACCCACGCCCATATTGCACGAACCTTCGGTTGCTCCCGTGTTGCCGTTACCAACTTGATGCAACGTCACAGACAGACAGGGCGGATCGCTGACAGGCCAAGAACAGGCAGACCCAGGGTGACCACGGCCCATGATGACCGGTACTTGCGTACCTTGCACCTCCGAAATCGCTTCCTGACAGTGACGTCATCGGCGACAAATGCCTTAGGTCACAGGGTTAGTCGACAGACAGTGGCCAGGAGACTCATGGCTCATGAAATCAGGGCTTTTAGATCATACAGAGGACAGCTATTGACAGCGCAACATCGTCGTCTGCGATTGAGATGGGCCCGGACTGTAAGACGTTGGCAACGACGTGACTGGCAGAGGGTTGTCTTCGCTGACGAAAGTCGATTCTGTATGTTTAGGGCTGATGGAAGACAACGTGTTTATCGCCGAAGGGGTGAACGAACGGCGGCGTGTTGCGTGCAGGAGGTCGTACCACATGGTGGAGGGAGTGTCATGGTGTGGGGAGGGATCTGTGGGCAGGAGAGGACACCGCTGGTCATCGTTGACGGAAACTTGACAGCTCAGCGTTACATGGATAACATTCTTCGTCCAGTTGTACTACCATTTCTCCAACAGCAGCCACGTTGTGTCACTTATCAGCATGACAACGCTAGAGCCCATACAGCCAGAATTGTCACTAACTTCCTCGCAGCCAACAACGTCAACGTCCTGCCGTGGCCTGCACGCTCACCCGACATGTCCCCCATAGAACAGCTCTGGGACTTGATTGATCGTCGTGTTCGACAACGACCCCACTCTCCAGCCAACCGGCAAGAACTGATCTTGGCCCTCCAAGAAGAATGGCGTCAAATCCCACGTGACCTCATCAGACGACTGACTTTTTCTGTGAGTTTTTGCGTGTATTGAGGCATTTGGTGGTTATTGAACATGAGCGATTGTTTATGTACTCTGCCTATTGTCCATGATTCTGAAAGCTCGAGTTTTGTACCACACCCAACTTTGGAGGGGCTCTGACGTCATTCTCGGTCGCGGTATGATTGTCATTTTCAGTGTTGATTATGTTGATATATTGATCTTCTCAATACACTTTACTTCATGCATGTATGTTTTGTTGTTTTTGAGCAAGAGTGATTTCAAACTCTGGTAAAGTTTCTTTTGGACGTCAGTTTATATACCTAATATTCTGGAGATGGCGTGTGTGTATTTGTTGACATATTACTTTTTCATAAGCGCTTCAAGGCATGCAGTGTTTTTCGGAGCGAAGCATACACCTTTGGACCCACCGGACATTTCTAAGAACGTGCAGCATGTCCATTGAACACTGTTGAAGAGTGGGAGGGATGGGTGGGGTGGGGTGGCCCAGTCGTCTAAGGCACCGCGATTCGCTGTGCAGAGTTCGCGCCGGGAATTGATGGGTTTGACAGCACCATACCAGTGCTCATGGGTTTTATCCAAGTAGTCACCGTCCGAGACCTGCATCACTTTGGGTCTTCCTCCCACATTAAGGAGACACGCCGTGATATAACTGGAATACTGTTAAAAGAGGTGTTAAACCCAACTCATTCACTGTTAATTATTACGTGTTTCAGTATGTTTTGGGCAATTCCTCATCACTGTTCTCGATGGATACTGTCCTGCCTGGAGACACTACCTACCTTCCTTCTATCAGCTTCAGCGTCTTCGTGTCGTTGGAGATGGTGTTGTTGGCCTCCCCCTCCTCCACCCGCATTGACGTGTATACTGGGGAAACAGTGTTCATCATTACTAACTATGTATAGTCAAAACCCGGGGGATACTTCAACCAATATTTTACCATCTCTAAATTACTACTTCCTGACACATTCTTGTCATAGTCTTTGTCTTGGACTGGAAGGGCAGGACAGGGAAACAGGGTTCACGAACACCTCTATATTGATTCGTAGGAGTTGGTTGTTGAATTTTGCTTCCATATTTGAAATCTGTTAGGCTGTGGCGATTGAAAAACCCATACTTTCTAATAAAATTGTACCCTGCGGTCTACATGATACAGATTTGTGAATATCCGGGGTAGAATAGGTCTTCAGCAGCCCATGCTTGCCGTAAAAGGCGACTATGCTTGTCGTAAGAGGCGACTAACAGGACCGGGTGGTCAGGCTCGTTGACTTGGTTGATGCACGTCATCGATCCCAATTGGATCGATGCTCATGATGTCAATAACTAGATTGTCTGGTCCAGACTTGATTATTTACAGACCGCCGTCATATACCTGGTATAGTGCGGCGTTAAACAATAAAGAAACCAAACCAAACAAACAAACATGATATCAACAAGAAATCATTGTAATTTATTTGAATTACCCGCTTGTACGCCAAATGTGAATTTAAGTTCTGTCCCGACGTCAACAGGATCTTCCTTGTAGAGGCCACCGCTGACAGTTAGATAGAAGTCCACCGCCTTGGCAATATCCTCGCGGGACACTACGTGCTGGCTGTTCCTGAGATATAGGTTTTGGAAATTTAATGCTATATGGTTCGAGTATATTTTATATTGCAATAATTGAAACAACAAATCAAATTATCACTTTCTAAAGGTTAGTAATGCCAACATGTATCATTAAACATTACCAAGACGTGATTGACTTGCCTTTGCTTGTATTTGTGACGAGTGTCACCTATGGGGCAGGATATGCTCACCTTTTCGTAAACACCTGGCGTCATCACTTTGATGGTGATTCAGACATTCATATATGTGTACGCCTACGCCATTGAAGTCGAGTACTGCATGCACTTACACGCCCGTGATGCTGTATTCTACACATACTTACACGCCCGTGACGCTGTATTCTTCACATACATACACGCTCGTAAGGTTGCGTTCTATATACACTTATACGCCAGTTACGTTGTGTTCTACATACACTTACACGCCAGTGACGTTGTGTTCTACATACACTTACACGCCAGTGACGTTGAGTTCTACATGTATTAACACGCCAGGGACGTTGTGTTCTACTCCTACATGTACTTACACGCCAGTGTTGTCGTATTCTACTTCTACTTACACACCCCGTGACGTTGTATTCTACTTCTACTTACAAGCCCCGTGACGTTGCTTTCTACTCCTACTTAAACGCCAGTGACGTTGTGTTCTACATACACTTACACGCCAGTGACGTTGAGTTCTACATGTATTAACACGCCAGGGACGTTGTGTTCTACTCCTACATGTACTTACACGCCAGTGATGTCGTATTCTACTTCTACTTACACGCCCCGTGACGTTGTATTCTACCTCTACTTACAAGCCCCGTGACGTTGCTTTCTACTCCTACTTAAACGCCAGTGACGTTTTTTCTACTTCTACTTACACGCAAGTGACTTCGTGTTCTACTTCTACTTACACGCCAGTGACGTTGTGCTCTACTTCTACTTACACGCCTGTGACGTTGTGTTCTGCTTCTACTTACACGCCCGTAATATTGTATTCTACTCCTACTTACACGCTCGTGACGTTGTGTTCTACTCCTACTTACACGCCAGTGACGTTGTTCTTCTTCTACTTAAACGCCCGTGACGTCGTGTTGTACTTCTACTTACACGCCAGTGACGTTGTGTTGTACTTCTACTTACACGCCGGTGACGTTGTGCTCTACTTCTCCTTACATGCCCGTTACGTTGTGTTCTACTCCTACCTACAGGCCACTGACATTGTGTTCTACATCTACTTAAACGCCCGTGACGTCGTGTTGTACTTCTACTTACACGCCGGTGACGTTGTGCTCTTCTTCTACTTACACGCTCGTGACGTCGTGTTCTACTTCTACTTACACGCCAGTGACGTTGTGTTCCACGCCTACTTACACGCCAGTGACGTTGTGTTCTACTTCTACTTACCCGCCCGTGACGTTGTGTTCTACTTCAACTTACACGCCGGTGACGTCGTGTTGTACTTTTACTTACACGCCCGTGACGTTGTGTTCTACTTCTACTTACACACTAATGACGTTGTGTTCTACTTCTACTTACAGACCCGTGATGTTGAGCTCTACTTCTACTTACACGCAAGTGACGTTATGTTCTAGTTCTACTTATACGCCAGTGACGTTGTGTTCTACTTCTACTTACACGCCAGTGACGTTTTGTTCTACTCCAACATACACGTCAGTGACTTTGTGTTCTACTTCTACTTACACGCCAGTGACGTTGTGTTCTTCTTCTACTTACGCGCCAGCGACGTTGTGTTCTACTTCTACTTACACGCCAGTGACGTTGTGTCGTACTTCTACTTACGCGCCCGTTACGTTGTGTTCTACTCTTACTTACACGCCACTGACGTCGTGTACTACGTCTACTCACACGCCAGTGACGTTGTGTTCTACTTCTACTTACACGCCAGTGACGTCGTGTTGTACTTCTACTTACACGCCAGTGACGTTGTATTCTACTTTTACTCACACGCCAGTGACTTTGTGTTCTACTTCTACCTACACGCCAGTGACGCTGTGCTCTACTTCTACTTACACGCCTGGGACGTTGTGTTCTACTTCTACTTACACGCAAGTGACGTTATGTTCTAGTTCTACTTACACGCCAGTGACGTTGTGTTCTACTTCTACTTACACGCCAGTGACTTTGTGTTCTACTCCCACATACACGTCAGTGACGTTGTGTTCTACTTCTACTTACACGCCAGTGACGTTGTGTTCTACTCTTACCTACACGCCACTGACGTCGTGTACTACGTCTACTTACAAGCCAGTGACGTTGTGTTCTACTTCTACTTACACGCAAGTGACTTCGTGTTCTACTTCTACTTACACGCCAGTGACGTTGTGTTCTACTTTTACTTACACGCCAGTGACTTTGTGTTCTACTTCTACCTACCCGCCAGTGACGCTGTGCTCTACTTCTACTTACACGCCAGTGACGTTGTATTCTACACATACTTACACGCCAGGGACGTTGATCCTGACGACGCTGCTGTCAACCACTACGTTTTTCTCCAGGATACACTTAACATAGTAGCGGTCGTCGATGTCGGTCAGCAGATTCGGACTGTATTTGACCACCACCACACGGTTAAATTCTTTCCTCTCGCCAGTCTGTATGAAAATTGCAAAAGTACTAGGAAACGTTTAGTCATGTCCTCGATCTATTATCTATCCCAGTATCACAAATGACAATTTTGTATTTACATTAGTTAACTTGACGAGTAATTATCTTTGAATAGTAAAATAATATAACCAACAAGAAAAGGTAAGAGTTTTGATTTACATCTTAAATTGTGTTCCCAATTAGAATATTACAAGAACAAATCTAATTACTTTGGGCATTTCAATTTCAGTCACTCCCAATTGGCATAGCATTCACGACTTTAACAGAGTTTTCAGAAAACGATCGTTTTTCTAATCATCACGAACCTGTTTAATCACCGTCAGTTCGTGAAGCGTAACATTGGGTGTGTATCGTATACTTAACATAATATGCGCTCTTTGCTTGAGAGCTTGCTGATTTAATCGATTTTCCATTAAAACATGAAGCTGCCTGGTACTTGGCACGCAGTGGTAAATTATACATGCACAAGGGGGGGGGGGGGGGGGGGGGGGGGGGGCGTTACCTTTGGCTTAGTGACGTTGATAAAAGGACGTGGTACGAACGTTGATATTCAGATTCTTTGTGCTCGTATGCATCATGCATGTGGTATGTACTTACAATGACTGGCACACTGGGGCCGCAGGCTGCACTGTCATGTTCTACTTGGATGTAATGCCCCTCCCAGCTGTCAGGGATCTTATCGAACGTGTCTACCGTGGTGGGCACTCTCCGGGAGCCACAGCCAATGATGCCTTTCTTGTCCTCCACGAAAGCTTCGAATCCAGAAGTACTGTACGGGTTTATCCCAATGACCATCAAGTCCGCAACGCAGGTCAGAGAAACTGAAGAGGATCAGTGTTTGAAAACATAAATTATCAATGAAGGAGAATAACCAGTCACAATTTTCTTCCGAAACAAATTTATATCCATTTGGAGTAAAGGCAAAATAGCTGTGGAAATTATTGGAAAACCAGTGATGACACCATGTGTTCGAGAAAAGGGTAAGAATGTCCTTCCCCACCGGTAGACCCACCATTCACACAATTCCATCAAAGAGTAAAGTACCGTAAACTACGGTTATAACGAACACGCTTATAACGAACTGAAGGATATAACGAACTTACTTTTTTTGTCCCTAAAATTTGCTGTAGTTATGCTGTATATATGCCTATAACGAACTACGGTTATAACGAACTAAAAGTAGTGGTCCCTTTGAGTTCGTTATAACCGTAGTTTACTATATTCAGTAAAAACACACCAGACAATCAGATGATAGATGAGCCAGATAATCCAGTGACACGATAGTGCATTTCCTGAAATATCATGCCTTAATTTCATTGTATCTTTCTGTGTTATATACTCATGCCTGTTCAAATATATTTTTGAAACGTTATTCTAATTGTTTTCAAGACTTCGATAAGATGAGGTTCGATATATGGAATCGCTTGCTCACATCGATCTTTTTCACACATGTCGCCGTAGTGTTCGCTGTCGCAGTAGCATTTGGCTCCGGTACCGTCGTCATAGCAGGTGCTTCCATTGACACACGTAGTGGTGGTACAGTTGTGTTGATCAACGTTAACTGACAATAGGAAAGATGAAAAATGAATAGGACAAAATAACCAACAAAGTTCTTGATTAAGTCTGTTATACGTTTCTTGGCTATGACTGTTTTCAGATCCATTCTCTAACATATTTATATACATGCATGCATCTAGAAGTTTGGCGCTTGTCATTCAGAACGTTCTGTGTGTTCAGTGCCATAATCTGAACGTTTTACGTCACCTTTCGCTCCATCCCACCATGTCACAACGGGGACACCGAGAATGGACTTCCCTCATTGAACCAATCTGTGACTTGAACCCGATTCATCGGTGTGACGTGCGAACGCTCTCCCAGTAGGCCACCACAGCGCTACTCATAACTGAGATTGTGAATATGGTTGGTTGGTTTGTTGTTTAACGCCGCACTCAGCAATATTCCAGCTATATGACGGCGGTCTCTAAATAATCGAGTCTGGACCAGACAATCCAGTGATTATTAGCATGAGCATCGATCCACGCAATTGGGATCGATGACATGCATCAACCAAGTCAGCGAGCCCGACCACCCGATCCCGTTAGTCGCCTTTTACGACCAGCATAGTCACCTTTTACGGCAGGAATGGGTTGCTGAAGACCTATTCTACCACGGAATCTTCACGGGTTGTAAATATGGAATCAATAATACACTGCAGCATACCCTAAAGTCATTGCCATCAATGTTATTTCAATGGACGAGAAAGAATTAATATATGAATATAAGGGATATCATGCGGGTGTCCTTGGGGGCGGTGCATCTCCTGTATTTGGATTAAACATGGTATTCAGAGAGCCTCAATACATACATGTTTGTTTGTGTGTTGTTTAACACCGCACTTAGCAATATTCCAGGTATATGACGGCGGTCTGTAAGTAATCGAGTCTGGACCAGAAAATCACGAACATCGATCCATGCAATTGAGATACGATGACAAGTCAGCGAGCCTGACCACCCGATCCCGTAAGTCGCCTCTTACGACAAGCATTTTACAGCTAGCATGGGTTGCTGAAGATCTATTCTACCCCGGATCTTCACGGGTCTCATACATGTAGGGTTTATTCGTAATATAGGATTTTTACCATCACAAAATACACTTGTAAGCGTGGTGCCTCTCAAAGAAGTTACGGGATAATTTCTTTATCATAAAATGTCATTCTTCAAATCTCACTCTGACAAACATTGTGATGGAATGAGCGCTTGAATATGTGTAACGTCGGTCAGTGTATCATCGAAGTCAGTGATGAGTCAGTTGGAAAAATAGTTCCAAGGAAAATTTGTTTAAGACATATATATCTTATGTGGATAATGATAACAAATTCATGGTATGACATAACAATAAGCTTCAATGAACGTATGAATATTACTACAAGGGATTGTTTTTGTGTAAGTTTCTGCGTTTCTGCATGTGAACAGTCTAAGTCGTCAACAGGTCGGCGCCGAAATAACAACAATAATGAAGAGTTTTCCATCTACTGTCTGAGTCAGTTATTACCAGATGCCGGTATTTTCGCGGTGGTGAGGTCTTCTTATCAAGAACGATATTCATGGTAATGCTTCCCCTAAATGACTCGATCGCAGATGAAGGGCGATGTCATGTTTGTTAAGAAAAGCTGAAAGTAGTACATATCTGACCTTTCTTATTAACATATTTACAATCCAATAACTCCAACTTATACCTTTAGTTTATCCTACAGAGAAACCGACCCACGATATAGTTACATTATGCTGTCAAAACGTCAATAGTTGTGTTGCCTCCAAAAGCTGAGAGAGTTAGTAAAACCGTTTCACTTGAAGGTCAGGTGAGGTGAAATGGGGTTTAACGTTGCGTCCAAGATTATTGCACTTATATAGCGACGTGCATGCACGTGTATGTGTTTGTGTGGCTGCTTGTACTAGTCCTGACTGATGCCGATTTATAGTGCTAGCTCACTGAGATACCATGCCGCAGTTTAACATGAATACCCCACTCAGACACAGTATACCGAATCCGAGCCGACCAGTCCTTGTTTTAGCCCCTTAATGCCGAGCGCCAGACAGGGTAACAACAAGTACCATCTTTTGACGTCTTTTGGTATTACGCGGGAGGGGATCGAACCCCGGACCTTCCGGTCTCCGGGCGGACGCTCTACCACTAGACCACGGAGGCGGTCCTTCACTTGAAGAATGTATATGTACAAAAACACGTGAGCACTCACCTAATTGAAGGCCGCAGTCATAACCACTGTATTCCGTGGTACAGGTGCAGTTGGGTGATGTGAAGGTACAGTTCCCGTTATTCAGACAGGCCTGGTTAGGGCGTCGGCAGTCGTAAGTGGCCTGTGCTAAAGAGTTCACTAAAGTTCAGTTGATGGGGGAAATATATACTATTTCATTATAAATATTTCCGTACGTTTTGGAGTTTCATTCTTGATTTATTGTACTTTTCATAGATTGTTACAGATTAGGAGTATTTTGTATAATTGAATTCCCCAATACTTACAGGTTCACATTCAGAAAATAATACTTTGTTTGTCTCTCAAACATTTATTATGCACCTATATACTAGCATCACTAATGAAATATTTGTATTGTAACAAAAATCAATAAAAAGAACATGCATTTTGTTAAAAACAACAACATAAGAATATACGATATAATTCAAATGCCAGCATTACTGAAGGCAACATGAGACACTTGCCGATGTAGGAGTACTACTCACCAATGCCGAGTGACAATGTCAGAACCAATATCGGAACACTGGCCATGATGGGAACTAGAGCAGCAACAGAAGTCATATTCATTTATTCATATGATTAATGCCAACCACATAAAATGAATACAGTAAAACACGGCTATAACGAACTACAAGGGACCGGAGAAATCAGTTCGTTATATCCGTTGTTCGTTATAGACGTTTTCGCTCGGAAACGTCCGCCATCTTGGATAAAACAAAACACAATACACGTAACTGCAGCATTGATTTGTATTAGCAGTAGTCACTTCATATCATTCAATTGATAACATTTAATAACATTCATTTAAGTATAACAAGGTTGATCCTTCATCGCTGATTGTATTGTATACCAAATCTCCTACTCTAAAATGAAACAATACAATCGCCTTTGGTTATTCTTTTGTGTTGACGTTTAATGTTTCCTCATAAATTCTATGTAAAAAGCAACTGATTCTTGTCGTAAGAAGCGACTAACGGGATCTGGTGGTCAGGCTCGCTGATTTGGTTGAAGCATGTCATCGATCCCAATTGCGTAGATCGAAGCTCAGGATATCAATCACTGGATTATCTGGTCCAGACTCGATTATTTACAGACCGCCGTCATATAGCTGGAATATTGCTGAGTGCAGCGTTTAACAACAAACAAATAACCAAAGAAACAAATACATTCAGAGGAAGTTACAAAATATGACACGTCGCTTGTCAACTTGAAGCGCGAGTGAGTGAGTGAGTTGGGTTTAACGCCACTTTTAACATTATTCCAGTTATATCACGGCGTGTCAACTTAATGTGGGAGAAAAGCCCGAAGTGATGCAGGTCTCAGACGTTTACCACCTCGGTGAAACCCACGAGCACGCGTATGGTGCTGACAAACCTAGAAACATAATCGGGGTGAACAGGGATTCGAACTCAAATCATAGGTTTCTGGCGTGTCCAGGGGACGCAACTCTGCACAGCGAATCGCGGCGCCTTAGACGACTTGGCCACCCGTGCCCCCTGAAGCGCGATGATATCACATGTTATGAACTTTACGTGGAGTGTTTACACTCTCTTACGAACTAGCACATGTATATTTGTGAGACTTGAATGAAACATACTATTACTGCCAACTGACGTGGTCCAAGTAACATAGAACAAAAGGCTTGAGCTGCATATTGGAAAACAAGCCTTCAGTTGTGTTCTGGAGAGACATGCAAAATATTAATCAAAGGGCTTACCTTATTCTGATCAAGATGTCTGTTTAGCAGAAAATGAACCAGTGCGCAAACATATGTTCCCTTGTCCATTTTATAGGGGCACTTTAAAAAAGTTGACAATATCCATTGGCTGGAAATGTACACTTTAACGCATATGTCTTCTTTGTTTTCAGGCCGCCGTCGAGGAGAATTACGGCGTCATAAAACAAAAAAAACAACACTTACTCTTTTCATGCACATGTGTATTATAGGCATGTTATATACATGTTTAAATTGGATTTTACTGAAGACGTATGAAATTGAATCTCTTTTACTTGGAAGACACATGAAGAATGAGAGTATACCTGTTACTATTATATATGCGACGTTAAGTTATTAATCAAGAGGATAATTAATGATGGTCAACAAGCGTTGTTATGTCATCGAGTGGTGTTGTTAGAATTGGTATTTTCTTACCAAACCAACACATTAGACCAACAGTGTACTTAAAAACCGCCAGAAAATATTTTATGCATAATATTATTCAAGCTGGTTTTTGCATGTCTGTACTTCTCAAAGTACTTAGCAAACGACGTAGAATAGATTATTCTTTGTGTTACCTTGCCTGGCGCTCGACATTAATTAATGGGATAACAAGGACTGATCGGCTCGGAGTCAGTATAATGTACTTGAGTTGGATATCCATGTAAAAATGCGGCATGGAATCTCAATGGGCTACACTATTAAAACCAGCATAAGTTCGGACTAGTAGAAGCAGCCACACATATATATGAACATGCACGTCGCTATAAAAATGAAATAATCTTGGCCGTAACGTTATTAACCCCATTTCACGGGACATCAAACGCTGTCCTCGAACATAAAGGTTTTCTGGACAGATTTGTTTTCATCAATAGTCAATACCAGATAGAAAATGACATTTCCAAACGGCAGACTCCAGTAAACGTGCAGTGGATGTCATAAAGAGGAATTAACAAAAACGTCAGATAGTTGTCTTTTAACGAACGTCAATGGATCTCCTCAAGTCATGGCGTGACAGTACCGCGCTGGTGACCTTGAGCTAAGAGCTGCCTAGATATCTGTATAACCAATAATATGACGACTAGTCAGGGAATCAGGGATGATGAGCGATCCTCACATGAAAGCTGCTTGCGACGATTTAAGTTTATCATCACTCGGCAAAGATAAAAGATGTATCACTGCCAGTTATCGACTCTGCTTTTGGTAGAAATTTCGTATGAATATAAAAAGTCTTTTGTCGCTTTTATTTATGCAATAAAATGTCTATGTATCCAACCCTGTCTCTGTTGACTTAGAAAGAACCATTCATGTGCCTAAACATGGAATATAATACTTTATATGTAATGCATAATGCTCCATACATGCGCTGTTAGGACGTTCTAAGACAGGGTACCTTCACCCGCCAATGCCCAGCAGATACACAGGAGCCAAGAACAACCCGTTAATTAGTTCCTCTCTTCTGATGACACATGGGAAATAAATAACAAAACATCTACTTCAATACAACATCAACGCTGTCATGTAAAATTTAATGTAAGAAAGGTGACTTCGTCATGTGCATTCGACATCTTCCAAATCTTGACCCAGGACTTCAGATTCTTGTCCTTTTTAATGGGACTCGGTCATAACATGTGTTGAAGAATCGTGTGGTCCAGACGCTCGACAATTATGGCTATGTTTTGGACATTAGCGGGACATATACGATGTTTTGAAGAGGTAATGAAGCATTATGTTTTGGCAAATAAAATTTATATTTGAATAGCACGAGCTAGTGTAAAGGGAACGATTAAATCTCAATTATTATCGTGCACATCACATTCCAGCGATTGAACTCATCCCTCTTGTCATACAGTCTTGTGGATGGATTTCTGCCATTCTGAAAACATATGAGTCAGTTTCACTGGTCTCTTTTATTTCTAGCTCAGGTAAGTGGCTATTTAACCATTATTATCTATATCAGATCATCGGTATGCTTCAATCGGTTTTTTAAACCTATTAGCCAAAGTACCTGTTTTGATTTGCCGATCCGAACAGATATTCAAAAGATCAGCAAGGGGGGCACAATGAACATACAAATAACGTTTATGACACGTGTTGGATTATGACAGTCCTGTGCATGTGAATATGTCTAGGTATGCAATGAGAATCTCCTTGGAGTAATTGCTTTCCTAGTCACCAATTGGTCGGTTGACAAACACGTTGGCTTAGTCTTTAATTTTGACTATCGTTTGCTGAAAAGCATATATTTATTCGTTTCGTTCCATCATTGTCACGCTATTTCAAATTTCAAATCCCGAACTCTTTTGTTTGTGAGAATGTGATTGAATGAAAGACCAAAACGTTCTAATCTTGTAACGTCATTGTTCGACTGTTGTAACGTCATTGTTCGACTGTTGTGACCTCACGTTTCGGCTGTTGCATCACACAAGGGAGCATAGCAATATCTACAGTCATCTGTGCTTCTCAGCAGATATAACCTTTGGCAAATGTACCATTTGAACGAAAACGGTCATGTCTGTTAAATATGCGTTTTTCATAAGGTCGTGATGATTTTACAAAGAACAGCTGGACGGTACACGTTTCAATTAAATAAAAGAAGTGCATTTTAATATTTGTTTGCAAGGTGACGAACCAAACATTTAAAGATGATCTTTGAATTAACACATACTTTTTGCACTGAGAATGTCATTGGATAATAAATAAAGTCTCACCATAGTGTCTTTAAATATGAAATATATCAACATTCGTCGATAAAAGTAGACAACCTCTCTGAGTTTTGCCACTCTATCGACTTTTGCTCATAAATTCGATATCAAAAGATTACCGTAATTTCATCCTGTTAATATTCATTTCTCTAAAAACTAGATGTAAAAAAGTAATAACGACACATACACGTACTCTTGAATAGAATTTATTCGTTTCCCCAAAACACTTGTTCCCTTCATACATAATACACTGGTATATATATGCATATAGGATACGTTGCACTCAAGGTTTAAAAAATAGAAATACCCGGATAATCTACATAACTGTGAAAATGTACACAGTAACAATACATTAATTGCGTAATATCAATGATAAACGTACGTTTTCTAGGAGAGTAAGGGCTTGGCCAGTGAGTGGAAAACAGTAATACTCTGAATCAAATTGATTACTGCCTACCGATCACTATCATAAGTTCGTCCGATATTGCTTAGAATATTGCTAAAAGCGGCGTAAAACCATACCCACTCACTGAGCAGTTCGTGGTATACATTGTAAATTTAAACACATATGTGACACTTAAAAGACAATATAAAGCCTATTATTCGACATTAAAATACAGATTAATAGGCACAGTGCTTCGATTTATGTAAACCATACAGGCTGCATCGTTCTATTGAACGATCCG